GCCTCTGTTGCTTTCCCAAGCATATTAACAGAGGGGTAAGTGGGAAATGGAACAGCCAGGATTCAAACCCACACCCTGATGAGGTGCTGGGGGAGGGGAATGGCATTGCAGGTGGCAGCCTGGGCCACAATGCCAACCCCTTACTTCCTTCTTTGTACAATCTAAATAGATATTTTGATTTGGGGAGGTAGCCTTTAGCAAATTGAAGAAGTTCCCATTTGCTCAGAGTTGATGTCAACACAAGTGTGTGTTTTTGTTGTTTGAGATGCAGTGATAGAGAGATGGGTGGGGAACCAAATTCCCACCTGCCGGTTCACTCTTCAAATGCTCATGGCGATCTGTGCTGGGCCAGGCTACAGCCACAGGTGGGGAGGCTGGTCAGGCCTCCCATGGGGGTGGCAGGAACCCAGTGCCTTGAGCCAGCACTGCTGCATTGTAGGGTCTGCATGAGCAGGAAGTGGGAGCCAGGGGCCAGAGTCAGGTTAACCCCACAATCTCTGGTGTGGAACATGAGCTGGTTAATCTCTTAATCCTCAGGCAGCATGCCCACCTGCAGCATTCCTTTTTAATCACCCTCTCTATGTCCTCTGGACATAACTCCCGTGAGCTCCTCTTGCTTTTCCACGCAGGAGTACACCCACGGATGACTTTCCCTTAAGCTTTGGAGCACCGTTTGCCACATTGAGCCCTCCGGTTACTTTGGGTGAATTCGTTTCATTTCCCCCGGTGGATGCTGAGGTTCTGGGGCGGGGACCACATCAGGCAGACACTTCACATTTCAGTCTGCTTTAACAGTTCCTCAACGGCTACCGGTGCAGAATCTGCTCCCTGTTCCACAAACACATGCTGATGCATTAGCCCCACCTCACATCGCAGTCCTGTTATAAAATCCATCATACCAAGACAGTTATCTAACCCATTCTTAGCACTGTGCTGACTAGTGAAAGGCCTTGTCCGTCAAAAGACTTGCTTGAAAGTGACTTGCATTAAAATGTTAATACCAATTCATCCTGCAATTACAGTAACACTTGGTCGCTCTTACAATTGGGATGCACAGACTGAGTGAATAACTGGATGGATTCCTATTAAGGTCCTTTTACAAAGGGGATGTGTGGGCAGATGGAGTCACTACTTGGGACACTCATCCTACATCGGCGTGAGAGGGATTGTATCCACTTCTGAGCTGGCTTCCTGGCAAGACACCGGGAAGCCAGGGGAATGGCAACATGGCCCAAATACTAGGGTCCCTGACCCCCACGGAGGAGACCCACATAAGGTTCCTGGCGCCTGACTTTGGGTGGGCTCAGTCTTGGCTGTTGGGTGCCTTGTGGAGAGTGAATCAGGAGATGAAAGAGCTCTCTCTTCTTGTCACTCTGCCTTTCAGACAAGTAAATAGGTAAATAAATCTTTTAGAAAATGACAGGAGGCAGGCATTTAGTGCAGTGGTTTGGTTAAGATGTTACTCAGGGGCCCAGCATGGTAGCCTAGCAGCTAAAGTCCTTGCCTTGCGTACACCAGGACCCAATATGGGCACCGGTTCTAACCCCCCTGGCAGTCCCGCTTCCTATCCAGCTCCCTGCTTATGGCCTGGGAAAGCAGTCGAAGATGGCCCACGATGTTGGGACCCTGCATCCATGTGGAAGATCTTGAAGAAGCTCCTGGCTTCAGATGAGCTCAACTCCAGCCATTGCGGCCACTTAGGGAGTGAATCATCCGTCTCTCCTCCTCTCTGTATATCTGACTTTCCAATAGAAATAAATCTTAAAAAAATATATATATATATATGCTTTTCGGATACGAACAGCCCTATCAGAGTGCCCAGATTGGAGACCAAATCCAGCCTCCAGTTCTGGCTTCCTGCTGACAGACACGCAGGCGGCAGCAGGTCAGGATGTGCGCACACAGGTCCCTGCAGAGTCTTTTGACGGGAGACGGGCATGCGGCTCTTGGCTTTGGCCTGTTGCTGGCATTTGGGAAGTGAACCAGCTAAATGAGATCTCTTTGCTTGTCTCTCTACTTTTTAAAACAAAGGATGAGATTATGGATCGGTTTCTAACAGGAAGGTTGCAATGTGGAATAGGCCAAGTAGGGTGGAGTAACATAAGTGAGGTGGATTTCCTGAGGTTCTTTACTGTGGCCCGCATTTGTTAAAAATCCCACCTCCTTTTGTCAGCATCGCCCAGGATAGCAGCCCAAGCTCAGCTCGGGATGAGAGCTGCCAGGCTCCTGCCCGTGGTCCCCACCCCACTCATCTGCTTCCCCTAGCCCTGGAGCTCCCATCCGTGGAGATGAGTGGGCCCGGCGCCAGGCCAGATGGCAAAGATGGAAAAACTGAAAAAGAGGAGGCAAACAGGAAACAGAGAGGGGGCGTGGGGGAGGGGCAGCCCAGACCCTCTCCCCCAATCCCGCCTGGGGTCAGGCTACTAAGACAGGAATCAAAGCACCCGCAGCTGCCTCAGCAGAGAGCCTACACTAAGGGTTTCCTGTTCCCCTGGGAGGAGGAGGAGGGATAGGGGCCCTTGCAGGCTCACCCGCTTCACAGGCGCACTGAGTCGTGCAGACACGCCACCTGCTGAACTGTGCACGCGGCTTCTCAGTGGGATGGAAATAGCGTTGTGCACGCAGCCCCGTGCGGTGCAGGGTCAGGCCAGACCTACAGAGTCAGAATGCCGTGCCCCCACAGATCTCAATTCCAAGGCATGGAAGGGTGTCACGGGAGCGCCATCCACACGGACACGTGGAGCGGTGGCTCATTCCACATTAGCCAGCGCAGCCCCCCTAGCTGCCCCCTTCCGCCCCCTGCGTCTGCGTCCGCATGCCACCCAAGGTGCACAGCTGGGCACCAGGTGCTTACCTCTCCCGGGTCTCTGGGACCTGTCTCATTGCCCTCTGAGCTGGGCTGGGCTCTGTTCTGGGTTGAGATAAGCCAGGGGCAGGGGGGGCAGGGTTTTTCTTTCTTTCTTTCTTTCTTTTTTTCTTCTGCCACAGGCAGGAAGTGAGGGGAGGCCAAGCAATCGTGCAGGCAGTGACAGTATGATTCTCCCTTCACTGTCCACACAGCCTGCCCTCAGTAGCCTCCTTCTCTTGACAAGTGGCCACAAGGCAGACAGGGAGCAGAAGTGAAAGGACTGGGCTGACGGCTGCTCTGAAATGGGTCTAACCTCTGCCCTGCATCTTTTTCTCTCTGTGCCTCTCCCCCTTCTCCCCCTCACCATGCCTCCTCCCCGCCCCTCCCCTGCGCACGTGCCAACAACCAATAACCTTGCTCACTCCCTCTCTTTGATATTTCCCATCCTTCCGTCTCTTTTGACCTCAATTTCCTAGGAGGAGAGGTTGAAAGGCTAGTCGGGATCTCCCATCTTCCCTTCCCTGAAGATTAGCCCTGGGTCTGGTGCAGTGGCTCAGTTGGCTAATCCTTGCTACCAAGCACCAGGATCCCACAGGAGTGCTGCTTGGTGTCCTGTCTGTCTCTAGAGGACAGTCCAAAGCCTGGGGTCCCTGTACCCACGTGGGAGACCCGGGAGAGGCTCCTGGCTTCGGATCAGCTCAGCTCCAGAATTTTTGGCCACTTGGGAAGTGAACCAGCACATGGAAGATCTTTCTCTGTGTCTCGTGCACGCAAATGGGAAACCTTAATGGAGTTTCCTTCTGGCTTCGGCTTAGCTCAGCCATTTTCAGTCATTTAGGGAATGAACCAGTGGATGCAAGCTGTCTACCCCACCCCTCTGTCTTTGCAGCTCTGCCTTTAAATTCTTGAAAATTTGGGGGCAAGTGTGATGGCCTAGTGGCTGAATCCTTGCCTTGCAACTGCCAGGATCCCATATAGGCACCAGTTCATGCAGCAGAGGATGGCCCAAGGTACCCACGTGGAAGACCAGGAAGATCCTCCTGGCTTTAGACAGGCTCAGTTCTGGCTGTTGTGGCCACTTAGGGAGTGAACCAGCAGATAGAAATTTTTCTCTCTATATCTCTCTATAAATCTGCCTTTCCAATAAAAATAAATCTTTATAATAAATACATAAATCTTTTTAAAATATTGAGAAAATTCTAAGGGCTTCTTCATTTCCACATAAACAGGTACCCCAAAGAGGCCCAAGTGTGTGAAGCCTATAGCGGCAGCTTGGCTCACCCGCCAGGCTCTGAGGAAAGCCTGGGGCTTCTTCAGGAGCCAGGGCAAATGCTGCCTGTCAGCTTCCCGGGTCTGAGGGCCAGGGGTGCAGCGTGGAGGGGCAGGTGACATGGGGTCAGAGGGAAGGCCAAGTGAGAAGGCCTCCCTGTGCCCAGGGGCACGATCTTCCCATGGAGGGCAGACGGCCTGGCGTGGGCACGGCCAGGTGTCTGATCGCCGCCCGCTGCTCCCCGTGCTCCCTGCCTGCTCTCCTCAAGCATCTGCAGCATCATTGGCAGCCACATCTCCTGCTCTGGGCACACTGACCCCAGCTCTCTCCCCTGCACCCTGGGCCAAGCCAGAAAGCCAAGGTGGCCTCCAGCCTGCTAATTAGTTTCCCCAGATGTGTGAGACCAGATGTCACCTTACCACTCGTTGTCTCTCTCCCTCCACCCTGTTTTTCAAGAGCTGGAAAAACAGGAAATAAAGTCCCAACCAAGACAGAAGCCGTGGAAAGAGGCCGGGCTCCCTACTGACCTGTGGCCTGTGGCTATCTCACCCTCCCTTGGGGCCTGGCAGGGCTGGCCTCCTGGAGCCAATCTGCTGAAGGCTTTTGGACTCACTGACCTCGCTTTGAACTTGTGCCACCCGACTTCAGCCCCCACCCTTACTGCCTGCTCCTTCTCTTCGGCGTCTACTGTGTTCTAAATGTTCCTAAAATCAACTTCTCTGTGTTGGTGGGGTACACCCTGTGGGGGGACAGTGACAGGCCATCAGACAGACAAGGCTGGGCTCTGGTGGGCCAGGGAGCCAAGAGGTGAGGCGCGCGCGCACACACGCACACACACAGAGTTTTCACATCCCCTTAATCCTAGTCCACTCTGACTCTTACCTAGGAGTGTCCTGGAGACAGTCTGGTGGATGTCCCTAATCACAGGTGACGCACGGGTGAGCAGCTCTCCCCCTCCCCCAATGTTTCAATGTTCAGCATCCCAGCTATCACCCCCTTCCTGCCACCACCGCGAGCCGCGCTCTTGTCACTGTGAGGGAGACAATCAGGAGCCTTCTGGGCTACTTCCCCTATCAGGTGAATTCCTGGGGATATGAAGGTAGTGCTTCCAGAAGCTTCCACTTGAATCCACCTGGGGTGACTGGGAACCCAGATTAACAGCAGGAACCCATCTGTGGTGGTGAATCCATTAGCAGAGTTTAACCAGGTCAGCTCTGTTGAGTAGGCAGACGGCCTGGCCCTGGGGGAAGGGTGAGTGTGTGGGGTGTAGGTTGGGGGAAGCAGCAAACAGTCCCCCCAGGGCCCTCTTTGGGAAGCCCCGATTCAGCTTGACAGTGGGGGGCCTAAGGGGTGGAGAGGAAACCCTTGGGGAAGCCCCAGAATGAGGCCACCGGGAGAGCAGGCATGCTGGCGTCCCAGCTTCCATCTGTGGGCTGTAGGCAGCTCTGGGGCCCTTGCTTCAATTCAGACAGGTTTTCCAGATATGGGATCCTCATGGCCATCCCCACCAATTCCCCCTCTCCACCGGAGGATTGCCGCCCCTGTACCCCCTCTGCACTTCCACCCCCACCTGGGACACCCGCGTACCTGTGTTCCCTGTGGCTCTGCTGCTTGCCCCAAGCTGCCTTCCCCTGCCTGCTCTGGGCTGGGCTGGGCTGGGCTGGGCTGGGCTGGTAGGACCTGCTCCTGGGCCGCAAGGAGACACACCCACCTCCACTTAAAGCACACTTCCCTCCTCCCAGCTCCTTGTACTCACACATCTCGGCCAGCGGGCAGCGGCCAGCGGGCCGGAGAGGGAGCTACATCTCAGAGGACTTCAGGGGGAGCGGCCAGAGAAGAAATTCCCGCAGCTAATGACTTCATCCAGCCAACACCCGCCAAGTCCATCTGCCCCCACCTCCCCAGTCACTCACGCACTCCCCAGTTTCCGGGAACGCAGGCTGGCACACCCACCTACCGGTGCTGATGACTAACAACCCACTAGCCTCGTGCTGTGCGTGCGCACTGGTTCTGGGCCATCTTTCTCTTTCTCAGATCGGCTAGGTGGTTTAACCCACATCCCAGTTTGGGGCTCCTCTGTGGGGGTAGGGGCGGCCCCCTCTGCAGAGGACATGAGGCTCCTCTACCACAGCAGCTGCCAGGCTGCAAGGTTCCTCTTGGCTCTAAGTCACTTCCTCTGGCCTCAGAGCACTGGCAGATCAGATGCTAGCCCCTCATCCCCAGAGCCCCCTGGCCAAGCTCCATCTGTGAACAGTGACCAATAAAGAAAACCAAGTTTCCGGGCAGGTAGTTGAAAAAGACATCTGGTGGGGCCTGGCGCAATGGTTCAACTGGTTAACCCTCCTTTTGCAAAGCACCCAATCCCACATGGGCTCCAGTTCTTGTCCGAGCTACTCCACCTTCTACCCAGTTCTCTGCTTGTGGACTGGGAAACCAATAGAGGATGGCTCAAAGCCTTGGGATCCCTGTACCCATGTGGGAGACCCGGAATAGGTTCCTGTCTCATGGCTTTGGATCAACTCAACTCGGGCCATTATGGCCATTTCAGGAATGAACCAGAAGATGGAAGATGTTTTTCTCTGTCTCTCCCTCTCTCAATAAGTCTGCCTTTCCAATAAAAGTAAATAAATCTTTAAAAAAATTTAAAAAGATGGGCCAGGCGCAATAGCGTAGTGGTTAAAGTCCTCGCCTTGCATGTGTCGGGATCCCATATGGTCACTGGTTCTAATCCCGGCGACCCCATTTCCCATCCAGCTCCCTGCTTGTGGCCTGGGAAAGCAATTGAGATGGCCCAAAGCCTTGGGACCCTGCACCCGTATGGGAGACACGGAAGAGCTCCTGGCTCCTGGCTTTAGATTGGCTCAGCTCCAGTCATTGTGGTCACTTGGGGAGTGAACCATTGGACGGAAGATCTTCCTCTCTGTCTCTCCTCCTCTCTGTATATCTGCCTTTCCAATAAAAATAAATAAATCTTAAAATAATAATGATAATAAAAAAGACACATGGCCAAGTGGGTTCAGGAAACACGAGGTAAGAAGGCATTGCCAATCTTGGGGTGCTGCAGACCGTGGGGGAACGCTGCAGGCCATGTGGTAGAGTCGGGTAGGGGTGTGTCCGTACATGTTTGAGCTTTTCCGTAACTGTCACTTTTTAAAAATTCCTGTTAACGATCATGAGCCCACAGAAGAGGGCGAAGCCTCTGGTTTTCCCAGAACACACTTCGGGAGACTCCAGCTTGTTCAAGGCCAATGCTGGCTATTGTCCAGAGACCACCATCTACCTCCTTGTGGCAAGTTGTTGCATGAAAACCCAGGGGCCCTTAGCTCTCGCTGCAGCCCTGGCTTCCTCCCTGCTGCTCAAGTGCAAGCTACGAGGACTAGCATAGTGGCTCAACAAGCTAACCCTCCACCTGTGGCACCAGCATCCACTTAGGCACCAGTTCTAGTCCTGGCTGCTCCACTTCCAATCCAGCTCCCTGCTTATGGCTTAGAGAGCGGTAGAAGATGGCTCAACTCCTTGGGCTCCTGCACCCTCATGTGGGTGACCCAGAGGAAGCTCCTGGCTCCTGGCTTTGGGTCAGCTCAAGCTTTGGCAGTTATGGATATTTGGGGAGTGAACCACAGATGGAACATCTCCCCCCATCTCTCCGAAACTCTTTCCAATAAATGATTTTTTTTTTTTTTAATGGAAGCTATATCCTACACTTGCCACCCCAGGATGGGATTTCAGTTCCTAGACACAGGCTCAGTTCAGCTCTGGTGCTTACGTTCCAGAAGGACAAGCCTACATGCACATCTGATATGGGGCACAGGGCCCCCACGTGGAAGCACGTGCCCTCTCAGCCAGTGGCGGAATGCCTTGGACCAGCCACCCCTCCTCGAGTGGCATCCCCACGAGGCACTCTCCTTTGCCAAAGCAACTGCCCTGCCGCTCAATGCCCAATCCCATGGGCTGGGGTGAGGGGAGCGCCTCATAGCTCACACAGGCCACACCAGTTGAAAAGAAATGCTTTATGGAAATATAATCCTCTTAAAGGGGAAGGAAGTAGGGAGAGAGCTCCCTTCACGGGCTCTCTGGGAACCGGGAACTGCTGCCCCAACCCAAAGAAAATGCAACTAGGAGGGGCAATGACCCTAACAAGCAGCCTGAAAGCAAACTGAGAAGTGGGGTCTTGACGCTACGGAGAAGGTGGTAAGGTCAGGCTGGGGTGGGCACAGAGTCCGTGGCAGCTCATCCTATGTGGCCCAGGGTCAAGGTGCTGAACTCCTGGCTCCAGCGCAGCACTATGTCCTCACTCTTGCCCAGGCTCAGCACGCTGTACGTCTCGTTTTGCAGGCACCTCATGCGGGACACCTTGGAGGGGGTGGAAGGGGCGGGATTGGGGGACATGATGTCATGGCCAGGCTGTGTTACCTCAGGAACCACAGGCAGCAGAGGGAAGCAGGAAACGCAGTGGGGAGCGGTGCTCCCAACAACCAATAGCCCACCCCCTTTTTTTCTGTACAGAGAGAAGAGGCTGAGAGGCCCAAATGGGGAAGTGACTTATCCTGGGCTACCTGGTGAGTAAGAAGAGGAAGCCAGCTGGGACCTCGACACCTCCTGTGGGGGCCCCACCTCTGCAGGCGGCCCTCCCCTGCCCTCCTCCCACCACAGCCTGGGAGAGCTTTGCTTATTCCAGGGCTGCTTCAGTCCAGGGAGGTGCCAGAGGTGCGGGGATGGTGATTGCCTCCTCCTCTTCCCCAACCCCTCCAGCGGCTGTCATAGTGGCTCAGTTTGAGTGTGGTGATGGAGGTGAGGTTGGTTGGGGGAGGAGGAGGAGGAGGCAGGAGGGGGCTCACCTTCCGGTTCCGGTTTCTCATCAGACACTGCTGGCTTTTAAAGGAGCAGTAGTTGGGATACTGGACATAGTCTGTGTCACACACCTAGGGCAGGAGCCATGGACCAGAATGGACAGGCTATCAGAGGCCTCCTGAGACACCAGCCCTGCAGGGGACCCAGGGATAGGGCTGAGCCTTCAGTGGCTGGCCTCAGACACGTGGGCAGCTGTCCTGGGAGAGAGCACAGGCTGCCCTACTGGCCGTGCTCAGCTTGCTGGGGAACAGGGCACAGAGAAGGGGGTCATTTCTGGCTCCTTTCGGGAACAGTAAGTAACTGGTGCAAAAATGTCTGATATACTTGGGGCCCCACTGAGAACTCTCCAATAGCTCCTCCCACATCTAGGGATCTAGACAGGCAAGTGGGTCACAGGGTTCTCAGCTCAGCTACCACAACTTTCTACTTTTCCTTGCCTTGGTTTGGCCTGGCTCTTGGCACCTGCAGGGAATCCTACCATGGAGGTAGCTTTGGGGACCAGGGAGCTGAGCTGAGCTGAGCTGAGCTGATGCCCTCAAATAGGGAGAGCAAGTATTGTAGGAGCCAGGGAAGGGAGAGAGAGGCAGGGATGTGTGGCTACAGGGTCAGAAAATGCCTGACCTTTTGCTGGTCTTGAGCCCAGAAAAGCAAGTGACCCGACCAAAGCCACCCAGTAGCAGGTGACAACTGATGGAGCTTGGGGCACTCCTGGGCTCTCTCACCACCTGGATTCCTTTATGTGTGTGTGTGCACAGTGGTCTCCTGGAGAGAAGCAGGGGGAGTGCCCCTCACGAACCAGAGGCCTACACCCCTCCCACATTCTAGGAGCAAGTAACTGGAGGGGTCTGTAGGAAGAAAGACTGACCTTGGTGGGGAAATCGCCATCTTGGAAGCTAAGGAACTCAGTCTGGAGCCAACCAGCGACGCGGGTGTCCTCACAGCCCTTGGTGGCCAGCCGGGCGCACCAGAAGTCCATGCGTAGCCCGCCATACACATCGAGCCCGTAAAAGTGGCCTGCTTCCTTGGGCCCAGGCTGGGATACAGGAGACAGGGTGTGGAGGATTGGGGAGGGATGTGTGCCCTGCAGGTCTGCCCTTGCACAGCCGTGCTTCCCTCACCGCCGGTCAAATCAAATGGGTACCTGGGTGCCCACAGACACGCTCTGGGCTGCGAGCAAGGGGCTGATGAAGGGTGTCTTGTGTGAATTGTCACACTGCTGCCGTTGCAGGCTGCTTTCTGAGTTGCACTGTTCCAGCTTCAGGGAGCAGAAGTCGCAGAGTGGACAGGTGGACGTGTGCCGCCGGCCGAGGCTGTCACAGACCTGGGGCAGGTAGGAGTAGGGGTTAGGGGCTATTGCTGAGCCCCAGAGGCTGGCTCAGTCCCCTGCCCGTGGGCCCACCTAGAGCAGCCCCACCCCACCCCCACTCTTGGTCTGTAGATTCTTCCAGCAGCTTCTCTGGCCAACACGCGCCCCTGCCAACTGCCACCCACCCTTCGGCTCCAGGGTTCCTCAAGAACCTCTCCTTTGACATTTTCTTGTCTTTTAAAGAAATGTATTTGAAAGGGAGATAGAGGATATGGCACGATGGTTCAGTGGCTAAGTCCTTGCCTTGCACATGCTAGGATCCCATATGGGTGCTGGTTCATATCCTGGCTCCTCCACTTGCCATCCAGCTCCCTGCTTGTGGCCTGGGAAAGCAGTAGAGGACTGCCCGAAGCCTTGGGACCCTGCACCACATGGGAGACCTGGAAGAGCTGTGGCCATTGTAGCAAGTTGGGGGGTGAACCAGCAGATGGGATATCTTTGTTTCTCCTTCTCTCTGTAAATCTGCCTTTCTAACATAAATAAATAAATCTTTCAAAAAAAAAAAAAAAAAGAAAAAGAAGAAGAAGAAGAAGAAAAGAAAAAGGGGTGGGGGGAGAGAGAGAGAGGCAAATATATCTTACATCCACTAGGGTTCACTCTCCCCAGAGGCCAATAATAGCCAGGCCTGGGTTAGACCAAAGCAGCAATTAGGAATCCTAGTTGGGCCCCCTATGTGGTTGCAGGAACTTGGGAGCTCACCTCCACAGCTGTACCCCAACAGCATGCCGACACCAGCAGCACTTCCAGGACTTGAACCTGGGAACACCCATATGCCTTGTGCATGTCCCTGGCGGCATGTTCACTGTTGCACCGAATGTTCACCCTTCACCCCCTACCCGCCAATCTGGCTTCTTCACCTGCTTTCTGGCAAGTTTTTCTATATCCAGGTAAGCCCCACCTAACTGGGGGGTAACATCCAAAGCTCAGATCTCTCTCCCAGAGCCTCATTGCCAAGGGTCTAATTAGCTAACAGTCACCCCTAACTGAGCCCTTTTGCAAAGAACTCACAGTCCTCCTCCCTCCCACTTCACTGTCTGTTAACATTTACACTGCGGGGACAGGTGCTGGCGCTGTGGCTCTCCACACTCCCCTCTGGTCAGCACACGGACCCTGTAAGGAGGGCACAGGTGCTGATGGCACCCCTAACTGCTGGGGAGGCAGTTCCAAGTCAGGGAGGCTGAGGAAGTCACCAAAGCCACAGGTCGAACAGATGATGGGAGGGCCTCGCTTCGGGTCTCTTGAGTCAAGCCCATCAGCAGATTAAGCTGCCCCCTGGAATGTTGGCATTGCTCATCAGGGTGCTGGTTTGAGTCTTGGCTGATGTTCTTTCAATCCAGGTCCCTGCTAATGCATCTGGAAAAGCAGTGAAAGATGGTCCCAGGACTTGGGCCCTTGCCAACCAGGTGCGAGATCTGGATGGAGGTCTATGCTCCAAGCTTTGATCTGGTTTAACGCAGACCATTACAGCCACGTGGGGAGTGAATCAGGCAGATGGAAGATCTCTCTCTCTCTTTTCCTACTCTGGTTTTGTCAAGAAATTTTGTTTATTTATTTGGAAGGCAGAATGACAGGGCCCAGTGTGATGGTTCAGAGGCTAAATCTTTGCTTTGCAAGTGTTAGGATGCCATATGCCACCAGCTCTTATCCCAGCGGCTCCACTTCCCATTCAGCTTCCTACTTGTGGCTTTGGAAAGCAGTCGCGGACAGTCCAAAGCTTTGGGATCCTGCACCCATTTGGGAGGTCTGGATAAAACTTCAGGTTCCTGGCTTTGGGCTGACTCAGCTTTAGCTGTTGCAGTCACATGGGGAGTGAACCAGTGGTTGGAAGATCTTTGTCTCTCTTTTTCCTTCTCTCAGTAAAATCTGATTTGCCTTTCCAATAGAAATAAATAAATCTTAAAAAAAAAAAAAGGCAGGGTGTCAGCTGGAGAAAGAGAGATTTAGCCCTGAACTCCATCTGGGTCTCCTACATGGGTGGCAGGGACCCATATAACTTGAGTCACCATCTGCGGTCTCTCAGAGTGTGTACCAGCAGGAAGATAGATCAAAAGCAGAGGAGGTGGGACTTGAACCAGGCACTCTGGCATAGGATGTGGGCAGACCAAGCAGTAGCTTCATCCACTGTGCTCCTAATGCCTGGATGTGTCTTGCACTTTATGCCCATCCTTTTCACAGAACTGACCTTACCACACTATTCGGTGTCTGACTGGATCCCAGGAGGAGAAAAGGATTGGGCAGCCTCTGTGCACTATTAACATCTGAGAGACTCAGTGCCCTCTCAGAATTTGTTGAACAAACAGAGGGATGCAGGTCACAGTCATTACTATGTGCAGTGCTTGCTGAGACATAAACTCTTTGGAATAGTCCTGATGGGTGTTCAGGACACACTAGGATCTCTAGACTCACTCCTGGGAATGTTCTGGAGAAGAGGTGAGCAATATTAACAAGGTAGGGACTGGAGGTGGCACACGGGATCCAGCGATGGCCCAGAGCCCAACCACAACTCGGAGAGCTACAGAGCCAATCCCAGACCGGACTTTCTCCTCTGCGTGAACCAGATAGCGTTTCCCATGGGCAGGGTCTCCACAACTCAACCTCAGGCTGCCCTGCTCGCCTCCACTTCACAGCTGGCTTAGCACAGTGCCAGGTCCCCAGGGTGCCCAAGGGCATCCAACAGCACGGCAGGCTTACCGGCTTCCCAAAACCAAGGACCTGCTCTTCTATGTACTTCCAGGCCTTGGCTGTGGGGGTTATGATGCAATTATTCTCCATGATCGAGTAGCACAGCACCAGCAATGCGTCACTGTGGGATATCTGTAGGAGGCTGCGAGAAGACAGGACTGGCTGGGAGGATGGGCCGCGGGGTTAGGAGAGAGCCTAATTTGCCACCCCCATCTCCACTCCATCCCCCCCACTGGGTATCTCATCTTGATCACACAGTTTCAGATGCTTAGCATGGGGTCAGAGAGGCCCCGGCCCCCAACTGCCGCTTTCACAGAGGAGGAACCGAGAAGCCGAAAGGAGAAACAACTTTGTGAAGACTGCGGTGCTGATCAGGGACGAGACCAGACCCCGAGTTTGGGAGCTCCAGCTCCAGGGCGCATTCCACCACAGCACACAGGAAATATATACCCAGTGGCTGAGGTGGTGTGAACCACAGCTATCGACCAGGTGGGGTCTGCCAGCTGCGCCTGAGGCCACACCCAGATGCAAGGAAGTCAGGCTGAGGCTGAGAAAGTAAACTTCTCATTGCCAGAGTGGCAAGCAGGGACAGCAGGGGCCCAAGGGTGAGGGTGGGAGCCGGGACCCCTAGCGCATACCTTCCAGTGTTCTGGTTCCTATTGTAGGAGGAGTCCTCGTCATATCCTTCATTCGTGTCATCCATTTCCTGGGCTGACCGAATGAACGCCTGGATGTCCTCCATCATCGTATCAGACGATTCTGCTTCTCGCGCCCGACGGGAGAGCGGGGGCAAGTTAGAAGATATAGACTGGGCCCGGAAAACAGAGCCTAAGCTTCGGTGCCACCTGGACAGGGTGTCCAGGCCCTCCTCGGTGCCCTGTCCCTCTTCTTGCTTCCCCTCCTCTTCTTGTTCTTCCTCTTGCTCTTCTTCCTCCTGCCCTTCCTCTTTATGCTCTTGGCTTTGCTCCTGCTTGTGCTGCTCCTGGTTCTGGTCCTGCTTGCGATCAGGCGTTTGTTCCTGGCCCCCCAGTGACAAGGAAGACTGCAGCAGCTCCTCCACGTTGTTGTTGAGGCGTTCGGGCCAGGGCTGGAAGACCTGGCGTTCCGTGGCTGCAGGTGAGTGCGCCAGGGCCAGAGAAAGAAACGGGAGAGAGCAGGTGTGTGGTGGGAGATGGTTAGGATGGTGTTTGGGGTTCTCACGTCCCACATCTGGGCCCCTGGAACCCCATCTCCATTCCTGAGCCCAATGACTTGCTGTTGCAAACTCAGTGAGGGGACAGTAGGTGACGACTCGGGTACTTGGGGGGACCTGCGTGGAGGCCCAGGCTCCTGGCTGCAGCCTGGCCTGCCTCCGGTTGTTAGACATTGTGGCATGCACTAACAAATGGAAAATCTCCCTCTGTCTCTCCTTTGAATAGAGTGAAAATACATAATATACTTTTAAAACTTGATAAGCATCTGGTCTGAGCATCTCAGTTCACAGCTGGATATAATACATAAAGGCAGAAATAAGCATGGCTCAGTATAAAAAGCCAGAAGAGAATGTGCATACTAAAATAATAAAAATATTTCCAGGGCTGGCATTGTAGTGTAGCAGGTTAAACAAATTCCTGCAACACTGTCAGCATCCCATAGGAGTGTCGGCATCCCATAGGAGTGTTTTGGCTACTCCACTTTGGATGCAGCTCCCTGCAAGCGCACTTAAGAGAGCAACAGAAGATGGCCCAAAGTGCTCGGGCCCCTGCACCAACATGGGAGGCCCAGATGGTCTGGCCTGGCCCAGCTCTGCCTGTCGTAGCCATTTGGGGAGTGAACCCGCAGATAAAGAATGATCTCTCTCGGCCTTTCAAATAAATAAAAAATAAACAATAATAATCCAACAACAACAAACCCAATTGAATGACTATTCCCATGTCAGTTGTGCTGCTTGGAGCAAAGTCCTCTCCCCATTGTCCTTGCAAGAGCTTCTCTTCCCTAACTGTTGCCTCCCTCTCCTTTCTGGAACACCAAGGATCCAAAGTAGCTAGCAACTTCCTTCCCACACTGAAGATGCTGGCTTAGAAGAGTCCCTGAGCACTTCAGGCACAAGGCGGCAGGAATGCGCTCCCCTGCTTGCCTTGGAGCAGGTGTATTTCTAGAAGCAGGACCCTCCCTGGCAAACACAGCCATCTGCTGTGCTGGCATCCACTCCCTCACCACCACAGCCTTATGGCCTGGCCCTGAGAACTGTGGGAGACGCAGCGAGGTCTCACCTGTCATGTGGGATGCGAGAGAGGACGACACAGTAGTGGGTGGCACTTCCGCTGCCGACTCTATCTCCTTGAGACTGTTAGGTGAGAGGATGGAGACCGGCTGGGAGCATCGCACCCTCTGCAGGGAGAGAGGGAAACTGAATCACTTATGCTTCTGTTCCAGGTCATTCCTGGGTGTGGCACAGTTCCCTGCATGCACATGAAGGGATCCAGCCCCCTGCCAGAATCCTCTAGACTGAGAGAGTCCTCCTGGAGCAGAAACCCTTCATCTGTCTCAGCTTCCCCTCTGACCTGCTTCCCGTGTTTGACTTTGGTGAGATCCCTGAGCTTTTGGGAGGGATGGAATGGTGTGCCGCTGCCTCCTGAATACTTTTCCCACAGTCACAGGCACCTGGCTGCATCCACGATACAGCATCTGGGTCAGTGATGGGTGGGAGGTGCTAGGGAGCCCTTGCTTGGATCTTCTGCTGGTGCAGGCATGTGCTGGTCCAGGCATGCAGACCCAACCTTTCCTCTGGCCTCACCTTGGCATAATAGACGTGGTTGGCACACCTGTACTGGGCGAACTGGCAGAAAGACTCAAACCAGGAGGCATAAGGGAGGTCCGAGCAGACGGCGCCTGGACGAGAGGAGGGGTGAAGATGAGTAGGGGGATGGGGGTGGAGGAACAGCGCCCCTTGGTGTCTGGGAAGAAAACACGGCTGGACGCAAGGTGCGCTGCCCTCCTCTGTGAGCGCTGGGTGGTTGGGTTTTCCCACCAGCCTAGCCCTCACCGTCGGGCACCAAGCCGTGGTTTTCATACTGGTCCAGCTGGACGAGCGTGGGGTTGCGGCAGCCGTGGGTTGCTCGGAGCCGGCAAGTGGTCTCTGCCTTCCAGGTTGGAGTCAGCAGCGCAAAGAAGCGTTCATATTCAGAGGGAGAAAGAGGGCTGCCTGGGGTAGAGGTTGACGTCGAATCCTCGACTGGGGCAGATGCCAGAGGTAGGAATAGCTCTGTGGAGGAGGGAGGAGGAGGAGGAAATCCATGGATGGATGATCTGAAGCCCCAAATGTGCTCTAAGCCAAGGACACGACCAGACTGGCTCAAGAGAGACCCATGAAACTTAGGAGTCTGAGGCCCCTGGACAGGTGAACCCTGTGGAGTGGGTGAAGGAACCAGGGGTGGGCGTGGAGAAGAGGCAAAGGTCTGACCCCAACGCTAAAGCGCAGACCCCACAGACAGCGCTGGGGGTAGGTCCGCTCCAGCAGGTGGGACTGCCTTACCCTTGAGGAGGGAGAGCAGGAAGGCAGCAGCTAGCTTCTTCATGGCCCCGACAACCGCCCCACAATGTTTCCCCGGGCCAAAGCCGCTTCTAACGGGCCAAATCGCAGGCCCCGGGTGCGTCATAAAAGCACTGACCGGCTCGCGGGGAGGGGGCAGGGGCGGGGCCTCGGAAACTGCCGCGCCCACGGGCGGGGTCTCGCATGTGTCCCCGTGGCCCTGGGCAGGATGGTCTGTGGCAGTGGCTGCTGAGGCCCTGCGTGGTCCTTGACGTGTAGCACGTTATTTCATTTACACTCCCAGCCCAGAAGGTAGATTCAGCAGTGTGTGGAGCTGGGAAATCTGGGTTTGGGCTGGTAGCTTGTCCTGTGAGATCTGCTTGCAAGCAAGACCAAGGATCTGGGGTGGGCCGAGATGGAATGTCTGAAACAAAGGTAGGGTCTCCCTGAGTGGTGAAAACTAGAGCGGACACCTCCATACAAGTAGTGACCTCCAAGGAAAACCAGAGTGGGAGTTTGCACATGGCCCATTGTTCTGAGGGGAGTTCCCCCAATGAGCAAGACAATCCATAAAGCAATAGAAAAAAAAAAAAAAAAGAACCTTGCTTTTGTGTACTTAATGGTAAGAAATCAAGCTAATATTTTTAAAATATTTATTTATTTTTATTGGAAAGGAAGATATACAAAGAGGAGGAGAGACAGAGAACAAGATCTTCCATCTGATAGTTCACTCCCCAATTGACCGGAACAGCTGGAGCTGAGCTAATCCAAAGCCAGGAAGCAGGAGCTCTTCCGGGTCTCTCACGCAAGTGCAGGGTCCCAAGCTTGGGCCGTCCTCAACTGATTTCCCAGGCCATAAGCAGGGAGCTGGATGGGAAGCAGGGCCACCGGGATTAGAACTGGCGACCATATGAGATCCCAGGTGTGCAAGGCGAAGACTTTAATCGCTACACTATCGCGCGGGGCCCCAAGATAATATTTATAACAGTACACATTTATCGAGGCCAGTATGTAACTCCAAGGCTAGCTCTCCACTTCCAAGCATTAGAATCTCATGTGAACCACTGTGAAAATTAGTATGGAGAGTGCTTGGAAAATTGCAAATAAATCCACCATATGACCCAGCTATCCTGCTGGGATAGGAATATACACAGAAGAAGTGAAATCTGCATGTGAGAAGGGGATCTGTAACCCTATATTTACAGCAGCAAAGCAATCTACAACAGCAAAGACATGGAAACAATCCAGATGTGTGTCCAAGGAAGAGTGGTCAAAGAAACTGGCTCATCTACTCCATGGAATATTATTCAGCTATTAAGAAGAATGAAATTATTCCATTTACAACCAGGTGGTCCCATCTAGGGACCATCATGCTCAGTGAAATGAGTCAATTACAAAAGAACAAATATCATATATTCTCTCTCATATAAGGAAGCCAACATGGAAAGTGTAACTCCAATAGTCCAATCCGTACTGGGGTTTTTTTTGATTGCTTGCTTTTTTGGCTGTATCCCATGTGTTTTGATGTTTTTATTTCAGTTTGGTTCCTTCCAATTAATCTCTTTTCTCCAGTTGAATTCATCACGTGCTCATGAATTATATGATGGAATCATTTTTCCCTAAGAGACTTCTGTGTTTCCTTTTTGTCATTCATGCGATGGTTACTCAGTGGCGTGTTATTTTTTTCAAGGTGCTACAGTTCGTTTTAGATGTTGCTGTTGATGATGTGGCTGCCCTAACTCATACTGGTTGCTGACCTCATTTCATGGCCTCTCACTTGTGGTAATGTAGAGTGATGGAGTACTGGGGTCTGTCATATACAGACGTGGGGGTACAATGGAACATGCATCCCTGCATCCAGACCAAAGATGGATTCCCAATGAAACTATTGGACATGTGTAGAATCAATAATTGCAAAAACTTGGAAGCAACCGAAAAACCCATCAAACAGGACTGGATAAGAAAGCTATGGTTCATTTACTCCATAACCTACTACTCAGATATTTAAAAATTAAAAAAAAAAAAAAAAGAAATGCAGCCCTTTGTAGCCAAATGGGCCCAACTAGAAAACATTATGCTAAGGGAAATGAGACAATCCCAAAAGGTTAGATAACATGTTTGCCTTAATTTAGCATGCAATGATGTCAATCCGAAAAACAGTGCCTGTAAACTGTAATATTATTTCGTCCCCAAACAGCCTGTACCTCATGCAATAAGATATTGTGATGTAACCAATGAACTAACAATCAATGTGAGTCAGACTGCTTATGATCTACATCAAAAGAATTGTAAAACCTAATATACTTTTTTTTAAAGATTTATTTTATTTTTATTGTAAAGGCAGATATACAGAGAGGAGAGACAGAGAGGAAGATCTTCCGTCCGATGATTCACTCCCCAAGTGAGCACAACGGCCGGTGCTATGCCGATCCGAAGCCAGGAGTCTCTTCCGGGTCTCCCACACGGGTGCAGGGTCCCAAAGCTTTGGGCTGTCCTCGACTGCTTTCCCAGGCCACAGGCAGGGAGCTGGATGGGAAGTGGGTTGCTGGGATTAGAACCGGCACCCATATGGGATCCCGGGCATGCAAGGCAAGGACCTTAACCACTGCGCCACTGCGCCATCACGCAGGGCCCAAAACCTAATATTCTTTCAAAACCCTGTGCTACTCGGAAATGGGTTGGGAGAGCAGAGAAATCTTCCATCTCCTTAGAATGTGTGAGGAAGACGTGAAGTATAACCTATCAAGAACATAACGGGTAACTTATAGATAACAGATTCAAATCAGCATTAGACAATAGTAAAACTACAAAGACATACAGGGGGAATCAAGAGCGATCCTAACAACCTCTTAACAGGAGGTCATATGCACAGAGCAGGGGGGAACCCCAGAGTGGAGCAGGCAGACAGGAAGAGGCTTGTATCCCAACCCTGGAGACTCCCGGATCCTCACCAAGGACTATCAGTATGGGCACCAAGGACTACATCCCAACTGCCAAAGAGACCACTGGGAAATGGAGTGCCTTCGAAGGCCGAGAACTCTGAGGTCATCCACCCCCTTTGGATCTACTACATGGGATGGAAGAAGCCCAAATCCTTCCTCGCAGGATCCAAGGTCATCGTAACAAGAGCCAGGAACCCTGAGCGGTCCACAGAAACGGAACAGTAAACTTTCTTCAGGAGTAGGGAGAGGAGCTTTCTCTGGTCCTTACTTAGTTCCAACTTTGGATCCCCACCATCAGGGTCGCTTCAGAGCGCCCCCCCCAAACACACACACACACACACAAATTAGAATAGATAGGCAGAGAACAAGAAAAGCTTAGAACAATAAAGGAAATGGTCAGCATGAACTCACACATACCTTACTAGGTAGGACACAAATATTAATTACTCCTCACTGAGGTATTGAAGATTTCTCTGCACACCTCTCCTAAAACTGTTCTACACCTCAATTGTTGACATATGCCTTGTTAGAGTTATAATCCAGTTTAGACTATCCTAAAATCTGCCAAGTTCAGCAAATTATGCTTCAACACTATGAACTGCTAAATACTAAAATGAAAATAGACATGGGCCAGCTGAATAGTACCCTATAGACATTTTAAGGTGTATAGAAGCCAGTTCTGGTATAAACTAAAATTGAAAGGACAATGAAGTAGGCACAGGTGGTGGTTAAGAACTTGCATTTTTTTTAACATATTGGTTATTCTACCATGTCAATTAATTCCACAGTGTTGTAAATTGTCGTTGATGTTATGTCGTGACTTTAAATTGATTGGGATGGTATTTTGCCAGCTCTGCCTTCAGACCAGAGATGGTCTCCCCAAGAAACTGTTGAATTTACCTGGACAATAAGATGCTGGACTCTATGCTTGGTATACTCTTGCAATGAAAGAATCTTGACTGAATTTGAAATGTAACACAGCAACAAGGTGGAGGAATCCACCATAGAGGGAGGGTACGGGGAGGGGTTGGAGGATCCCCAGAGCCTATGAAACTGTGTCACATAATGCAATGTAATTAATAAAAAATATATATATTAAAAAATAAAAAATCTCATGTGAATGCCGGTTTGTGAGTTTGTGTCCTGGCTGTTCCACTTCCCTTTTAGTTCCTTACTTGTGGCCTGGGAAAGCAGTCGAGGACCACCCAAAGCCTTGGGATATTGTAGCCATATGGAGACCCAGAAGAGGCTCCTGGTTCCAGGCGTCATAGCAGCTCAGTTCCAGCCACTGTAGCAATATGAAGAGTGAACCAGCGGATAAGATTTTTCTGTCTCTCCTTCTCTTTGTAAATCTGTCTTTCCGAGAAAAATAAATAAATCTTAATAGTACACGTGTACCACACAAACCCAGGCATTCACTGGGAACTGAAGAGTTAATTTATGAAGAAATGAGGCACACTTCGCAAAGCTACTGATGGGAGGCACATGCGGGCCAGCTTGGTCTCTCTGTAGTCAACAAGTTGTGGACTCTGGGATGTGGGAAGCCATGCAGTTGGTTCGGACGACATGGGTGTGTGATGAGCAAGGCTACGAGGAGTTTCTGGCTGCCTGGCAAGGCCAGGCAGAATGTCTCTTATCACCTCATTGCTGCCTCACCCCATTGTATGGACACTTGATCATCTCGCTATATTTCATAAAATTCTCCTGAGGGCGCTATTGTTTTTCTGCCTATGTGAAAGGATTCCTGTAACTGGTAAAACACCTCAAACTGATTAACCATGTTATGGTAAAAGCATCTTCAGCGATGTAAGGCAGTGACACACAGGTAAAATCATAAGATAGTTCAATTGAGCCCGCATTGTCCGCAAACATCCTGCTATGTATCCACATTTGTCCTGGAGTTTGCCCTAAAATAAGTAGCGTTCTCCTTAAGAAAAGGCTTCCAGGGCCCGGCGCGATAGCGCAGTGGTTAAGGTCCTCGCCTTGCATGCCCGGGATCCCATATGGGCGCCGGTTCTAATCCCAGCAGCCCCGCTTCCCATCCAGCTCCCTGCCTGTGGCCTGGGAAAGCAGTCAAGGATGGCCCAAAGCTTTGGGACCCTGCACCCGTGTGGGAGACCCGGAAGAGACTCCTGGCTTCGGATCGGCATAGCACCGGCCGTTGCGCTCACTTGGGGAGTGAATCATCGGACGGAAGATCTTCCTCTCTGTCTCTCCTCTCTGTATATCTGCCTTTACAATAAAAATAAAAATAAATCTTTAAAAAACACTTCTCGTGTGCACTGTGTCTCCACAATAAACACAGCAGGCCAGCGTGTATGTTTTTTATTTATCCACCTGGATTTCTTTCACACGGATGCTGTCTGTAACCACCATGACCCTCCCCCACAAGGCCAGGCTAAATCCCCTTGGCACAAAGGAATGGGTGCTCTGCCAACTGGGGCCCAGGCAGGTATGATGTGGGGTACCCCCACCATGAAGAAATGAGCAAGAAAAGGGAGAACAAGTTCATCATACCCAATCCCCACCAAAGGGGGGAAGGGAAATTAAGAAGGCTATGGCAACTACCCCCAAGCTCCTGCCCAGTCTTTATATACAGAAAGCAAGGGGGAACAAAGTGGGCCTTCCTTCAGAAATACAGCACCAACATCAGCACAGAGGCCAAAGGACAGTGGGCAAGATGGCTTCCCTCTGAGAGGAGGGTCGAGAAAGAGCTCACCCCCCAGTGGCTGGGGCAACCTCTCTTGCTGTGGCTGGGTGCAACCAGGACACTCGGCGTGGGGAGCAGAGAGTGGGGGAGGAAGGGATGACAGCCTGGGCCACCCACTTCTCCCAGAACCCCTGGCCCCACACAGGCATGCCTTTGCCCAGGAGCCCAGGTCAGGGGACATGGAAGAAACTGCTGGAATCCAAGGCCCTTATCTATTTCTTCTTCCGTTCTTGCGAACAACGTGGGCAAAACCTGGGAAGGAACGGGAGAGAAAGGATGAGCAGGGGTGAGTGACAGGGAGTCTGCCCTGAGGCCCAGGGTGCAGGACAGTCAGTCAGCTCTGGCCACATCCTTCCTCTCTTACCATTTTCCCCGAGGCTTGGTGGTCAGCCCCACACAGGCAAAGTGGAACCACTCAATGGAACACTAGAAAAAAAGAGGAAGACGGAAGTGGTCAGAGGCCGGAGGAGGCAGGGCGGGGAGCCAGAGCCCCTCGCAGACACCCTGGGTGCATCCCTTCACTCCATGACCTTGGGAGCATTCTTGATGAGCCCACAGCCCCCCCCACCGGGCTGCCTCCCTCGCCCCCCTCCTGTTCTGGAACAATACTCTGAACCCGGAGGCACCCCCTCACCGCCTGGACCCACTCCCTTTACGCCCCTCAGCGCCCCCATCTGAAGCAAAATGGCTCTCACATCAGGGTTGTCACAACCAATCATCTCTCCATAGGAGACCTGGTGACAAAGGCAATAGGTGGGTTCGTTGGGATCCACAGGCATATCCAACACATCAGAGGGGTGGACACTGCCAAAGGCCACTGCGGGCATCCCATACTCAGGACTTCTGCGTGCCAAGAGGAAGAGAAAGTGTCATCTGTGGAATGGGAAGCTGCGACCTGCGGCCCTCAGACGTGGCAGGAGGAGACCCTGGGTGGGGCGCGGGGGCGGGATGGGGGCAACAGACTCAGGGCTTCTCCTCTCTAACGAGCAGAAGCCAAAAGGAGAAGGAAAAGAAGCTACCAGCAAAGAGGCCAGAGACAGTAGCCAGGGCTGTGCCGGGGAGGAGTACGGCCTGGGGAGAGGGGAGTGTGCCGCTCGGCATCGGGGTGCCCTGCTTCACTCACGTGCGCACAAGTTTTAGCTTCTTCTGGGCAGCCTTGGGGGCCTCCTCATCCGAGTTCTTCCCTTTGGAGCGAGCACGGGCGGCCTTCTTCTCCTTCTGGGTTCGACCTTCGAGGGAGCATGCCAGGGAGCCAGGAGGCACAAAGACAGAGAGACGGGTTAAGTCCTCCTCCTCGCCGCACGTTCCAAACCTGCGCCTCTCTCACGGGGGTGGGGGGACAAGCTGAGCTCCTGGCCTCGGTCTCCTTGTCCCGCCCCTCTCCCCCCTCACTCTTTTTGCCTTTGCTCGAAGAGCTGTCACAGTCACTTGATTCAATCTGCTTCTCTTTCAGATCAGCCTCAAAACGGGCTAGGTCCGTGTCCAGGCGCCGGATGTGTTTGTCCACCTGGGCGGTGGGGAGGAAGGAGGAAGAAGACAAAGAGGGTGAGCTGGTTTCAGTTGCATCTGGCCAGTGCTCCTCATGCCCAAATAGCTCCTGACTCAGCTGAAGGGGCTACACCCCGAGGACTAGCTGGCACGTGGGAGGGGAGCCACAGACAGAACATACCATCTCATAGGTCTGCATGGCCAGCTGTACTTTGTCGTCCCCGAACTCCTTGCACTTGCCGTAGGCCTCCTGGATCTGTTTGAGAAGGGCCAGTTTCTCCTCGGGGCTCAGGCTGCGGGCGCTGCTCATGTACTCGGTGGCCAGCTTGTCAATCTCGGCCTTCAGGTCTACAACAGCCAAGTCACCAGGGTCCCTGAGTGGCTAGGTCACACACGCTTTTCCTCTGGCTCCTTAGATCTTTCATCCACCAACCAGAACCTTTGAACTAACAGGGACTGAGCCTTCAGCAGCACTGTGCCATGCACCCAAGCACTATGACGTGGACGACACATGCTCCAGAGATGCCTTCAAGACTGTAAGCACTGCTCTTGGAGTTGGAATGGCAATGGCAGAAACTCAGTTTGCACAGAATGTTAACACGTGGCACACGTTGGTGGACGTCGGAGAATGCTCCTTGGTGGGCCTTACTGCTCCTTCACTTTGATCTCCAAAGATGCCTTGTTTCTTGTCTCAAAAAACATCTCACGGTGGCCTTGACTGGAGGTGCCAGCTGCTGCTGGCTGCCAGGTGGGTACATCTCTACCTCAGGGCGTGGAACCACGCCCTCCTTCATTCACATTACAGTGCTGCCCACTGACCCTGCCGGTCCACAGCCAGCTGATTCTGCTTATCACCTGCAGCTGGTATCCATCCCCCACTGACTTCACTTTTGCTCTAAACGCTCTGATCCTGGGATGCTGCTCACAGCCCTGGGATGCTGCCCACGGCCCGGAACATCCAGACTGCAGAGGGTTCCTCCCTGACATTTGGTAAGGCTCACGAAAACAGCACAGGAAGAGAGCAGAGGTCCGACTGTAACAAAGTTACAGCTAACAAGAGGGCTCCCTGAGCACCCCCTCGCTCCGGGCCAAAGGAGCTCCAGAGGCGGCCAGTTCCCACAAGCTCCCAGTGGCCTTTGTGTGTGTTAATTCCAGTTACCTCTGTGTGACAAAGTGAGCGGGTCTCCATGGCTTGGCAGGTGGCACTCAGGAGTCTACCTCCTGCACTTCAGATGATGTTCACTTCTTCAGGGGTCAACTTACCCTGAGTAACTTTAGACACAGGTTCATGGATCCCAACACCTCAGGATGGCAGAGAGGACCTCCACGCTCCATCCTGAAGAGACCTACCTGTCCGCTGCAGTAGCCTGCCTCTGCCTCCAGGTGCACACAGCCAAGCTGCCTTAACATCCAAGGCCAGAGACAACTGAAAGCCTCTGGGAAGCTCAGGAACACCGAGAGACCCTGACGCTGACTTCTGCTTTTCTTTCCCTTCTTCCTTTGTTTCTTTCAAGAATCTCTTAGACGGCCAAGTCCTATCTCGCAGCACGAGCCACAGTCTGAAGCTACACTGAATCCTGGCATAGGGACACGAATAACGCAGTGGAGGAGACTACGTTATCCTATGAATTGTTGAAGGTAGGGGGCAGAGATCATTTTAGATGCTCCACTTCACATCCTAAAATTTTTCTGGGGGGAAGTTATAAACTGCTAACATCTTTTGAGTTTGTGAGCACTGTCTCAGTATTCCATTTGTCATGGAAAAACTGACACAGAAATGAAGTTCACCACTATCCTCGCTCAAGAATTACGAGCAAGAGAGACAGACAGAGGCCTTGTTTCTCCAGATCATAGCAGCAGAAAAACTAATGATTGTACCCACTCCCCCCGCCCAGCAGCACCTTGCCCTGCACGCACCTTCTGTTCTTTGGTCTAGGTCCCTCATGAGCTGGAAGTTTCTCTGCAATTCAAAGGGCAGGTTTTCAATACCTGGGGAAAAGAAGGACGCCAAGTGTCACTGGGCCACGCACTGCCCTTAAAATACCTGTGCAAGTGCAGGTGGCTTTTCCCACCTGGGAGTCTCTCAAGATCTGTGCCAAGATTCTTCTCTTTTTTTAGAGGATCTATTAGTCTGAAAGACAAAGTGATAGAAAGAGGAAGAGACAGAGATCTCACACCTGCTAGTTCACTCCCCACATGTCTCAATGGCCAGGGTTGGGCCAGGCTGATGCTAGCAGCCGAGAGCTCTGTTCTGGTCCTCTTTGGAGTGGCAGGAGCCCAAGTCCTTGGACCATCCTTTGTTGCCTTCTCAGGGACATTGGGGGAGGGGGGCACTGAATCAGAAGCAGAACAGCTGGAACTCAAGCCTGCACTCCTACAGGTATTGTGGGTAGCAGCTTAATAAACTGTGCCATACCACCATCTTCCTCATTGTCCCTTTTCTCACAAGAGACCATTCTCACTGCCTCTCCCCTCAAATCTGCATGGCTCTCCCATTTCCTCTCTTCTCTTCTACCAGCCAACCACGCCCTCTCCCATATTTTCAATATTTGCCTCCAAACTTCTTATTTCCAATCTCCAACCTCCTTTTGTTTCTCCTCCCTCCCCTCCCCTACTACATTTATTTATCTGAAAGGTATAATGACAGACAGAAATCTTTCACTTAGTACGTCATTCCCCAAACAGCCTCAATGGCTTGACTCAACCAGACTCAAGTTCGGAGCCTGTAATTCTATCAGGGTCTCCCATGGTGAGTGGTGGAGGGTTCAAGCACTTGGGCCATCATCTGCCCTTCCACGCATATTAGCAAGGAGCTGGAGCAGAAGTGGAGCAGCTAGAACTCAAAACACCTGCCACCTAGCTGGCAGCTTAACCTTCTGGGCCACAACGCTGACCCCTATCATTCATTTCTACAAGAGGCCACATTCATCTTCACTATCACTGCACCCCGCTCCTGCCATCCTAACCCTAGACCTAAAGGCACATGGCTATGCTACCATCCTCCACTCTGACGATCATATGCTACCTATTAGCTCTGCCCTTTCCTTATATGCTTTTGCTAAGTTTCACTTACTTGGGTGAGGTGGAGGACTAATCCTCCACCTCCAAGAGCTGGGATCCTATATATGCGCTGGTTTGTGTCCCCACTGCTCCACTTCCTATCCAGCTCCCTGCTTGTGGCCTGGGAAAGCAGTAGAGGATGGTCCAAAGCCTTGGGAGACCTGCAGGAAACTTCTGGCTCCTGGCTTCAGATTGGCGAGGCTCTGGCTATTGTGGCCGCTTGCAGTGAGCCAGTGCAAGCAAGATCATTCTCTCTGTCTCACTTCTCTATGTAAATTTGCCTTTCCAATTAAAAATTATATATATACATATATAAATTATATATATACATATATATAATTTTTCTAAGATTTATTTTATTTTTATTGGAAAGGTGGATATACAGAGAGGAGAGACAGAGAGGAAGATCTTCCGTCCGATGATTCACTCCCCAAGTGAGCGCAACGGCCAGTGCAATGCCGATCCGAAGCCAGGAGCCTCTTCCGGGTCTTCCATGCGTGCAGAGTCCCAAAGATTTGGGCCATCCTCAACTGATTTCCTGGGGCCACAGGCAGGGAGCTGGATGGGAAGCGGAGCCGCCGGGATTAGAACCGGCGCCCATATGAGATCCCGGAGCGTGCAAGGTGAGGACCTTAACCACTGTGCCACCGTGCCGGGCCCTATATACATATAATTAAATCTTTTCCATTAAAAAAAAAAAAAAACTATCTGAAACAGAGACAGACAGAGATGACCTGTGTGTTGGTTCACTCCCCAGACAGAATCAGAACTCTGCTCTGGTCTCCCAGGAGAGGTGGCAGGGGCCCCAGTACTTGGACCATCTTCCACTGCTTTTCTAGACTCATTAGCAGGGAGCTGGGTCAGAAACGGAACAGCTGAGCTGGGACCTGGCACTCAGCAGGCAATGCTGGTGTGGAAGACAGTGGCTAGACGCTCTGTTTTGGGAAGCTGGCCCCATTCCCAAGTTTCAGGTGCCACCCTTGTCTCTACTGCTCACCACACACACCCTGGCAACCTACCCTCCATACGGCAGCCTGAATGTCCTTTCTAAAAATGTAAACTGGGGCAGGCTGGGCATCTGGTGAGGCAGTTTGGATGCTCACTGACTCTCCTGTGTGCTGTAACCCAATGCCCAGGCTCAAGTGCCAGCTCTGCTCTTCTTTGTAGTGTCCTGCAAATGGGCACCAGTTCATGTCCTGGCTGCTCCACTTCCCTTCCCGCTCCCTGGGAAAGCAGTGGAGGATAGCCCAAAGCCTTGGGATCCTGTACCAGCATGGGAGGCCCAAAGAAAGTTCCTGGTTTTGGTGTAAAATTGGCTCAGCTCTGGCCACTGTGGCCATTTGGAGAGTGAATCAGCAGATGGAAGAATTCTCTGTCTCTCTTTCTCTCTGTAAAACTTGCTTTTCAAATAAAATAAATCTTTTTTAATAGTTTACTTTTTAAAAAGATTTATTCGTTTTTAAAGATTTACTCATTTTTATTGGAAAGGCAGACATACAGAGAGGAAGAGAAACAGAGAGGAAGATTTTCCAACCGATAGTTCACTCCCCAAGTGGCTGCATGTAAGCCACGTAATGCGATGACTTTAGCCTCTAGGCTACCATGCCAGGCCCATAAAATAATTAATTAAAAAAAAAAAAAGGCCCCGCGCTGTAGCCTAGAGGCTAAAGTCTTCTCCTTGCTCGCCCTGCTTCCCATCCAGCTCCCTCTCTGTGGTCTGGGAAAGCAGTCAAAGATGGCCCAAAGCCTTGGGACCCTGCACTCGCATGGGGATCCAGAAGAAGCTCCGTACTCCTGGTTTTGGATCAGATCAGCTCTGGCCATTCTGGCCACCTAGGAAGTGAATCAGACAGAAGATTTTTCCCCCTTCTCTCTTCTCTGTATATATCTGACTGCAATAAAAATAAATAAAACTTTTTTTTTAAGATTCATTTATTTTTATTACAAAGTCAGATATATACAGAGAGGAGGACAGGTAGAGAAGAAGATCTTCCGTCCGATGATTCACTCCCCAAGTGAGCGCAAGGCTGGGGCTGCGCTGATCCGGAACAAGGAGCCAAGAACTTCTTCCACGTCTCCCACGCAGGTGCAGGGTCCCAAAGTCCCTGGCTGTCCTTGACTGCTTTCCCAGGCCACAAGCAGGGAGCTAGATGGGAAGTGGAGCTGGAGGGATTATAACCAGTGCCCATATGAGATCCTGGGGCATGCAAGGCGAGGACTTCAGCCACTATGCTATCGTGCTGGGCCCAACGCTAATGTCTTCTTGAGATCGCACTTTTATTTCTTTCAGGCTCTCATCCTGCTTTCCTGAACAATTTTGTTCATTTTCACAGATATAACCGGCAGTCCTGTGCTGATGCTTACATGCAATTACACATCGTGGGTTCTCTCGCACCTCCCATCTTGTTGATGTACACAGTCAACGTCACGTTGCAAGCAGGAAGTTCTCTTAAATTTCTTTCATCTTCTCTCAACCATTCAGTCAGCCCTGTCACAGTTAACTCCTAAATAAACCTGCTGTGTGCTAAAATCAGGCCTACATCTCTGATCTGGTCTGTTTTCACTAACTAATCCACCCCGCCACACACCCCACTCCAACAATGTTATCAGGATCCATACACCGCTTAGAGAAACAGCACTGAGGGCTGGGACTGTGGTGCAGCACCCGCACTAACGCGCAGCTGTGGTCCGGCTGCTCTCTTTCGATCCAGCTCTGTTCAGATGCTAGGAAAGCAGCACAACGTGCCCCAAGCCACTGACACGCGGGAGAGCTGCAGGAAGTTCCAGACTCCTGCCTTGGGCTGGCTCACTACCTAGCAAAATACTTGGGAACTGAACAAAGAAAGACCTCACCCTCTGTGTCTCTCTTCATTCAGGTAAATAGGTCTTACAACTAACACAAAGCATTAGTTAAACCCCCCAGCCCCCCCCACACACATTCTCCTTTAAAATACAAACTCGTCAACATAGCTTAAAATACTTTTTGCCTCTAGGCCCAGTGCAATGGCTCACCTTGGCCCTGGTGCAGCAGCCTAATGGCTAAAGTCCTCACCTGAATGCCCCAGGATCCCATATGGGTAACGGTAATAATCCCAGCAGCCCCGCTTCCCATTCAGCTCCCTGCTTGTGGCCTGGGAAAGCAGTCGAGGACAGCCCAAAGCCTTGGGACCCTGCACCCGCATGGGAGACCCAGAAGAGCTCCTGGCTCCTGGCTTTGGGTCGGCGCAGCTCTAGCCATTGCGTTGTGGTCACTTGGGGAGTGAATCATTGGACAGAAGATCTTTCTGTCCCTCCTCCTCTCTTTCTCTTTATATATATATATGACTTTGCAATAAAAATAAATAAATCTTTAAAAAAAAATCCTCACCTTACCTGTGCTAAAGTCCTCGCCTTGCCCGCACTAGGATCTCATATGGGTGCCAGTTCTAATCCTGGCAGTACCACTTCCCATCCAGCTCCCTGCTTGTGGCCTGGGAAAGCAGTCAAGGACAGCCCAAAGTCTTGGGACCCTGCACCCATGTGGAAGACCAAGAAGAGGCTCCTGGCTTCAGTTCAGCTCAGCTCTGGCCAATGAGGCCACTTGGGATAGTGAATCAGCAGCCAGATCATTCTGTCTCTCCTTCTCTCTGTAACTCTACCTTTCCAAAAGGTAAATCTTAAAAAACAGAGACGCTGCCCAGTCTAGCCTCTGCCTCCTCCTCTAAGTCTCATTTTCCCAGTTCTCCCCTTGGTGTCACATGAGACCACTTCAAAACACCCAGGGGGAAAATAGTTTTTAAAAGTCTGTTTTGGTTTCAGAATAAAACTAAGTTCAACGTGCTTCAGAATATGAACTGAATTTTCTATGAGCCTTTTAAAGCTCTTACATATGCCAGGATTTTAAAAAACAGGGCTACGGTGGGGGTGGGACCATGTTTGGTATAGCACGTTAAGCAATCGTTTGCAATGCCAAGATCCTATAAATCCTATAAGGGAGTGTCTCTTCAAGTACCAGCTAACAGGCCGGGAAGGAAGCAGAGGGCAGCCCACTCAGTTCACTGCCTGCTGTGTGGGAGACCAAGCGGAGGCTCCCATTGGCCCAGGCCTGCTGGTGCCGGCATTTGGGGAATGAAACACAAAGCAGAAGATCTCTTCACTCCTCTGTTACTTTGCTTTACACCCCCCCCACACACACACACATTGTGGACCCAAACAGACATCTTTTCATTCTATTCTCCACAAACTTGGGGACGTACCCTTGCATATATAAAAGACCCATTTTTCCATGATCTTGTCACACACATATCCCAAGACCTTAGCCATGACTTTCTCCGCGGTTTCCTCTCTTCCTCCACAGTGCATGTAAACAATCTTACTGATTGTGCTCAAACGTCGCTGCCTCTGCAAAAGCCTGTTGTTCCCCAGGAACCCCGTCCCCAGGGGTTCACACTGAACTTCCGACACATCCCTTCTACTTCACAGGCCACACTGTTTTATGCGCATTCACGAGGCCTTGCAGAAGCCGACTTCTAACGACATCGTGTCTTCCTCGGAGCTCAGTCCCCGTAACCCAACGACAGCGCTCCGGGAAGCGGCGGCTCACAGATTTCCACGTCACGGGAACTGGGGCTTCCGCGAAAACAACTGGGTGAAGCAGCTCCGCACCCGAAGCGAGCGGCTGACACCCTCCGAACGCCCCGGCGGTGGGGCGGGCGCGGGGAGACAGCCACGCCGCGGTTGCCGAGCCTTGCAGAATGGCAACGGCAAGCACCGTCCAGGCTCCGTCAGCTAGTCCTTTCCAGCCAAAGCCCGAGCCCCTCCGCGCAGCTTCTCCCTCGTCTGCACACAGACGCCTCGACGCCGCTGCCCCGCCCCCTCTTTCTTCACGCCGTTCCGTATTTCCCCCCGCGAATCCCTTCCAGAAATGGAGACCTGCTCAGCCCCGGGCCTCCGGGCCCACAAAGCCTCTCGGCCCCAATCCCCACGCCCATCTACGAACCCTGGCCCCCTCCTCCAGCCTGTTCTTACTGTCCAGATAATGTTCCAGATACATCCCCGCAGCCATCTTGGAGCAAAACAAAGCAACTTCCGATTTGCTCCGGAAGCTATTTTTGGCTGAGAGTATTTCCGCCCTTAAAGGGACTTCCGCCCTTAGTAAATTACTTGGGCAGACACATCCGCCTGACGTTCAAAATTGTCCTTTTGCGTGAACTGCCACGAGCTCCCGGAGCGAGGCGGCTGTAGCCGACTTCCGCCCTTACTGAGACTCCAGTACGCGACCGAGACAGGTATGACGTCACTGCAGGTCGCCATTTTGCATTCTCTTGCAAACTTTTTTTTTTTCCCTCCAAAAGGAATGTGGTTATGGGGGTACAAGTTTCTCTTGAGATTGGTGTATGAAGATCTCTTTTCTACAAGTAGGGAATCCAATATTGTTTTTCTTCTTCAGAGTATGACTCTGATGAACAGAAAAGATTCCGGCTGTCAAAGCTGGCTAGAAGCAGGAAAGTGGTATAAGGCTTGGAGATTGAAATCCCCGGTTTTGTGGTCACACAAACACCGTTGCCTGGTGATCATATCTCAAATTAAGATTTATTATAAACTTCCTACTTATAAACAGCGGTGTACTTCTGGCTTTAGTCTCCTGTCATTAAGGAGGAAATGTCACTTTTTAAGATTTTTTAAAATGTTTATTGGAAAGGCGGATATACAGAGAGAAGGAGAGGCAGAGAAGATCTTCCGTCCGATGGTTCTCTCCCCAAGTGGCCGCAACGGCTGGAGTTGAGCCAATCCAAAGCCAGGAGCCAGGAGCTCTTCCGGGTCTCCCACGCAAGTGCAGGGTCCCAAAGCTTTGGGCCGTCCTCCACTGCATTCCCAGGCCACAAGCAGGAAGCAGGGCCACCGGGATTAGAACTGGCACCCATATGGGATCCTGGGGCGTTCAGGTGAGGACTTTAACAGCTACACTATCACACCGTGCCCGGAAATGTCACTTTTTAAAAAAACACGTTACATTATTCTGAAGGGGTTGGGCCAGTTAAATGCGAGCAAACTATAGCCCCAAGAACAGTTTCCCCTCAAGCTGCCACCGCGTGGAAGAAACAAAACTCAAACCTTATAACTGAATAGTGATTAAGTCCCCCTTAATTACACACACACACATCACAATTATTCTCAAGGCAGCAAAGTGATGTTCTAATCTTTTCAGGTACAGTGTGTGGGAAAAGGCAAGATGACCCCCCCCTCCAGTGAGGACCTCTGAGCAATGATAAGGTGCAATAATGGAATCTGAATCTTCCTTCTGGTTAGAGGTCATGCCCTTGGCTAGGCAATCTTGGGCTTATTTCCTTTTGTATACAGTGGTGATAGTAAGTCCTTAAAAAATAGATTGGGAGGGAGGAGGTGGTGACAGATAAGGAGGGGCAGGTGATTCAAGACTAATCATCTGCATTCGGGCTCTGGGCACCAGTTAGTGTCCCAATTGCTCCACTTCCCACCCAGCTTCCTGACTGGGGCCTGGGGAAGCCATGAAAGATGCCCCAAAGCCTTGAGACCCTGTGCCCACGTGGGAGAGCTGGGAAAAGTGCCCCGATTTGGACTGCCTCAACTCCAGTCATCCAGTCATTTGAGGAGCAAACCAGCGGATGAAAGATCTTTCTTCTGTGTGTAGATTTGACTTTCTAGTGAAAATAAGTAAATCTAAAAAAAAAAAAAAAATTGATAGTGGTGAGGATGGTCAGGCCCTTTCCACCAGGGAGTGCAGAACAGTAAATAAAGCTAACAAAACCCTGGAATATCTGGTCACAGCCGAGCCTCCTCCTAAGGCATTAGCTTGGATGCCATTTATCTAGCACCAAGTAGGCATGAGCATTATTTCAGATGTCTTCTATGCCAAATACTGCTTACCATTAGCCCTAGACTCCCACCAGTCTTAAGGTGCTGGAGTTTGGTCACAACTTTTCCAGCTTTCAAAAAGTAATCTTGGACATTACCAAATTTTTTTCTTCCATTCTTTCTATTACCAAATTCTTGAAGAGTCTTGGGACCTGCTCGGGAGGACCATGGCCAACAAGGCTTCAGATCTCCTGACTACACTCACTCCTCGGTGAGCCACTGTGCACCAATCAGCTGGTGGCGCTTGCAGTATTTCAACCCTGTGGTGTACATATGCACTGTGCCAGCTGCAATTAGTGGACTCCTTCCTAGGTCCCTCAAACGGGCCACCTTTGCTTAGCTACCGTGGTAAGACGTAACTGTTGGCAAGGCAGTCCTTATGACAGACTGTAAATCAGGATTTCACTTGGGAGAGAGCGCCCCCTTCCCTAGCTGGGGGAATCACACACACAGAACCTCACCCCACCAGCACAGGCTGGAGCACCCAGAGGTGTCCATCCACAGCCCTGTCCCCAGAGCTTTTCCCCATGCTTTCTCACACCAGCAGCCCTACTGCCTCTGATCCTTTTACATGAATTTATTTCTATACAATATTCTAAAAACACCCCTTAGTTTGTACATAAGGTTTTTTTCCTTCATTTTTTTAAAATTGCTTTATAACAACTTGTTTCCTGATTTTTAATTTTTCTCTGAAATCTGCCATTTTTTTTGTTAAAAAAAAGGGTAAAAGAAAATAAAAATGTCATGGCCAGAGGACAGGGTGGAGAAAAAAAAAGGAAAAAAAATAAACAAAACATCAAATATGAAAATTCTCAGAGATAATGCATTTATAAACACAGAAATGGTTACAACAAAGATGGCCGTGATGAGTGGGTATATATATATATTTATATATATATTTATATATAAATCCGTGTCCAGCATCTGACCGTGGCACCTAGGGGGCTAAGTCCAGTCCTTGCTTGCCCTGGCTCTCCCCTTCTCTGTAACACCTCTGGAGTCTGAGAACACAAACCTCCCACAGTTCCCTGGGGGCCAAGGATGGGAAAACTGAGCGTACAGGGCCTTGGCTGGCAGAGAAGGGGAGAGGCTCCAAAGGACACTCCAAACCCACACTGCTGTAAGCCAACCCTTGACCAGCCCTTGCCCCCTTACAAAGAGGTGGTCTAATCCCCCCGCCACACCTGGCCCCATCTCCTACCAGCGGTAGGCAGGAAGTGCAGTGAGGTCACGGAGGGCAAAGGATGGCTCTGAGGGAGTAGGGCCTGTGAGAAGCGTCTGTTCTCTTTGCCGGAAGAGTAGAACAGGAGGCTGGCTGCAGTTGCTGCAGTTAGGGCCCCCTGGTCTGTCAGCAGGGAGGGCCGGCCTCTGGTCTACATCGGCCCACATTCGGAGGGTGAGGGGGCATGTCCCGTGACGGGCCAGTTTCTTTGAGGTCATAGCAGATCCTTCCCGTGAGCACCAACCCCCAGTTTAGAAGCTTTGCTTGGGAGGGGAGGCTGCTGGGTTCACTGTCAGCTCAGAGTCCTTGGCCAGTCAGGAAGGCTGACGTTCCTTCTGAAGAGGAGCTCAGAGTAAGGATGGCGTCTCAGTGATGGAAAGCCGGACCTGAGGCCCAAGGGGAGGACCAAGGCTTGTCAAGAAGAGGAGGATTTTCCCCACTGGGAGGAGTCAGAAGGAAGGGCCCAGAACTCCTTCTTGCTCTCCCAGCGGGCGGAAGCACGGATCTCTAAGAGCTGGCCAGGTGCTCCACCTGGATGGTGCTGGTGGTGACCGTGAGGCAGATGTCCTTATGATGCTCCGCCGTCTTATAGGGGGTGAGGTCAAAGGAGCACTGGGGCGGAGGGTTAGGGTTGCTGTCCCCACCACCCGCACTCTGGGGGGCTGCCCCAGGGGACTGAAAGTGTGGTGGTTGTGGCTGCTGCTGCTGCTGCTGTTGCTGCGAAGCCTGGGAGGCCTGAGCCTGGGCCTGAGCCTGGGCCTGAGCCTGAGCCTGGGCCTGAGCCTGAGCCTGGGCCTGGGCCTGAGCCTGGGCCTGGGCCTGGGCCACTGCTGCTGCTGCTGCCGCTGCTTGCACTTGCTGCTGGAGATCAGGAGGGTTGTGTTTGCGCATATGTTTCATAAGGTATGTTTCCTAAGGGAGATGACAAAAAGAAGTTGACGGGTCAGAGATACTTGGAACTAGCATCCAGGGCTGCGTTAGGTCGGGTGCTATTTACAGATACTCTGGGGCCAGGAGTCAGCAGAGCTCAAGCAGCTTTGGGGTTCATGGCCAGGTAGATGGCAGAAACTGAGCTCTACCAGTTGCCACGGACACAGAAGAGGGAAAAGCTGCCATTTTTCTTGGAGTTGTGAATGGGACTTTGCATTCTGGCAAATACCCAATCCTTCTCTCCCAGAGATTTTCTGGGGTTTTGCTTGGTCTTATGTTTAAGTCAAACCAAGAAAGATGATTTACCATCCCTACAGGCTGAGGGGTTTGGTATCTACATTCCTCAACAGAAAATCTAATGCATTTCTGAATCCTTTTTTAAAATCTTTCATCCTGTATATAATTTTATTTAATTTTTTCCTTCTATTTTTAAAAATTTTATGATACAATTGTACAGGCTCTGGGATTTCCCTTACCAAAAACCTCCCAAAGTTCTTTCCCCCCAACTTATTTCCCCATACTATTACAATAGCACAGTCCTTCACCAGCAGTCATAATAGCTAGGATGCTGGACTGTCTGCCATTGTCTGTACTGCCAATGTCAGGACACACTTAAATAGCAGAATGATGGACTTTAATTGCTTATGAATTTATGAGTCCTTAAAGACTGTTAGCTTGGGGCCAGAGAGCTGGGTGCTGCAGGGAGATTCATGTGACCGCTGGGAGGGAAGAGAACCCGAGCACTCACTGATGTGTAGGCCCGACTACAGATGGTGCAGGTGTAGACCTTGGCGTGCTTCACCGTGTGCGTAGACAGGTGCACCTCCAGCGAGGCTGCGTCCGTGTACGCCCGGTGACAGTTGTGGCACTTGAAAGGTTTATCTTTGTTGTGTTGCCGCCTGTGGGACTGGGAACACGGGGAGAAAGCAGTTAAGGGCAATGCTCACACCTCTGGCTGCCCCAGCCTCCCCACCAAGCCCTGAGCTGAACATCCCCATTCCGTCCGGAAGCAGCGGCAGTCTCCACAGGAACTCGGGGAGTGAAGGGCTAAGGCAGAGAGCCCACACCAGGAGGGAGACAGACGACAGAGTGAGGCATGGGCATCTCCAGGGACAGGAGGAACTTTCCCCTAGGGACCCACAAAATCAAAACTCATCAAAGTGACAATGAAATAGCATCATGCTCTCCTGACTGCGCCACAGGCACGTGGCTGGTGACGTCACAATAGACTGAATGCAGCAGTCAGAAGGTCAGCTTTTCTTCTGGTAAGCCAACAGGAAAGAAACATGCATGACTATAACACTACTCTCCCCAGACAGGTTTCTGCTTTTCCCCTAACTTTTGTGAATATATCATGTAAGTTAACATGCAATGCACTTATTATTGTTTTTTCAAAGTTCTGTTTTATGATATCTATGTAGGTAGATACAAAGGCTCTTCAAGAAGTTCATGAGAAAACTGAAATATATTATAAACTCAACATTTTATCTTAAAAAAAAAAAAAAAAAAAGAACCAGTTTGTGTATTTTCAATTGTTTGCAAGGCAGAGCGCCAGGCTGACACAGGAGGCTAGAGCTTCTGCTGGGTCCCCCACCTGGTGTGGCAAGGACCTGAGGCCCTGAGCCACCATCTGCTGCCTCCCAGGTCGTGTGACTGGACAGTTAGACCACAAGCCCAGGAAACCAGGACTCAAGGGGCACGTGGATCTGGGCAGTGCGTGTCCCTAAGGGTGCTGAACCATCTGTCCGTAAACTCATCTTTTAATTCCATTTTTCCATGACTGAAGCACTTTTGGGGTTCCTCACTAACCTTTTTTTTTAAATATAAAATGTTCTTTGTGGTTTTTTTTTTCCTTTGTTTTTTTAAAGATTTATTTATTTTTATTGTAAAGTCAGATATACAAGGAGGAGGAGACAGAGGGGAAGATCTTCCGTCCGATGATTCATTCCCCAAGCGACCGCAACGGTTGGTACTGCATTGATCCGAAGCTAGGAGCCCAGATTCTCTTCTGGGTCTCCCACACAGGTACAGGGTCCCAATGTTTTGGATCGTCCTCTACTGCTTTCCCAGGCCGCAAGCAGGGAGCTAGATGAGAAGTGGAGCTGGTGGGATTAGAACCGGCACCATATGGGATCCCGGTGCTTTCAAGGCAAGGACTTTTAGCCACTAGGCGACAGCGCTGGGCCTGGTTCCTCACTAACTTTTAAGTGTGTAAAGGAATTCTAAAAAAGTCTGAGAACCGCTGTCCTAGTTTGGCACCACTCAGCCTACGTCTCTGTGCCAGGTTGAGTAGAGGGTGAATGTTTACCTGCAGGTTGGAGAGTTGGGTGAAGGCTTTCTCACAGCCTGGGTGTGCACATTTGTACGGTCTATCACCGGTGTGGATTCTGCACAGGATGAGAAAAGAGGGAAAGGGTGTCAGCGCTGAGGGATGGGGCTGCTCGCTAAGCTTCTGCGAGGCCGCCCTGGGCTCCCTCCTGAGGAAGCCTTCGTAAGGCCCAGGCCCTCTCTGATCCGCATCAGGCCGCCATGACAGCTTTCAAGCCACCACCTGCACCGCTTAACCCTAGACAAGCCTCGTCTCACTGGGGGAGGGAGCGCACCTTGGCACCCTAGAGACAGGCAGTCCAGGATCTGGCATACAAGTCAGCTCCTTCAGTAGCTGTCCTGAGGAACATTCAGAAACACAAGGCAACACAACAGCAAGGAAAAGGAAAAGCACAACATTGCTTCCCTGGCCCTACTTTGAAGTCAGAACCCAGACCTTGGCCTTGAATTACCTCCAGGGAAAGTTCTCCAGCAAAGGAAAGCAGGGGTAGGCTGATTGACAAGGGTAGCAACGACAAAAGTATACAAACTCCAGGAAACTCCTACAGGTTTTTCCCACTCTGGCTCCCTGACGGCAGCAAACACCTGACCCAGGACCAATGTGACCTCTTGCCCAACACTCCAGGGCCCTCTGCTTCTGTTCAGTGAGCCAAGGACTTGAAGATGCACTGACACCTGCCCCTCATGAGAGGTGGCAGAACCTCCTCTGTGACCCGGTGCTCTTCCAGATGGCTGGTAGAAAATCTCGGGCATCACAGGTTGTCTCATCCCTCTGAGGAAGGTCTGTTTTTGCAAAGCACAGTCGTCAGGTCCACAGGCAGCTGGGTGTCACAGCCTACGGCCAGGAGTGAAGGTCATGCTGGAATTTGACATGGCACTGAAGGAAACCGTCAACTCTTCCCATTGGCAGGATCACTCCCAATTCCATGGTGTCAACAGTGGTCATTCGTATGAATGAAGCCCAAGCTTTTTCCACCTGTCAACTTTTGACGAAGATGTAACAGCTTTTGTTTTGTCTCTACTCGGAGCCTTGCCGGTTGCTGCATCACCAGGCTGGTGCTCAGTGATGTCTCATTTTATCTCGTGCTCACAACTGGTGACAAGTGCTAGAGGGCTGGTCTTCCCCACTGAAACGTCTCTGCTTTAGCATCAAGTAGAAAAGCTTGCGAAAAGTAATTGTACAGATATTTCCAGAGAGTCAAGCACGTGAACGGAAAGCAGTCTTTGCTCCAGATGTGTGTCGTGTTCCTGCCCCAGCTGATCTATCCAGCCATCAACGCATCTCCCCGACGTAGCTCTGATCTCAGAGAGGCTGTTTCTCTGTCAGTGTCCACTTGTGTTGCCAACACCGCTGCTTGGTCGTCTTTACTCCAGATGCCAGCCTTGTTCTCCTCCAGCCAGGCCTCTCCCCCGCCCCCCGCATGCGGGTTGTTGTGTGTGTCCGGGGCGGGGGTGGGGAGGGCATGCCAGCGGGGCAGGGTCAGTAGCCCGCCACTCTCCCTTACCGTGTGTGCTGCTGGAGGTGGGAGAGCTGGCGGAAGGCCTTCTGGCAGTAGGAACAGTTGTAGGGCTTGGCCCCCGAGTGGATACGGAGGTGCTGGGCCAGGTAGGAGGTGTTGGCGAAGGTCTTGGAGCAGTGCGGGCACTTGTGGGGCTTGATGGTCTCCGTGTGCATCTTGGAGTGGATCCTGCCGGAGAGGAGAGGAGGGAAGGAGGGAGGAGGAAGCAGTTCGACACCATGGGCTCAGATCTCTGCTGGGTGAAATGATGTTGCTTGACGGATGACAGCACCCCTCCTCCCTCCTCCCAAACACACTCCGGCCTCGGGAGGCTAATGAAGAGAGGACACCCAGAGCTGGGCTGCTGCTGATCGGAAAGTCGGTGGCTAGAATGGTAGTGGGATGATGGAAGAGCGATAACCCGTGGCTCCTGGTCATCTTAAAGCATCCAGTCTCGTCAACCCTCTGTCCTTCACCTAAGGTTACACAACTCACCACAGTTACCCTGCTTCCAAATAGCAATCTGAACAAAGACCAATACCGCCTGGTCCCCAGGGACCGGAAGTAGAATGCACACCTTGGCTCTGAACGGAAGCATAGAGTAAAAGCAGGGCCTGCTCTGCAGAAGATTTCCAAACACAGACACAGAGAGAAACCACAAACATTGTTCCAGACTCGGGCAGGGATGGGAGACCACAGTTTTCAAGGCCCTCCCCCCGCCCCACCAGCTACGACGACGTATAGTTTGTTTATTTATTTATTTATTTTTCCAGACAGTCACAGGAGAGTTTGAGCTCCCAAAGGGAGAGGTGAAACGGAAGAGAAACATATGCGTGGAGAGGAGCAGGTGCGGGCCCCGTGGCCTCAGGATGGGGACCACAGCCTGGTGGGGTAAGAACCAAGAGCAGCCTTACCGGGTGTGCTGCTGAAGGTGAGAGAGCTGGCGGAAGGATTTCTCACAGAAGTTACAACTGTAGGGTTTAGCCCCTGAGTGTATACGAATATGCTGGGCCAGGTAGGAGCTGTTGGCGAAGGTCTTGGAACAATGTGGGCACTTGTGGGGCTTGGTCTCGGTGTGTGACTTGGAGTGGATCTGCATCTCCGACTTTGAGTAGAACGTCAGGGAGCACATCCGGCACCTGGGCCAAATGAGGGTAGCAGTTAGAGCCCCCTCCGCTGCGGGCACTGCCGCGCCCCGCCCCGCCCCCAATTCCATTCCCAAGCAAAACCCTCCCAGCTGATCTCTCTCCTATTCCAGCTACACTTGTGAGGCCCTGTGGAGCTGGAGGTCTCATTTTATTGTCTTCCTAAGCCTCTCACACAGGGCCCGAAACATTATGAACAATGTCTGTTGTATGTCTAAATTCCCTGCATTTGCAAAACCAAGATTCTATGCAATAAGGCCAACGTACATGACGGCCTCTTGGGGGGCTGTGGGGTTCAGAGGTAACAGTTACCCACTAACAGCTGTTTTCCTGCTGCCCCTAATCCGCTCTCAAAGAATGCCATTCTCTGATATCTCCACATACAAAGCACATCCTTGGCTATTCCTTAAGCCCCCTGGACACTAACAGGAAACAACTAGATGTCCTCTGAGCTCCACAGCTGGCTTTCTTCTCTCAGGCTCCCTCTACTTTCTACTTGGCAATAATTCCTTTAGGGATGGAGGTGGAACGTGTCAGGATTGGTTGGAGCCAAGTGTTCCAAACCATGCACACCTCCTCACTCTGTACTGACTTACAGCATCCATCTCCCGGCCTGCGGCAGCCCCTTGGCAAGCAAGGGTAAAGTACCTCTGCAACGAGCTCAGTCATCTGCTGCGAGTGGGCAACAACCCTTAAGTATTCAGGACAAAAAGGTTTGTAAAGCAACCATTTTTGTTCTTTCCTCTTTCCTAGCACAGGGGGCCAAGATCTGTACTTCGAGTCGACACTGGGAGCACCTGAACATACTTTCAATTGTCACCCGAGCGGTGACAAAAATGTCACTGTCCAAAAATATCAAACATGGCCTCTGTAAGTTAAGGCATGATGACTATTACAGACTATTGGGCAGAAGCCACCTATATGAGAGCTGGCACCCTGTCATTGTCACAAACAGCTCAGCAGGTCACGAGGTACGCGCAGGAAGGCCTTAGCCCAGAAACCGAGTGACCACAACCAGTCCCTCTTCTGGAGGTTCTCCCAACTTATTTTGTAGTAGGGTGTTGGAGGGCTATGGGGCGTTGATTTTTTTATCTTAGGATTTTTTTTTTTTTTTAGAGAAAAACTGAGATCCAGACAAAGAATATAGAGATGCTCAGAGAGTCTGGTAATATTGTTTGTTAGGGTGTGGTCTCTGCGTAATGTTTTAGCTAAAACTTCAATTAACATCAGTCGTCGCTTCTTTAGTCACCTGCTGACCATGAAGAAAATCTGACTGTCCTACAGCTATAATCCCTGGCTGTCCTACGACAGGAGGGAAGGTTCAGCATGGTCCAACGGGCTCTACTCAGTCTGTTATACACTTCCTCAATAACCTAGACTTCAATTTTCTGGTCACTAAAATAGAGTTAATTTCTCGCCCTAGAAGAGCCAGAGAGCAGACTAAAGGCTAAGCAAGGTTCTCAAGTAGTACAGCCGAGCTAGTGCTGACGGCCTCCGCACTGACACATCAGCTCAGATAACTAGACATTTCTCTAGGACTGAGACTGGAAATTGCACGCACCGTCAGAGGGAAGTGCTGTTACAGCTGCAATCATCTCCCTTGGTGGCTAAACACAAAGAACGTGTTGTCAAAATCTCAGTAGTTTGTGTGGGAGTGTGTCAATACACAATTCTGCTGTTAACATGAAAGTAATTAAATTACAAAAATTAATCAATTATAAAAGAGGGGCCAGTGCAATGGCTCAAATGGCTAGTCCTCTGCCTACAAATGCCAACACCCCATGTGGGTGCCGATTCATGTTCCGGCTGCTCCTCTTTCCATCCAGCTCCTTGCCTGTTTGTTGCCTGGGAAAGCAGTCAAGGATGGCCCAAAGCCTTGGGAGCCTGCACCTGTGTGGGAGACCCGGAAGAGCTCCTGGCTTCAGACTGGTTCAGCTCTGGTGTTACTGCAATCATTTGGAAGGAATGAACCAGGAGATGCAAGATCTTTCTCTCTGTAAATCTGCCTAATGAAAATAAATATTTTTAAAGTTAACAAAAAAAAAAAAAAGGGCCAGCATTATGGTACATCAGGTTAAGCTACCTCATGGGATCTGAGTGCAGGTTTGAATCCTGGCTGCTCCACTTCCAATCCAGCTCCCTGCTAATACACCTGGAAAAGTTAAGTGTCTCCTAGGTGCACCATGTGGAGACCAGGATGGAGTTTTAGGGCCCTGGCTTCAGTCTGGCCCAGGGCCAGTAGTTTGCAGCTATTTAGTAGTGAACCAGCAGATGAAAGGTCGGTCTCTCTCTCTCTGAAAAGCTTAAATTCACTGGAAATGAACTGAAAAAAATATCAGGCTGTTTCCAAAGGTCCCTGGTACAATAGTGATAGTTATACTAAGGACAATGACACTGGCTGCTCTCTGATATGGCACTGGGTGAATTATCTGAAGCACTTTACTTCACTGTTCACAGCAATTTGTCAAGTTAACACTCCTGTTTTACAGAAACACAGACACAGAAAGCAAGTGACGTGCCAAAGGGCAATTATTCCCTATGACGCCCTGGTGCTTCATAGGGAATATTTATTTTTAAAAATATTTATTTTCGCCTCCCTGGAGACACCTCACACCTAGAGGTCTATGAGCACAGGCCAGTCAATCACCTGCAACAAATGTGACCGATCAGTCCAACTCAGGACTCCTAGAAACCCCAATCATAGGGGGACAGTCCTTCAATGTGTGGTCACAAAGACATTTGATTTAGCAGAGTTGAGGCAGCCAGCAAGCTAGCAGGGGAAAGCAAAGCCAGCACTACCACCACCAGGTCCTCCAGGGACCAGCAGGCCTGCACAGCCAAGAACAGTGCCCCTTGGAGGAGGCACGCATGGTCACGGCCTGAACTATCATCCTGCCTCCTCTGCCAATATGCTCAGAGCAATTCTAAACAATCAGAATTATTCCTCAAAACATTTCTGTAAGACAGTAAGGGCATGACTGATGCTCTCATTTCCTAGATGGGAACAGATACAGAAGTAGTCTTGCCCACAGTAACACAACTTTTTGCCACAAGAAACTCGATTCCCATCAAAGGCTGAGGAGCACTAGAATGGGCACATCAAAACTGAGATTGTCTGGGTCAGAAAAACATCCCTTTGGCACCTGAGTTCTGAGTTTCTGAAGAAATTCTGTTCATCTAGGCTACAATTAGCCCTCCTTACACTTCTGGGTTCTTCAATCACCAGGCCGTAGCATCTTTCTAGGTTCCTGAAATACCAGGAATATGGAACATCCTCTCGGGCTCCCTTCCAGCAGGGTATTCACGTTTCTTTTTCACATGCACAATCTACAAAGTCCACTGACTGTTTCAATGTGGGACCAAAAATAAAGTCTGCAGAATCAGGACCCTGAGCTAAATAACAGAAGGGCGGCTAGGGTGTCCCCAAACCCTCCCACTATGCCCCCAACCCCACACTGTACAAGGCACATCTCCAGGTCATGGTGACCTCATGGCAAGCAGGCATGTGAAAACCCAGACTGCTACAGAAGCCCTTTTATAAACTAGATTTTCATTTTATGAAGCGATAGGCTTAAAAGTGCCTTTTAATGAATCAAACTTGTCAGATACCTTTCTTCTATGACATGAGGTAAACATTTTTCAGGATACTTTTATTGGATAAAGAGGGGTACACCTGCAATAGTCCAGCTACAATGAACTTCCTGATTATAAGCTGAATTCTGCAGTGCTCCATACTTCCTGCAGTGACACGCCCTCATTGCACTTGTAAACACGGCAGTAGTGACCACTGACCAAGCTAAAAAGACTACACGTTGACTGTCTGGTGTGAGAAGTTCCCAAAATTTCAGTCTTATCTGAGATCTACTCCCAAGAGACGGGAGGCAGCGACAGCAATCTCCCCATTTCACAGATGAGGAAACTGAGGCCCAGAGAGGAGGGGGGAGGACTTGCCCAGGGTCACACAGCAAGCTCGTGGTGGAGCCAGGAACTGAATCCATGAGCCCAAGGCTCTGTCCATTTCCTGTGCCGCAGTTCCCTTCGCTCCTAAAATGGGAACAACATTGCCCATCTCGGTACACTAAGGACAGACCCGTCTCCCAGCCATGCACCGCTGCCCTGTCTGCGTCAAAGCTCACAGCAGTGACCCCACTCTGCATCCTGGGACCAAACTCCCCAGGCCTACATGGGCCCAACAGCTCTAAAGGGGATGCAAAGGTTTTTGCTGTTCGAAGGGCAGGGAGCTTACATCTTAGATCTTTAAGTACCACATACAGATAACGCATGTAATACTTCTTGGTAATAGACAACTTAGAGAAAGCGGAGGACTCCAAGAATCCGGTAGGGAACAAATAGTCACCTTAACACATACACTCCAGTGGAAGGGAAGTGTCCTATTCCTCCCACCTGCGGGTAGCCCCCTCCCATCACCCCCACCATGCAAGGTCAGGCAGGCTCAGCGCTCCCAAATGGCCCAAGAACCAGGGGCCTCAAGTTACTTGAGGTGCTTAGGAGAAAGATTTCCTGGAAACACAACAATGGAGAATGTACAGAAGCAGCCAAAGGAGCTGAGGACAGAGTCTCAAACCCACACAAGGGTCTTGTTATGAGACAGAAACTCTACTGTCATTTAAAAAACAAGTCTACTCTGATGGTCACCAAAACCAGGGTTTGCAAAGGGGAGGAATGCCAAGGATCTGCACCCTGGGAGAAGGGGCCTGGGCGAAGGGGCCAGCAGCTCTGCCTTCCTAGCCCATGACAGAACACTGGACATGCAAGTAGCTCTCAGCGGGACGCTCCAGAGTAGAGCCCTCCATGGGCAGGCCACAGAGCCAGTAGGGGAGGCCGTGATCCTCGCTTCGCCCTGGCCTGGGCGCCGACTCTCACCTGTAGGTCTTGCCGTCTTTCTGATGGTCGTCATCATCCTCGGGGGAGAGGACGTAAGGGTCGTTCATCTCGGGCAGTCCCGACTCCAGCATCCGCTTCTTCTTCCGGCCCCGGGGGGGCTTGGGAGCCACAGTGCCGCCTCCCCCTCCACCTCCCCCTCCTTCCTCGGTGAGGGTGGAGGCTACCTTCTTGGCAAGATCAGGGACCACCTGCAGGGCTTGTGAGCCAGGGGGAAGAGCTGACACAATCATGGGAGCCGAGATAGGGAAGGTCTGAGCTGACGAGGCTGTGGTCACAAGAGAGCCTGAGGGGGACGTGATTACCAAACCCGGACCTAGGAGGGGGAGAAAAGGGAGATGGTGTCACGCTGCTCCATTCTGCTGCTAAGTCTCTGTCAGCTCCCCCCAACCATTGTCTAAGAAAACCCCCTCACTACCACCCCCAGCCCCGAGTACATAGGAAACCCCAAACCCTGCAGAACAACAATCTCCTGACCCCTGTCCCACCCCACCCCCAGTAACAGTGAGATTTACCCCTTGATTGACTCCCTTCTCTTCTCCACCTCTGAGAGCAGGAGACTCCTTGATTCAGAGAAGGAAAGAATGTCACCTCCTCAAAGGCAGGGACCGCATCTTCTACTTCTTTGTATCCCCCACAATGCCTAGCACATGGCTAGGCACACAGTAGGCACTTAATAAAAATTCGAGTCATCAAACACATTGCCCACTCCCCAAGTCCTTGGAGCCCTCCAGCCTGGGGTACTGATCGTGGAAGATCAGCACCTCAGCTGGGAGACCACGGAGTTGCTCACCAGCAGTCATGAGCCCCGTAGACGGCACGGGCACCACTGTGATATTCTGGGTAACGGACGCCTGGCTATGTGGGGCCAGCTGCTCTGACTTGGACTCTGTGTCCATGCTGATGCCCGAGGGCAAGGACACCGAGGCAGGCACTGTCAGCAGGGTGGGATAGTGCGGGGGAGCCAGCCCGCAGCCCTTCTCCGGCAACAGCTGGTCCTTCATCTTGTTGATGAACATGGTGTTCTCAATCTGAAAGAAGAGAAGGCGGAAGTCTTGCGTCTCATCCATTCTGTACGCACCCTTCAGTGTTGGGCCTCCTGACAGGCTGCGGGATGCGTAAGAGGATGGAACCACCAGATGATTCCCAATGAAGGAGCAGGTGGTTTATCTTATTTGGTGCCGCAGGAACAAAACTGAGAATAAATGATGGGGAAGAGCAAAACAAACAAAAAACAAGCAAAAACCCCACCACTCACCTGTCCTGAGACCGTGGGGATGGAAGGCCAGAAGTACGGGTTAGAATTGAAGTGAGATTCTTCCATTCTACCTGCAGACAGACACACAGACAGACCTATCACACTCAGCTTCGACATGGAGTTGGGGGGCTGGGAGCCCATGGTCTCCGGCACACAACCACCTGGCTGGCTGACAATCAGTGGCCAAGACGTTTGTGTGCAGCAGCCTGGTCCTCGAAGTCACGCCTCGCGGCAAGGCAGAGCTTGGTTAACGCTTACTACACACATCTCACTTATCCACAGAATGCCTCTCTCACAATGAAGAAACAGAGTGGGTCCGACTTTCCTTTGCTGACAAGAGAAGCTGGTCACAGAGGGAAGGTGTGCACCTGTGGTCCCAGAAGCCAGGGGATTGATCACTGCTCCTCCTTGCCCTTATCCCCCATACAATTTTCAGGCAACACAATCGATGTGCCTGTAGCTCTGTACAGCTTGGCACCACACTCTTGCTGGGCCAAGCAATAACTAAAGACTGGCTGCTCAAAAAGAGTGTTCTAGTACCAGATTTAGCATCCAGGTTTCTTCCCACAAGGGTCTGGAACAGAGAATGGTGGATGCATACACAGTACTGCACTCCTGTTTTATACTTATTTTTCAATTTTTATTTATTTATTTTTTATTCAAGTGGACAGGCCAAAGCCAGGCACTCCATCTGTCTCACATGGGAACCAGGGACCCAGGGCACCTGCTACCTCCCAGGGCGCGCTTCAGCACAAAGCGGGATGAGAAGTGGAGGAAGCAGAAGTTGAGCCAGGCATGCCAACATGGCACGTGGGCATCACAATGGCGATGACACAAACATGGCCCCAATGCCTGCTTTTGCCTTTTCTTTTTTTTTTTTTAAGATTTATTTATTTTTATTGGAAAGTCAGATATACAGAAAGGAAAGATCTTCCATCTGATGATTCACTCTCCAAGTGAGCACAACAGCCAGAGCTGAGCTGCTCTGAAGCCAGGAGCCCAGAGCCTCTTCTGGGTCTCCCACACGGGTGCAGGGTCCCAAGGCTTTAGGCTGTCCTCGACTGCTTTCCCAGGCCACAAGCAAGGAGCTGGATGGGAAGCAGGGTTGCCTGGATTAGAACTGGTGTACATATGGGATCCCGGTGTGTGCAGAGCAAGGACTTCAGCTGCTAGGCTACCACTCCAGGCCCTGCCTTTTGTTTCTTAAACACTGTTTCCAAGAGTTTGAGTTTGGTGTGTGGACAATAAACTCAGCTGAAACTTTTTGAGGGAAGAATAAGCTTCAGGAAAAGTAATCCCTCGGAATAATGCTGTCAAGCCCTGCACAGGGACACAGTCTGGGTGTTGCAGCCCTGACCTTGACACTGTGATCACAGCCAACAAGCATTAACTTAACAGTATGTCGGTCATGAGTGGCTTCCGATGGTCCAGGACGTTTCAGTAAAGCTCTCGCCTGCAGAAAGCAGGTAAGAGAGAACATGGCATTACAGGGACTTCAGGGACACAGACACAGTGTTGCTACTTGGAGCCAGGCGCAGGCAAGGTTCAGGTGGGGAAGGCAAACCCAGCGTGACAACCATGTTAGACTCACCGCCAGGCTAGACCCACCAGATCCAGAGTCAGGGAGGAAGATGGGCCCAGACACCGGGCTTCTAGGGACTGGGAGACAAGGTACGCCTTCAGCCAAGGTGCTGAGGCCAAACACACGCCGCCGTAAGCCCCACTCTACTTCTTTGCTTTCTCCAGCACCATCCTTATATATATATATAATTTTGTTCACTATTAAACACCACTGTCGATTTCCCCTAAACCTACCAAGGATAGAACTAAACTCCAACCTACTTTTCTTAAATAGTAGCAAGAAGAACGCTCCAACACAAATAACTTCACAGCTTTACCCAACAAAGTTCAATGCTCAATAACCAAGGATCAACAACTGGAAAATCCGATTCAGAGCTGGGAAACAGTGCCAGCCTCAGCATCCATGGGGCACCAGGTCCAAGACACATCCATGCAGGGGCAGCCACATTTGCAGATGCTCAAGCTTCTACACAAAATGGGGAAGCATCTGGGGCCTGGTGTAACAGCTCAGTGGGTAAATCCTTGCCTCACACACACTCATGGGATCCCTCTTGGGTGCCGATTCTAATCTCAGTGGCTCTGTTTTCAATCCAACTCCCCGTTTGTGGCCTGGGGAAGCAGTCAAGGACGGCCCAAAGCCTTGGGAATCTGCAACCACATGGGAGACCCAGAAGAGCTCTTGGTTCCTGGCTTCAGATCGCTCAGCTCCAGCCATTGCAGCTACTTGGGGAGTGAGTCATTCGGAGGAAGATCTTCTTCTCTGTCTCTCCTCCTCTCTGTATATCTAATTTTCCAATACAATTAAAATAAATTTTAAAAGCATATTGGAAATAAATGCATTATGACTGGAAACTTAGGAGGGAAGAACAGAGAGTCTGAAAATTAGAAAAATTCCATGTTAAGATCCTGGTGAGGAGGCAGCGTGACAGCATAGTAGCCTAAGTCTCAACCTGCACACTGATATCCCAGATGGACGCTGGTTTGTGTCCGAGCTGCTCAACTTTCAGTCTAGCTCCCTGCTCATGGCCTGAGAAAGCAGCAGAGGATGACCTGAATCCTCGCGCCCCTGAAACCACATGGGACACCTGAGAGAAGACCCCAGCTCCCAGCTTTGGACTGCAGCCATTTGGGGAGTGAACCAGTAGATGGAAGCTGTCTCTCTCTTTCCCTCTCTTTGTGACTAACTTTCAAGTAAGTAAAGCAAAAATAAAATAAAATCAATCTAAAAAAAAATTCTGGCGAACAAGGTGCCCTCCTTCTTTCAAAGATAATATTCATGTGGGTCCTGCACGGCAGCCTAGTGGCTAAATCCTTGTCTTGTATGCACCAGGATTCCATAGGGGCACCAGTTCATATCCCAGTTGCTCCACTTCCCATCCAGCTCCCTGCCTGTGGCCTGGGAAAGCAGTCAAGCATGGCCCAAAGCCTTGGGACCCTGCACCCTGTGTGGGGGACTCAGAAGAGGCTCCTGAACTCCGGATTGACTCAGCTCCAGCTGTTGAGGCCACTTGAGGGAGTGAACCATAGACAGAGGATCTTCCTCTCAGTCTCCCCTCCTCTCTGTATATGTCTTTCTGATAAAAATAAATAAAGCTTTAATAATAATAAAATAATATTCAGTCGCATTGTCTTCCACATGGTTCTGGGGTCGTGTGCCCTTTCAATAGGGACAAGGTCATGTGGTGGACTACGCCGCCACCACCACCATCAGCATTTACCACGTGCTTCCTCAAGGGAGTGTGCCAAGCACCTCGGAACCTCATCCTTTAACCTAACAATTGTGTAAGTAGATCCTGTCAGACATCAAAAGCACACGAACAGTACATGGCAATGCCAAGACTGCAGCACAGATGCCAAAGAGCAAATGAAGGGAAGGGAACCATGAGGGACCAAGAGTGAAGGCCTCATTCCTGCCGCTTCAGCCTCACCTGCGCACTGTCACTCAGAGCACTTCCAGCCCTCGTTACACACGCTTCGGGATGGACTCGACAATTTCTAAAACTGAAGTTCTGATAACAGCAAATGACAGGCAGCACGCGATCTCAGTCTCTGTCCACATCCTGTGAGCCATCACTTGGCTCAAGATAAAGTGACGGGCTCAGGATAGAAAGGACATTCAGAGGAGAATAAATAAAAGGTTCCTCCACTCACATGGAGGCCCAGACCAGTCCATCACTCTGCTTTGGTTTGCTTTCTTTCTATTTTTTTAAAAGATTTATTTATTCTTATTACAAAGTCAGATATACAGAGAGGAGGAGAGACAGAGAGGAAGATCTTCCGTCCAATGACTCACTCCCCAAGCGAGCACCACGGCAGGTGCTGGGCCAATCTGAAGCCAGGAGCTTCTTCCAGGTCTCCCACCCGGGTGCAGAGTCCCAAGGCTTTGGGCCATCCTCGAATGACTTCCCAGGCCACAAGCAGGGAGCTGGATGGAAGTGGAGCTGCAGGGATTAGAACCGGCGGCCACATGGGATCCCGGCGTGTTCAAGGCGAGGACGTCAGCTGCTAGGCCACGGCACCAGGCCTGGCCTGCTTTATTTTTACATTTTTATTTTTTGGAGACCGGCTCACTTCCAAACACTCCTGACAACCAGGGCTGCTAAAGCCAGGACCCCTTGGATTCCCCACAGGCGAGGCAGGGACCCACATGCTGAGTCCTTGCCTGCTCCCGCCAGCGTTCTTAGCCTTGGACATGAAATGAGGAATCAAAGAATCAGAAAGAAGCTGCCACTGGGCTTCAGGGCTGGGACTTGGACTGGGGCACTCGGATGCGGGATGCGGGATACGGCAATGGGACAAGCAGTGTCTTTATCACCACACCAAATCCCATCCCCTGATTTGGTTCTTAAGAGAAAAAAGCCGTAGGTCAGAAAAACAGATGGTCCTGTAACAGGACAAGACAATGTGTGTGCCGCATGGACTTCTGATAAACAGACCGGCCCCAAACAAGGACACATGGAAAGCACCGCTTGTTTGGCTATAATCAATAGTGACCCACAAAAGGACACCTGAGAAATGATACTTACTGTGCTACTAATAAAATTAATGTAAAAGCTCTGCATGCCTCACGGGTTCAGCTGAAAAGCCAAGAAATGAGGCTATCCTCAGAATACAACATAAATGACGTGTGATGGCTCAGTGGCTAAATCCTCGCCTTGTGCGCACCAGGATCCATACGGGCATGGGTTCGCGTCCCGGCTGCTCCACTTCCCAGCCTGCTCCCTGCTTGTGGCCTGGGAAAGCAGTGGAGAACAGCCCAAAGCCTCGGGACCCTGCAACTACAGGGGAGACCCAGAAGAAGCTCCTGGCTCCTGGCTTTGGATCAGCTGAGCTCTGGCCACTGCGGCCACTTAGAGAGTGAACCAGCAGATGGAAGATCTTTCTCTATCTCCTTCTCTCTGTTAAGTCTGCCTTTCCAGTAAAAATCAGTAAATTTTTTTTTTAAAAATTCACATAACTCACTGGAGTTGGTAGCTATGAGCCCAGGTATGGGACCACCTCTCATTCTGTCCTGGATGCAGGAAATCTCACCACCCCAACACCCAAGCAGGCGCACAGCAGCATTCTTACAACTCAAACTCATCACTGTATCCAGGGGCCGGCTTTGATGATTATGCCAATATACAAAAGGTTAAAAAAAAAAAAAGTGACAGTGTCGTGGTGTAGCATACTAAGCCACTGCCTGAGGTTCTGGCATACCACACAGGTACCAGTTTGAATCCTGGCTGTTTCATTCCAGCTCCTTGCCAACAGCCTGGGAAAGTACCAGAAGACAGCCCAAGGACTTGGGCCCCTGTGAAGACCCAGACAGATTTCCTGGCTCCTGGCTCCAGACAACGCAGCTCCAGCCATGCAGCCATTTGGGAAGTAAGCCAGCAGATGGAAAACCTAACTCTTTCAAATAAATAAATCTTTAAAACAACAACCAAAAGGTAACATGCCTTAAACACACAGGACTTGAATTCTGGCGTCAGAGCTTTGTCCACTGACTACTGCAGCCTTCCGGGGTACTACCAACACCAGGGATGAAGATGCCAGGCTGCCAGCTGGTGGTTCTGGCAGATGTGGTCTAGACTGCCACTTAGGGCCCGGTGCAGTAGCCCAGAGGATCCTGGCACCTCTGTTTCCCATCCAGCTCCCTGCTTGTGGCCCGGGAAAGCAATCAAGGACAGACCAAAGCCTTGGGACCCTGCACCCACATGGGACACCCAGAAGAGGCTCCTGGCTTCGGATCAATAGAACTCCAGCCATTGCAGCCGCTTGGGGAGTGAATCAATGCATAGAAGATCTTCCCCTGTCTCTCCTCCTCTCTGGATATCTGACTTTTCAATAAAAATAAATAAATCTTGAAAAAAACCAGAAAGCCTCCACTTACTTCCGCATACCCACAACTGCTGCTGGTTTTGAAGTGAAGCATTCTTTTTTCCAGTTAATAACATTTCCTTAACACAACCAATCTTTAGAAAAATGAAGAAATCTGTACATCAATTAAGTTTTCATGAAAAACACGTTCCCTAGCTGAAGAATGGACCTAGCATCAAGACTTGGATTCTCATTCCAGCCCCTGCCCAAGCGGATGACTGCACACTCAGCTACCCTGCTAAGATGAAGAGTGCAGGAGAGAGTTCATCAAGTTATCTGGTGAGGAGGAAGTGGGACAAAGAATCAAACGCTCCAAGGCTCCTCAAAGGACAGTCGGAGAAGCACACATGTTCACGTGAGGATCTCATTGGTAACAATGAATGGGCATCACACAGGGACCACAGAACTGCAAAGGAACCACCCGCAAGTGGTGGATCTACAGCCCCCAGCGTAGCAGTCACCTAGGAGAGCGAACAGCAAAGAGTTCAAAGTCAACCGCAAGAACGAGTGTAAATACCTTATAGAGAGAAATACTTCCAGGATCAACAACTGCAGTAAAGCTGCAAAGTTAGCTTAGGACATGAAATGAGGAAACACCGAAAACCATGAATTTTTTTCCCTCTCAATAAGGAAGCGGATCTCAGGACGCAAGGCTGGGTACTTCCTACCACAGGTTAAGCATCTCTAATACAAAATTCTCAAATGCTCCAAAATCACACTTTTTTTGCATGCTGACATGATGCTCAGAAAGTTTCAGATTTTTCTAGAGGGGAAATATCAACAGGTTGAAATCTAGGCAAATATTCCAGAACTCCAAAAACTCAAATCTGAGCAACTTCTGATCATCCAGCAGTTCAGACAAGCCATTCTCAACCTGCACGCTCGGGCAACTCTTTCAAATGCAACAACTTGAGTGACTTCACTGCTGGGAAAGCCTCCCACCGCGCAGACCACCAAGCAGCCTGCAGCCTGTACTGGGCCAGGGGCAACCCCATCGTTCTCCCCTACCTGTTTCACTATAAACAATCCAGGAAATGCATGGCAAAATGTAACAGGCAACTGGCGCTCCAGGGAAGACACCACTGCCCCAGGGACACCCACAGCCCCAGGTAGGGTGCTAGGGTTCAAAGCCAGACTCCTATTCCACCTTACTGCTTATGCACATGCTGGGAACAGCCCATGCAGTTGGGTATCTGCGGCCCACATGGGAGACCTGAATTGAGCCCCCAGGTCCCAGAATTGACCTGGCTCAGTCCTGGCTGCTCCAGGGACTCTGGGAGTGAACCAGAAGCTAGGGGAATCCCTCTCAGATAAAATAAATACAAAATTACATAAGGTGGAAGAGGAAGAAATACACACCTAGTATTTAAGCAAAAACTTGCCTAAGAAACCTACAGGGGGTGGGTGGAAAGAGATTTCAAGGTAGTCTAGAATTGGTTCTCTACACCTCAGGGACCTGGGCACCGTGGCACAGTGTGCTAGGCTGCCACATGGGCTGCCTGTATCCCATTTTCACGTGCCTGGAACAAGGTTCTACCTTAGCTTCCGATGCACTTTCCTACTTATGCATCTAGGAGGCAGCAGAAAATGGCCGGAAGTACTTGGGGGGTCAAGCCATTCCTGAGACATGTATGGAATTCCTGGTTCCTGACTTCAGGTGCCACCAATACTAGCTGTCGTGGGGTATTTGGGGAATGGACCATGAAATGAAAGAGATTTCTGCCACTCTGCCTTGCAAATAAATTTCAGACCAGAAGTAAATAATTATATACATACATTTAAATTTCAAGACATCTTTAAGACTACAAACTCTGAACTCAACCTCTCTGGGTTCTATACATTGTTGCCTTCAGGCAAACAAAAACCTTAAGCCAATCCGGCTTCATCTTTCCCATTCTTCCAAGACCCCTTTCTGCAGTTCCCTCTATGCAGTTTTATCTGCTTGACTTCACCCACAGAGGAGGTTTTTTTCCTAAAAAAAAAAAAAAAAAAAAAAAAACCCACCCACCTCCTCCCTGCCACACCAGACTCTACCCGTTCCACAGAGCCACTCTGCAAACAGGAAGGCAAGAAGCGCCACTCGCACCTCCGCACTGCATGCTCCAAGTAGGAGAACTCCATGAGCTACTAGCGCAAGGACTGCACGGGCAAGAGAGTCCCCAGTGTCCTGACGCAAAGCCAACCTCATCGTGGTACCCAACATAATGCCCTCCATGGCACCCAACGCAACGCCCTTCCACAGCACCCAATGCAGTGCCTTCCCATGGCTTCACCTGGACACCTCAATCCTGAGGCGTACCAGGGGAAAAGGACAGTGATCGGGGGTTTGGGCAAAGACAGCTTCCTGGGAACCGCCAATGAGAAGAGGCAACAGGCTCAGCTGCCCCAACCGCAATGCAAGCAATGCAGTTGACACTACTTGAATTCTGAAATGCTGTCTGAAAAGGGGGGAAAAAAGCCATCTGATCATAACCCTCTCTCCCCCCCAAAGTAAGAAAAGTCAATATCCCTCCCAAGAAAAAAGGTCTTACCCTCTCTCTCTCTTCCTCCTGTCGTCTTATGCCGTCTCTTTTCCAGGGCTCCTCAACTTTCTGTAAACAAATTCTCCAGGTTACAGGGGCCAGTCAGGATGCAGGCACGGGGGGCTGGGAGGAACCTCAGGGATTGTCTGCCGCTCCGCAGTGGGCCTGGAAGGCAGGTGCACCTCCCGAACCACAATTCAACCGGAGAGTAACAGAAGCCTGCAGACAAGGGAATTCCAGCCAGTTCCCAGAACCAACATCAGAGCTGTCACCAGCCTTGGCCTGACACGGGTTCTTCTTCCTTCCTGGGGCCACAGGTAAGCAGGGGTTAGAGGACACAAGAGCTGGGGACCAGCAGGGTCCGTGCCCAGAGGCAAGCTGAGGGCTTGAGGGTGAGGGATGCAGGGCACCCCACTGTCAGGCACAGGGCCACTTCAGGCCCAGCCACTTCCTTCAGCCTGCACCCCCGACACTTCTACAGGGACTTCGCCCTCTGTCTTCCCCAGGCCTGGCGCCAGCAAGTACCTCCCTCAGTCTGCACAGTGGTCTGCCTATTGGAGACCCCAACTGTCGGACCCCCTTCCCAGAACCATCGCTCCCCTGAGACAACCCCCAGGAGCCTCCTACTGATGTCGCCTCGCCCCCCACGACCTTTTCCTCCAAGACTACTGCCTGGGTACCCTCCAGGGAGCTGAACTCTGCCACCCACCAGACAGGCACCCGCCCCCTAGAACCCCCCCATTCCGCCCCAGCGCCCGCTTCTCCTCCACAGCCACTTCCGGTTCCGGGACGGACACACATACTCTCACACACACACTCACACACACACACACACTCACTCACTCAGTCCCATCATGCCCCCCCCCTCCTCGCCACCCCCCTCCCCCAGGAAACAGGGGATGGGGAGGAGCAGGGCGCTGGGCGCGCGCGCCGGCCGCAGCGGCGCGAGACTCACCCGGCGGCGGCGGCGGATGGGAAAGCAGGGAGACGTGCGGGGTGGGAGGACCGGGAGGAGGCTCGGGAGGCGGGAGGGCAGAGCGCGAGGCGGGGCGCGCGGGAGGCGCGAGACATCAACCACACACACTCACACGCACGGAGCGCGCGACAGACACCCGCGGGGCGGGGGCGCCAGGCGGGGGGGGTGTCCTCCCGCCAGCCCCGAACACTCACCCGGAAGTGGTGCTGCCGCTCGTGCTCCCCCAGAACTCGCGATTCCTCCACGCCCCCCTCCCTCCCTCCCTCCCCCCTCAGGCTCAGAACCGACTGCGGCGGAAAGAAGGCGGGAGCGCCGGAAACCAAAAAGGGGGGGAGGGAGGAGGTGATGGAGGGAGGGAAAGAGCAGCGTGTGTGGGGCGGGGAGGGGGGGGAGCGGTGAGGAGGGACGGGAGGGAGTGCAAAGGCCGAGTCACTTCCGGCGCTGCTAGAGCTTGAGGAGTCTCAGGGCGGATGTGACGGCAGAGAGGGGCGGAAGGAGTTTTTCTGCCCCAGGACGCTGGGGAACTCTGTGTGGATGTGACGCCAGAGCGGAAGTGAAAGTGGGTTCAGTTCGGGGCAGAAGATGAACCTTCGGAACTGCGGTTCCGGGCTTTCGGAAGGGAGGAGGGAGGTGGAGAGGCGGCAGGTTCATGAATTATGCATCAAGGTACTGAAGAAACTGAATTTTTTTTTTGTTATGATACAGTTCCATAGGCTCCTGGTATTTCTCTTATCCCAGCCCCAGTTCCCACCCACTCCGCCGCCTGGTTCCCATATATCATTACTAAGGTATAGTTCTTCATACACAGTCATATGTCCATCATTGCGGGCATGGACAATGGCAGAATCCAGCATCCTATTGTCAAGATATAAAATTTCATGTAAGTTCATCTTTGTCTGGAAGTTGAAATGCATTGGGTGGGACGTGGACCAGCTGGGATACAAACCAGCATCCATATGGGATTCCTGCGTTTGCAAGGGGAAGATTAACCCATTGGGCCTTCATGCAAAAGGGGAGAGGACCCTTGCCTCAGGTGGTGGCTTTAACTTGCAACACCACAATAATGATCCAGCCACTTAACATATCTCTGGGTAATCATTTGCTATTTTTGTGTTTTTGTTTTCCTTTTTTACTTTAAAAGCAAAAGCAGGACCCGGTGGGATAGTACATTGGTTAAAGTCTTTGCCTTGAACACACCAGTATCCCATGTGGGCACCGGTTCTAATCCTAGCCAGATCCCTACCTGCACCCTGGGAAAGCAGTCAAGGACAGCCCAAAGCTTTGGGACCCTGCCACCTGGTGGGAGATCTGAAAGAAGCTCCAGGCTCCTGGCTTTGGATCAGCTCAGCTCGGGCCGTTGCAGTCACTTGGGGAGTGAATTCCTTCTCTCTGTATATGCAATAAAAATAATAAAAATAAATAAATCTTTAGAAACAAAAACAAAGCGTAAGCAAACAGATGGAGAGAGATCTTCCAGCTTTAGGTTGCAACTCTCCCGGTGCACAGAACTTCATCCTAGACTCCCACATGGGCAGCAAGGAAGGACCCAAGTCCCCAAGCCAGCACCTGCTGCCTTCCGGGTACATGATGGCAGGAAGCTGGGGTTGGAAGCGAAACTAGAACACCAATGTAGGCACGAGGTCTGGGATACAGGCATGTTAACTGCTGTGCCAAATGTCACTCTGACGAACATTGGCTTTTTGTTTTGTCTTGTTTTAATATTTACTTATTTTATTGAAAGGCAGATGTACAGAGAGGAAGATGCTCCATCTAATGATTCACTCCCAAGTGAACACAATTGCCCATGCTGTGCTGATCTGGAGCCAGGAGCCTGGAGCTTCCTCCTGGCCTCCCACACGGGTGTGGATTCCAAGGTCTTGGGCTGTCCTTGGCTGCTTTCCCAGGCCACAAGCAGGGAGCTGGTTGGGAAGTGGAGCTGCTGGATTAGAACCAGCACCAATATGAGATCCTGGTGCATTCAAGGTGAGGACTTTAGCCGCTAGGCCACCGTGCGGGGCCTGAACATTGCCTTCTGAAGGCGACAGCTTTGACCTCCCTGCTGTAACCTCAGGTGCTGGCACTTGATGCTCAGGAAACTTGTATGTTGTGTCTGAATGACCTGCAGTTTATTGTATACACCTAAAATGAACCTTTTGTGAAAGCCTCTGATTATCTTAGCTCATGGTGCCCCTGTCTATGCCACAGCATCTAATCTGAACTTTTTATTGCTCTTTAAAAAATATTTTAATTGAAAAGGCAGATTTACAAAGAGGGAAAGATCTTCCATTTGCTGCTTCACTCCCCAAATGCTCCCACAGCGCCAATTCAAAACCAGGAGTCTTCACAAGGTGCTTCTTTCTGGTTTACTGCAAGGATGTAGATTCCCAAGGCTTTGGGCTGTCCTCCACTGCCTTCCCAGGCTGTAAGCAGGGAGCTGGATGGGAATTGGAGCAGCCGGGACACGAACCAGCACCCTTGTGGGATCCTGGCACTTGAAGAGGGAGGATTAGCGTGGTGAGTCATGGTGCTGCCCCCCTCCTTTTATTGCTCTTTTACATTTTATAAATGTGATCCCCCAGCTCCTCCAGGAAGAAGCTGCTCATGGGTTTTTGCAGCACTCCTGGTAGATGCTGAATGCACATTTTGCTTGAACTGGTAAACTACCACAGCCCTGCACCCTGCTCCTGCCAGGCTTCCTCGGTGCCCAGCTCTGCAGTGAGATCTCTCCTCCTGACAGTGAGGAGGCAGAATGAACCTTCCGGGAGATAAAAATAACAACCTTCCCAGAGATAAAAATAGCACTCTGAAGTTTTTAAGGGAATTTCTCCAAGGTCCTCACAAGGAAGTAACAACATGATACCTTTAAACTAAATGTTTAAACAGGTGATGCACAGGCTTGTATGGCTGGACAACTGGGAGACATTCTGAGATCACTGTGATCCCCTGGGTCCTTCGCTGGTAGACGTCCTTAGACTTACGCATGCGTGCCTTTAATCTGTAATTTAGAATATGACCTTGCATCCACTGGTTGACTCCTCAGCTGTCTACAGCAGTTGGGGCTGGATTGGGGCTGGATTGGGCCAGGCCAAAGCCAGGAGCCTGGAATTCAATCCAGATTTCTCACTTGGGTGGCAGGATCCAGCTGCGTAGGTCATTATCTGCTACTTCCTGGGTGCACACCAGCAGGAAGCTAGAATTGGGAACAGCCAGCCAGGTTTCACACCCATGTACTATGACAGGGAATCCAGGCATCCCAAACAGCATCCTCACCACTAGACCAAATGTTTATCCCTGCATCTTTTTTTTTAAAAGGTTTAATTTATTTTGATTTGAAAGGCAGAGTTAACGGGCCTAGCACAGTAGCCTAATGCCTAAAGTCCTTGCCTTGCATGTGCCGAGATCCCATATGCACACTGATTTGTGTCCCAACTGCTCCACTTCCCATCCAGTTCCCTGCTTGTGGCCTGGGAAAACAGTGGAGGATGGCCCAAAGCCTTGGGACCCTGCACCCACATGGGAGAGCTGGAGGAGGCTCCTGGCTTCAGATTGACTCAGCTCCGGCCGTTATGGCCGCTTGGGGAGTGAATCATTGGATGGAAGATCTTCCTTTCTGTCTCCTCCTCTCTGTATATCTGACTTTCCAATAAAAATAAATAATTCTTTAAGAAAAGCAGGGTTACAGAGAGAAAGAGATATTGTCCATCCAATGATCCACTCCCCCAATAGTCACAATGTCTAGAAGCTGAGCTGATCAGGAAGGAGCCAGGAGCTTCTTCTGGGTCTGCCACTTGGGTACAAGGTCGTAAGGACTTGGGCCATCCTCCGTTGCTTTTCCAGGCCATAAACAAGGAGCTGGATTGGAAGTAGAGCAGCCGAACTTGAACCAGTGCCCATATGGGATGCAGTGCCAAGAGCAGAAGCTTGGCCTACTGTGTTGTGGCATGTGAGAGAAACCACACCAGACAAGTTTAGGATGTATTAAGGAGTCTTCATTAACCAAGCTTGTGATGGCAGAGTCCACTAGAAGTTAATAAATGACAATTCCATGTAGCAGGCCAGTCTAAATCAAAACCTTGTGAGGAACAAATGGTCATTACCATGAAACCTGTCCTTTAAACTGAAGACCTATGTACCAGCTTCTCAGCAATATAAATTATCCTAAAAAACATGTAGCAAGCAACCTGGACACACTTACAAAACTCGCAAATATTCACCTTTTCCTGGCTTCTCTGTCCATATTCCATTACTGCTAAACCTCACCTTTCCCAGAACTCTTGAAAGTACACAAATTAGAAATACAAAGTATCTTAGCATTGACATCTTCACTGACTCACCCAAGTAGTGAACAGAGGGTGAGGAACACAGACACAGGGGCCATGCTCAGGGGCTACCTGTCCTAGGAGTCTGTCTGGGGAGCCGGGGAGCAAGCGGGTACTGGGGAGGTGAAGTCAGAGCGTTAGAGTGACAGAAGCACACAACCCAGACACAGAGCCCCTCCCTATCACTGGCCTTTATGGGAGCTTGGGTGGGGACTGGTTACACAACAGTGCCATACCAGCGCCCCTCTCGGGTTCCAGGTGATGACAGGTGAGCATCATCGGTGGGCAGAAAGGATCGCATAGGTAGGAAAGGAGTGGCTTCCAAGGGACTCTGGACTAGCTAAGACCATAACAACAAAACCCGTTGCTGCCCTCCAGCCCCACCACAGTATCTTTTTTTGAAGTGTCTATTCGTTTTGTCACATCTTGAGGATCAACACAAAGTCTGTGTTAGTCTAGTCGCAGCAGTTGACAGAATGAGACCTGATGACTCAGATGTGCCCTGATGCATGGCTTAGAGATTGTTGACGTGAGCAACTGTGACTCTGAGGGCTGGTAGCAAATGGGGAGCAAAGTAGTAGTAATTTTATAAGCCCAGATTCTCCTGCTCTTGTCCTGTTGATGTTAACTGGCACTTTTGGGTTTTTTTTAAGATTTATTTATTTATTGGAAAGTCAGATATACAGAGAGGAGGAGAGACAGAGAGGAAGATCTTCCGTCCGATGATTCACCGACCAAGTGAGCACAATGGCCGGTGCTATGCCGGTCCGAAGCCAGGATCCAGGAGCTTCTTCCAGGTCTCCCACACGGGTGAGGGTCCCAAGGCTTTGGGCCATCCTCGACTGCTTTCCCAGGCCACAAGCAGGGAGCTGGATGGGAAGTGGAGCTGCTGGGATTAGAACTGGCGCCCATATGGGATCCTGGTGCATTCAAGGCGAGGACTTGAGCCGCTAGGCCATGCCGCTGGGCCCAACGTACACCTTTTTAAAGATGTATTTAATTTTTTTCTTGGCACGGTGGCGCAGTGGTTAAGATTTATTTGTTTTTATTGCAGATTCAGATATACAGAGAAGAGGAGAGACAGAGAGGAAGATCTTTCGTCCAATGATTCACTCCCCAAACAGCTGCAGCGGCTGGAGCTGAGCCAATCCGAAGCTGGGAGCCAGGAACCTCCTCTCCAGGTCTCCCATGCAGGTACAGGGTCCCAAGGCTTTGGGCTGTCCTCAACTGCTTTCCCAGGCCACAAGCAGGGAATTGGATGGGAAGCGGAGCTGCTGGGATTAGAACTGGTGCCCATATGGGATCCTGACGCATGCAAGGTGAGGACCTTAACCACTAGACTTTTGTGCCAGGCCCCGAGAAATCTTTCTAAGGGGTATTGGGTGACCTGGCACTCCTCAAATAGGCTATACCTAATGCTGGTGAGCACAAGAACCAGGATTGGGCCCAGTGCAATAGTCTAGTAGCTGAATCCACACCTTGCATCTGCCAGGATCCCATGTGGGTGATATTTTGTATCCCAACTGCTCTACCTCCCATCCAGCTTCCTGCTTGTGACCTGAGAAAGCAGTAGAGGATTACACAAGGCCTTGTGACCCTGCACCCATGTGGGAAACCCAGAAGACGCTCCTGGCTTCATATCAGCTCCAGCTGTTACAGCCACTTGGGGAGTGAATCAGTGGATGGAATATCCTTCTCTCTGTATCTCCTTTTCTCTGTATATCTGCCTTTCCAATAAAAATAAAATTAATCTTAACAAAAAGAAAGAACCAGGGTTGGGGGCAGGTCAGGCTGAAAAAGGCAGCATCACCTGTTGGCATATGTAAGGGCTGCTTCTGGGGGCAGATGAGGCAGAGCTAAGCCACAGCACCCATGGGAGTGCATGAGGGCAGGATGGGATGTGGGCTGAGCCAGGCCACAGCAGAGGTTCACATGCACAAAAGCCGGGTTCAGAGGATGGGAAATCTTTCTCTCTGTAAACCTGCCTTTCTGATAAAAATAACTAAATCTTTACAAAAAAAGTTGAAAAGGTAACTATCGGGCCCGGCGCGGTGGCGCAAGTGGTTAAAGGTCCTCGCCTTACACGCCCGGGATCCCATATGGGCGCCGGTTCTAATCCCGGCAGCCCCGCTTCCCTTCCAGCTCCCTGCCTGTGGCCTGGGAAAGCAGTCGAGGACGGCCCAAAGCTTTGGGACCCTGCACCCGCGTGGGAGACCCGGAAGAGGCTCCTGGCTTCGGATCGGCATAGTATCGGCCCATTGCGCTCACTTGGGGAGTGAATCATCGGACGGAAGATCTTCCTCTCTGTCTCTCCTCTCTGTATATCCACCTTTCCAATGAAAAAATAATAAAAATAAATCTTTAAAAAAAAAAAAAAGAAAAGGTAACTATCTGGCACACAGATGTAGTCAACATAAATTTGGCATTAACTAGACCCAGAGCACTCACCAGCTATTGGCTACTTTTCTCCCAGCAGTGTAACACTTGCCTAGGTACAAGTCAACCACAGCTGGGGAAAAATGAATTACTTATTTGAGAGACACAGAGGTGCCATCCATTATTTTACTCCCCAAATACCTTCAAGGTTGGGGATTGGAGTCGGCTGGGAGCCAAGATGTCATTCAGGTCCCCCACATGTTGGCAGAAACCCAGTTCCTGGAGCGGTCACTGTGCCCTCCTAGGACCAGTGTTAGCAGGAAGTTGGGAGTCAGGAGCTGGCACCAAGAATAGCACCCAGGCATCTCCACTGCCCGGCTAAGCACGGACTGCAGAAGTCAGTTCTGAGTGTTGTGAACTCTTTACAGAAAACTTTGAGAGCCAAAATGTGGGGCGGAAGGGAAGGAGGTTTGTTAATTTTAGCCCAGGGTTCTCCAGATGGCACAGTTTCCATCTTGAATCATTTCCACATCCTTAGCCCTGCCTGGGGGAGCACTCCTGCCCAGGGGTGGAAGGGGGCCCTCCTCTGGAAGGGGAGGCGTTCCCATTCCCTAGTGTGGTGTGAGCCACAGTGGTGAGCATTCTGGAAAAATGCAGATGCCAAAGACTGCCTGTGTAATTAGCATGACGTTGAGAGGCAGCCAGCTCCTCCAGCACCCATGAGGTGTGGCCCCACACCCCCAAGGTGTGGTATGGCTGCTGTTTTCCTGTGTTACATCGTACTGTCTGCCACAACTCCAGCAGAGAGAAAAGTGAGGGTCCTGGGGCTCTTCCTGGTTAGGAATGACCAGGTGACTTCCTTTGGAACAGACCGGAACTTTCCGTCTCCCTTCTGGCTTCCTTGCCATAACCTGACTTTCCATGGATAAGTGAGGGTGTTAGTAGGGAGATGGAAAAAGCAAGGGTTTCCATAAGTCTTGCCCATGTATTTTTTTCATTCATTGAAACTGGGAGAAACAGTGGTCTCATCAGGCAGTAATTGATTCCTTCTGCATCAGGCCCTTCCTGTGTGCCTTCTGCATATGGATGAGCCTCCATGTCACACCGTCCCTCTGAAGGTGACAGCCCAGTGTGCACATTATGCTTTTGTGCCAGCGCCATTCTTCTGTCCCCTCTCTGTATCCAAGGACTAGAGTCCAGAGGGGTACCACAGCACTCCACCCTACGGGGCCCTCTTCAGCAGCTGGTGTGCCTGGCAGCCTCCTACTTTAGATCAGTTCCTCACCCCCTTGGCCCCTGGCTGCTGCTCCCTGCCATAGCAATCTCTTCTTAGAGAGGAGGATGCCCTCTCTCCCCCACTGCTACCGTGCATTCTGCCATGCATCCCTGAACACACAGTAAAGCTCGCAGCACATCAGGCCATCCACGACACACGCACTGCCTCCTGTCTTCCTGGGGGCTCTACCCTCCCCACGCCCCCATTTCCAGGGAAGGAGTGGGGCACCAAGGGGGGAAGAGGGAAGGCTGGGAAATGGCACCTGGGTGGTTACCATGGCAACGGGGCCTAGCAACAGCTCAGCAGCTGCCGCGTTGCTGCGTGGGCCTCTGCAGGGTGGTTACAAGAGCCAAACCTGGACTTGGAAGGGTCTTGCAGGTGACTGATCCCAGCTGGGTAGCATGTGTCCCATCGCCCTTGATCCTATGCCCACGCCGCAGCCCTGTCAGCTTTCTCCAAGGGGACAGAATGAGGGAAGTGAATGAGTTAGTCATAGGGCTTCTCATTGCTGCATGGCTTTGGGCAGGGGGTTGGGGGGTGAGGGCAGCCGTGGGTGGGGGCAGGTCAGGAGCAAGGCTGAAAATAAACCCAAGAGGCCGGCCTCTCCCTCCTTTCCGCCTTCATCTTCCGCTGGTCCCCTGGGCCCTCACCATCCTGCTTACACTCCCTTGTCCTTTTGCCGAGTCTTTCCGTTTCTCCCACCTCCTTTCTCAGGCGCTCTCCCTGGCGGGCAAGCCATCATGCTGATGCCAGTGTCTCTCTCGCACCTGCTGCTCCTCAGGCTGCTCCTTCCCATTTCTCTGCATTCCCCCTCCCCTCCCATCTCCAGAGAAAGCCCTTGCTGATCTACAGTTTCACAGCAGGCCAGGCCCCAGGGGCTCCGGAGCCTCCCCTCCCCCCATCGGTGGGTTCCTCTCCTCTTGAAGGTCAGGAGCGGGGGAAGGTTCCAAGGCAGAGGCAGGGACTCAAGTATCTTGCAAAGGCTTTATTTGAAAATTTTGAAACTTACATCCCACAAGAATTCAAGATTATCACCACAAGAAGAAGATAGAGAGAATACAAAAATATATATCACAGCATAGGAGCCAGGGAAGAAGAGAGGAGGGGAAACTGTTGAGAAGTCGGGGAGAACCTGAGGAGTGGGAGAGGGGGGTTGGAAGGGAAGGAGGGGGGAACATGAGGAGGAAGTCCGGGAAGGAGAGGGGGTGGAGTGGGAGGCAGAGCTCCTGACGGCCTTGAACCAGCTGGCTCCAGTCCCGGCAGCCTAGGTGGAGTTAGGGAGGCCCCAAGGAAGGTTGGGAAGTGAACAAGCTCAGGGGCTCTGAATTCCAGAAAGTCACATATACACATACAGCCAGGACAGACGGACAAGAGGGACTTGAGGGGAAGGGAAGGACACACGGGAGGTCCCTTTCTCATGTATGCAGAAGGCGGTGGGCCCGAACCCATCTATCAGAAAAGAGAACTTAGCAGTGGGGCCAGGGAGACTTTTGGGGCCTCACCACCCTCACTCCTACAGGGGAGCCCTCAGGGCCCTGGGAGTGGGACAGGGGAGACAGACGTGACATGGGATGGGACAGGGCAGGTGGGGGTGCTAGGAGCCCCCAGCTCAGCTCCCACCCACCTCTGGGACAGCATGCAAGGGGACACAGAGACCAGACTAGCGGGAGGCCCGGGAGGGACACAGCGGGCATCACGCAACACCACCACAATGGGCCAGATGGCGGCACAGGAGAGGCTAGGTGTGCCTGGAACTCGGACCACCCAGGGGCTGAGCTGTGCACGGAATGATGTGCAGAACATGGAAATGTGCAACAAGAGGTGGGAGTGGGGGACGTCACCGGGCAGACCCGTGTGGATTGGGAAAGGGCGCCACTAGCGATGGGTCACATGAGAACACGCAGCGGCCCGCGAGGGTGGAGGTGAGTGTGCAAGGCTTTCATGTGAATGTGCAGGGGTGGAGATGGGGACCCAAAGCCACAGGTATGCGAGGCCCCCACCTATGGGAGGGCGAGCAGGTGGGCTTGCTCCCTGGGGTGTGGAGCCAGGGTGGCAACTGGGGACACCTGTGGCCCCAGCTCCTCACAGCAGCCCCCCCTCGAGGGCTGTGCTGGCCCCTCGGCCTCCTGCTTGGCAGCCCCCCAACATTGGGAAGCATCACAGATTCACCAAGGGAATCCTGAGAGGAAAAGGGAAAGGATGCAAGTCAGGAACCAAGGGGGAGGCCCGAGTCATAGGGAAGGTGTGAGACAGAGCAGGGAGCACAGAGGGGACCAGGGCAGAGCTGCGTTCAAGGGCAGGTGAAAATAGGACACAGATCTTGAGAAAGGGAGGAGAAGGAAGGATTTCCCCACCCAGCAGGGCCTGTGGGAAAACCAGACCCACCCAAGCTGGACCCCCACCCCAATTCTGGGTACCCTCAATCACCTTCCCTCCTCACCCTCCCAGCCCATTGCCCCTGCCCTCACCGGTTCAACTGGAAGGCTGGAGCCCCCTTGGCCTGGGACATCCCAGGCCGGGGTCCCCCTCGGGGCTCCTCATGGTCAGGGGTGGGGGTGGGCGAGTCCCCGAAGGCCCCCAGCACAGTGACTCCCGCCGGGGACAGGTCGGTCAGCGGCTGCTGGCTCTCCTCCTGCCTCAGGGCACTTTGCTGCCCAGAGGGCCGGCGCCGCTTCTGGCTGCGGTCCCAGCTGGTGCATGGGGAGAAAAGTGGTTCCCTTGCACGTCATGCTCAAGTGGTCCTCCCCCTGGGCCCTGCCTGGGACCCTGAGCATCCTCCAGCACAGAACGTGGCCTCTGACAGTTCTCAACATGAATTCTCATAGGACTCTGTCACAAAACCCTCCTTCTCTTTTCTCCAAGGCAGGGCTTAGGGACATATGCATCCTCCCAGTCCAATCCGGACCCCCTCCCCACTCTCCAGTAACATATAAGGTTCCCCCCATCAACACCCCCGACTTCCTGTCCCTATGTGTGTCTGGAAGAGTCACTTCCATCCTCAGAAAACACCTGGTAGTGGAGTTCAAAGTCAGGTAATGAACCAGACACTCAGCAAGGTGTGCAAAGAAAGCTCCAGATCTTCCTCCTTCTCCATTTGCTGGCAGCCCTAAGAAGGGGCTCTGCAGACTGGGGATGGGGAAGGGGGTCAGTTGTCCTTGTCCCTCCCTGATGGAACTAGGACACGTGGTGAACACCAGAGCCCCCAGGATACATAATCTCCCATTGCGATTGAGCTTCCTAGGTGAGGAGGAGTGTGCCCTCTTTCTTCCCCATCTTCCCCAACAGCCCTTAGCGCTTCTCCTAAGGTCTTACCTAAGATCCACCCCTTCCTCCCCCAACCCTAACAAGGCTGATGCCTCCCCACCCAACCCCAACCTGCAGCCTCAACCACCCAGTACTCAATGTCCTGCTGCCAACACCACCTCCCCCCAACCCCTCTCTACTTCGAACTTACCAGAACTTGAAGATGATGCCTGTGGCCACCAGCACAATGATGATGGAGATGGTAATTGTGACATACAGCTGGGGGTCCACACCTGAGTGGGGGTGGGGGAAAGGAGGTTGGAAAGGGGTCAGGGGAGGGCCAGGTGAGGCTGAGGGTCGCTCTGTGAGTCACTCTGCCCAGCTCTTTCTAGTTCTTTCCGTGGAGTTTTCCACTCTCCCTCCACTCTCCCAAATGTGTTTCAAGACGCTTGACACAGTTGTGTTCGAATGTCAGTTCTTGGAAGCTGTCCCCAGCTTGGGACGGAAGTGACTGCTCCTCCTCCTCTATTTTCCTAAAATCATGCTCTCCAGGTCTCTGGAGTAGCAGTGGGGGCTCATACATCTACCTCCTCTAAGAGATTCCTGGGGAGGCTGGGCTAGCTGAGTTTGAGGAAGATGCTAACAGAGCCCTCTGTTTCTGCCCCTGGGGTCCTAAGCCAGCCTCCCTCCCCAGCGCCCCCTCCCAGTTTCTCCCACTCACCTTCCCCACGGCCCCCGAACAGGAACGGCCGCAGGGTGGCAGGCGCTTCTCCCAGGATGAGCCCGTCTCCATCACCCCGCATGGAGTCTGAGTTGGGGTGTGGGGTGGCAAGCCCGTGGGGGGCTGCAAAGCCATAGTCCAGGGGCAGGAAGCCAGGATTGGCAGAGTTGGGGTCGCCCCCATCTTCTCGAGACACTGTAGGGCCCCACACAATAGCCCAGGGATACTGGGATGAGGGCGGCCCCTCCTCAAAGCCTGAGGGGGTGGCAGGGGGTGCAGTGCCTGGCAGAATCTGCCTCCGTGACCTTGGAACCCGAGGGGAACGGCTAGGTGGAGGTGCTCGCTCCCACACGCACACGTGACGTGGGGCTGAGGGGCCTCCCCGGGCACACGGAGGACGGGCCGGGGCTGGTGGGGTGCGAGGGGAAGCCGAGGACCCCTGAGCAGGCAGTGGCAGGGACAGCAGCAGCAGCGGCCACAGAGGGAGAAGGTGGAACAGCAGCAGCACAGGCCTGTAAGGAGAGACCGTGGGTGGGGGCCCAGGCGTGGGAAGGGCTGCTGCCCTGCAGGCGACCCAGGGAAAGCAGGTACAGCTCCTCGTCATCGGGTACTCCTGGCCAGTCGTGCCAGGGCCTCTTTCTGAGGACAGAAGGCTCCAGGGTTGGCCAGGAAGGAAAGGGTCCAGAACCTCCCCTTCCACCTTGGCAGAGTGGTCTAAGCTCCCTCTGCTGGGCCAGACTTACCACATCCTGGACTCCATGTCCGGGGTCTTCCTCAGCTGTGACCCAGATTTGTAGCCTTCACTGGGGGGCAAGAGGGGACTGTCACATCACAGCCCCACCCTGTGCTTGTCCGGCCTTACTCTTTAGGCCCCCAGCCCTGTGTACAACCTCCCAGGTCCCTGTCACCTCCCCACCCAGGGTCTACCCTTGTTTCTCGGGCTGCCTTCCTTCTTGCTTCCTCTGCCCACAGCTCCAGGCTTTTCTTGATCTTAATTTAGAGTCAAGAACCTTGTGATTTCCTTGAGCACTCACCCCGAGGGAGGGAGTAGGGCAGGTTGGGGAGGATGGCACCGTGGGTGGGTGAGTATGCAGGGGCCCTGTCCAATGCCCTGCCACCCCCCTGGGGCAGGGAGCCTCTTGCTCTTAAGATTGGTCCTAGGAGTCTGTAACCTCCGGAGAAAGGGAAAAGATGGGGGAAGGGGAGGGAAGAGATACAACTGAACACAATGTCATTTTTGCTTTCAGAGTGCAATTCTGGGAATGCATGGATGTCCCCTGAAAGGAGGCCCCCCCCCCGCCCCGTCCCCAGAGGAAGCTTTCCTGGGTAGAGACAGTTGGGGGAAGGGACGGAGCTGAGGATGGGGGGAGATGCGGGAGCGAGGCTCCACACCTTGCATACTCCCCGGTAGAGTAAGAGGGGCAAGTCTGGGAGAGGGTGTGAGGAGGTGGTGGAGATGGAAAGGGGCGAGGGGCTGTGAGAGGGACGGTAGCCCAGGGGGGAGGGGGAGGAGACTGGAATGCGGCCGATGCTGGGGAGACAGACTAGCTCTGGGAGAAGAGAGAAGGGGTCCGGGCTGGACAGGCCACAAAGTGGAGTGGAAGCGTCTGGAGCGGTGAGGGGGAAGGGCCTGGGGAGACAGGGGACAGCATCTCCCAGATGACAGCCTGAGGAGAGGAGAGGGCCTGGGTACAGCTCACAGGAGCGGCAAAGATGGAGGGGCTGGGAGTTGTCTCCGCCAATTTGTGGGGCGATGGAGACAGGGGTGGGAGTCTGGGGGAGGGCGAAGCAAGCTGGAGCAGGGAGCCAGCGCCTCTCTTGCGAACCGGTGAAGCGGACAGGAGCTCCTGGGGACGTGAGCGGCCCCCCTCTCTCTCCACCCGGCGCAAATCTAACCGCCCACGTCCCCTCCAGCCCCTGGCTTCCCGAGTCCCGTTAGCCACCCCCTCTAGGACGCCCGCAGTCCCCAGGTTGGCGTGCCACCCCCAGTATCCCTACCCCCCCCCCCGCCGCCGCTCACCGACCTGTTGTGCGCAAAAGATGCGCGCGGGAGGTGGGGGTAGGGCGAGGGGTTGGGGCCCAGACCCCCATCTCCGGCGACGGCGCCCCCATCCCGCCCATCCCACAGGCCGGCGCTCCCCAGGCACGGCCTCTAAGCGGCGAGGGTCCGGAGAGACGCGGAAAAGGAGGTCGGCACCAGGCTCGGGTGAGGCAGCAGCGAGCGCAGAAACGGGACCCGAGCCGAGGATGCTGAGTCCAAGGCGGGGATGGCTCTTGCCGCACCGGGGAGGGCAGGGAGGAGGTGCGCCGGACCGAGGGGGAGGGGGCGCCCGCGGATGCAGGCTGGAGCCTGGGCGTCGGGGCCAAAGCAGGACTAAGCGTCCTCGGCCGGGTGGCAAGGGTGGGGGGCGGTCTCTGTCACTCACCTGCCTGTCTGGCGCGGCTGTGAGACGGCTGCGGACGGCCGGGACTGCGCGGGACTGGGGGGTGTCAGCAGCGCGTGGGGCGCGGGGCATGGTCAGAGGGTTTGGCCGGCGGCTGGACGCGGGAGGCGGGTGGGGTGGGGTGGGGGCGCGGGCGCCCGGGGCGCTGGGCGGCGGCGGCGGGAGATGCTCGGCTCGGCTCGGCTCCGGCTGCGCTCGGCTCGGCTGAGCTCGGCGCGGCGGCTGCGAGCGCTCGGTCTCCGCCTCTCGCCCTCCCGCCCGTCGGCTGCGCGCGGTTTAACCCTCCCGCCGCCGCCGCCGTCTCGGGAGTCACGCCAGGCTCTGTCCCCGGCCCGCTGAGGGGCCGGAGCGAGCCGGCGACCGGGGGCGAGGCCCACTCGCCTCGCGCAGTGCTCGCGGTCGGCGTCCCTCCCCGCTGCGCCCGACGCAGCGGACACGCGCGGTCGCCTGAGCAGTGTTTCCACGATTCTGAGTCACTCCCGGTGGAGCGCTCGCGATCAAGGGGCGGAGGACGAGGCCCCTCAGCCTCGCTGTTGGATTGCCACCCCCCAAGTCTGGTCCTTTAGTATACTTTAGCTGTGCTCTCCCTGGAGCACCCCAAATGATCTGGAGCAAGGGGAGGTGGCACTTAATCAGCTTGGAACGGCCAGACCCTACCGTGGCTTAGGGGACCCTGCACCGTCCACCTGGTAGCCTCCTACTTGCTTTCTTGAGTATTGCTGTGCCTCAGTCACAGCCCATCTGGGGTCCTGGAAGGAGTCAAACTTGACCTGCCTTTGCAGTTGGCTCTCCTCTGCGGGAGCTAATTCCTCCCAGCATTTCGCAAGGATGCACGCTGCCCTGGTTTCCTAGCAGGAGATGCAGGGGCTGGTGAAAGCCCCCCTCGTGTTCCTGCCACAGGTGGCCCTCCTTGCCCCTCCATACCACATCACTCCCCTCTCCTGGGCTGCAATTCCAGGGCCCCGCACGTGTCCAGCGTCCCTCCAACCTCCCTGACTTTTTTGCTGGTCCTTACTTGGCTTTGACCTCTAAATGCTTCCACCTCCTCGGGCTTGGTCCCTTGCTCTCTCCTCTTCCCACGTCCTCCCGGCTGGTTAGCTCATGCAGTCCCGCAGCTTAAATACTATGTAAATGTCAGTGAGTCCTAAATTTGTATCCAGAGCGCCAGACTCATTTATCCAACAGCCTATTTGACATCTCCACTTGGGTGTCTAATAGCCATGCCAAACGGACGTGACTAAAATAGATGTGCTGCACCCCCATCACCCCCAACCCATTTTGCTCCCTGACTGTTCCCAGGCTGGAACATAGCAGCTCCTGGCTGCTCGGCCTGGAAATCTGGGAAGCTTCACCTGCCTTTTCAGCAATTTCCTCCTGTGTATTCACCAGCAAGCGCAGGGCCTTTGTATCCAAAACATGTCCTGAATCCATCGCATTAGCTTGCAAATTGGCTCCTCTCTTCCGCCCTTGCTCTTTACAAAGTAACCTACACAGTATCAGGAATATGCACTGTATCTAAACCATGTCATGCCCTTCTCATTTCAGAGTGAGTGAAGCCTCAGCCAGGAGGGCATGGACTTGGGCCCCTGCCACTACCCACAGAAGAGACCCAGACGGAGTCCTGGGTTCCAGGTTTCAACATGACCTGGCCTTGGTTGTTGTGAGGTATTTGGGAGTGAACAAAGAGATGGAAGATCAGCCTCTTTTCCTCTCTGTCCCACCCTTCCCTCCTGACACTCTGCCTTTCATTTAAAAAGAAAAATTGTGTATATAGGGCCTGACACAGTAACCTAGTGGCTAAAGTCCTCACCTTGCATGTACTGGGATCCCATATGGATGCTGACTCATGTCCCAGCTGCTCTACTCTCATCCGGCTTCTGATTGTGGTCTGGGAGGGCAGTTGAGGGCGGCCCAAAGCCTTGGGACCCTGTGCCTGCGTGGGAGACCCAGAGGAGACTCCTAGCTCCATGCTTCGGATTGACTCAGCTTGGGCTATTGTGGCCATTTGGGAAGTAAACCAGCAGATGGAAGATCTTTTTCTCTATCTCTCCTTCTTTCTGTACATCTGATTTTCCAATGAGGATAGATGAATCTTCAAAAAAAAAAAATGCTGGTTAACTCCTTCAAATGGCTGCAATAGCTGGAGCTTGGCTATTCTATAGCCAAAGATCCAGGAGCTTCTTCAGGGTCCCCCCAAATGGGTGCAGGAGCCCCAGGCTTGGGCCATCCTTCACTGCTTTCCTAGGCCACAAGCAGGTAACAGAATTGGAACTGAAAATACAGGGATCCGAACCAACGCCCTTATGGGATGTCAGTGGTACAGGTGAAGGCTTAGCCTACTATGCCATGGCACCAGTCCTTCTTACTTTGCCTTTCAAATGCATAGATAGGTTTTTAAATTATTTTCATCATTTTCACAGTAATTCTGAACTTACTGTAAGGAGAGACTCCCAGCATACACGATGTTCCCACCAGACTAGACTTCCTAGTGCATTGGTCTTTTTTTTTTTTAAGATTTTTTTTTTTTTATTGGAAAGTCAGATATACAGAGAGGAGGAGAGACAGAGAGGAAGATCTTCCTTCCGTTGATTCACTCCCAAGTGGCTGCAATGGCCGGAATCGAGCTGATCCAAAGCCAGAAGCCCATTGCCTCTTTCAGGTCTCCCACACATGGTCCTGCATGTGAGCTGGGTTAAGGGGAGAGCCAGATCCACTGGGACGTGCTTGTGCTGGTCTGGCTTTGCCATAGTATCCAATGCCAGGTGCCAGGAATGGCTGTTATGCCGGACTTCAGTTCCACCTGGAAAGTGCAAAATGCGAGGCTGGGTGGACCCAGTGGGGAAACTGCCCTGCCCCATGGACTGCAACCGGTGTGCTGGATTTTGAAATCCCTAGAGAATCTCCCAGTCTGAAGTCGGTGCTAACGCATAAAGGTGGCTTATTCAGGTTAGCCTAGGTCTCCCTGCCACCTCCCACAGCCAAGCAGGGCTGGGTGGGGAGGGGGCAGCTGCAGCCGAGGCTGCAGCAAGAACAGCAGGGCGGAAAAGGGTTCAACACCACAGGGTTCTTATACAACTTCAGGCCAGTTCCATATAATTATACAGTCATGATTGGTCAGTTTAACTGTTACTTTCAAAAAGAGCAAGTTGGCAGGCTTCTATTGGCGGGTTTAAAGCAAGCAACTTTCAAAAAGTACAAATTGATGAGCTATAGGGCAGTGAATCTTATTTAACACCAGGGCCTTTCTTCCTGAGGAGTGGTCTGCCTACGGGACCTGCCAGGTGTCCTGCCGGGTGTCACGTAGACTGTCAGGCCTGGAGTTCACACAGCCCCCAGCCAAGCAATTAAAGCAGAAATCACAAAAGCAGAAAACAACCTAGATTCTTCACAACTCTCAGTGGTGAGCATGAGAACCAAGGCTGGGGGCAGACCTGCCTGGATAGGCAGTAGCACCTGCCACCGTAAGTGTGGGCTACGCAGTGGGGTTGGTCGGGCTGAGCTAGGCTGCAGCACCCATTGATGTTTATTGAGAGCCAAGTGGGATGTGGGACTGACTGGATCGGTCGGCTACACATACTAGCATGCTCTGAAACCAGGGCTAGGGACGGGCCTTGTGGGGGACATTGGGGGTCACTATGTCTGGGCTGCCGTTGCTCCTGGTGTGCATGAGGCCAGGTATGTGGTGGGCAGGGTTAGGCTGGGCCGCAGCATCCATCGGTTTGTGTATGAGATGGGGCTGGAGACAGAACTGACCAGGCAGCTACAGCCACAAGTGTGTGTGTAGGCTGATGTAGGCAACAGACCGAGCCAGACCCCACACTGGCTGGCACACACGGGAACCAGGCCTGGGATCATTTCTGCCAAGGTGTCTTTAGGGACTCCCCCAAATGTTCACTGGGTTCAGAACTCCAATCACGGGGAAAATCACAGGCTCTGTGGTCTGGCCATGGAGCGCATGTGTCAAAACTAGGTCTCCTGGGTTGTTGAAGCCAGTGCGAGGACTGCAAGTCCAGATGCACGTGGAGGACATAACAGATCAATGACCCGTGCAGAAGCTCTCTAGGTTCATGAAGGGCAGAACAAATTGGACAACTCTTCCAGCCAAGCTTTGACAGCGAGAATCTGGGTGAGTGAAGACTCCAAGGTGAACTACGTCAGCCAGTGGACCTTGGAAAGAGTTCCTCATCCTTGGAGCAACGGAACGCCAGCATCTCAGAACTATTGAAACCCTTGGAACGTGCTCCGCAATGGGAACCCGGGGTGACATTGCTCTTCCCATCCTGGGTACTGATGCAGGTAGGATGCTGGGAGCAGCTTTCTCCCCTTCTTTTTCCCCTTCCCCCAGATATAGGGAGAAAAAAAAAATAAGCCTGCAGAAGTGGAGCAGCACTGACCTGAGCTGGTTCTCCTATGTGGGATGCAGCGGCTCTGTGTGCTCCAGGACCTAGCCTCGCTTAGTAACTGGTCCCTTCATTCTGCCACATTGGCTTGACTGTCACTGCTACAGATCAAAGTCCCATATATCCATGGATAAGCAGTTTCATTAGTCAATTCTTGGAAAATCTGCACGAATAACGTGTCTTGTTAAATTCTGTAGCTGTAAAATGAATCCAGATGTCTCTCATGGTAAAGACCACCTTGCCAAAAATGTACTCTCTCTTCTTCAGTATTTTCTTGTCATTTCTGGACCTCTTCTCATTTTGAAAATAAGCTTGCCTAGTTCTGCAGGGTTTGCAGGAGAAATATATTCAATGGAAACTCCAGTTTGGAACACATTGATATTCTTCTGCTATTGAGACATCGGGTCTTGTTTTTGTTTTGTTTTGTTTTTGTTTGTTTGTTTTGTTTTGTTTTCCTGATTATGAGGCCTCACAGGCATTTTTATTCTTCATCTGGAAATGTTTAATGCTTTCTAATAGACATATAAATGGGTAATATATGCCTTCTGTCTTGAGTATTCCCATTTTTTTTTCTGTTGTATTAACTTTTTCTCCCCATTTCACTCAAAAGGCTGAGAAACATAGGGAGATCTTCTAGTTCATTTTCCAAAGGCCCACAGTGAGAGGGCTGGGCCAGGCTCAAGTCAGAAGGGCACAGATGGTACCCAGGTGTCCCACACGGATGGCAAGGACCCAAACGCTTCAGTCAACATCACCTGCTACATGCTGGGATGTGCGTTAGTGGGAAGCTGAAATCAAAATCAAAAATGAAGGTGGGACTCGAACCCGGGCACTCTTATTTGAGATGGGCCACCCAGTTAGCATGTAGCCACTCTATGATCCCAGCCATCCATGGTAACTTTTGAAGATGACTTTTTTTTTTTTGTTAAAGATTTATTTATTTTTATTGGAAAGTCAGATATACAGAGAGGAGGAGAAACAGAGAGGAAGATCTTCTGTCCGATGATTCACTCACCAAGCAGCCGCAACAGCTGGAGCTGAGCCAATCCAAAGCCAGGAGCTTTTTCCAGGTCTGCCACATGGGTGCAGGGTCCCAAGGCTTTGAGCCATGCTCGCTGCTTTCCCAGGCCACAAACAGGAAGCTGGCTGGGAAATGGGGCTGCTGGGATTAGAACCAGCGTCCATATGGGATCCTGGCATGTTCAAGGTGAGGACCTCAGGCACTATGCTATCACGCCAGGCCCAAAGATGACATTTTCCAATTGTTTTTCTTCTTCTGTTATACAGAAATGTAATTGCTTTGGGACACAAGCACACCCACATGAACATTCACCAGCTTATGTGTGTTTCCTGGTACAGGGGCATCTAACAGATGTTATCTATTCACCTAGGCTAATTGTGTGTTTCAGAACAAAGCACGACAAATCTACACAGACACACACACAAAGAGATGCAATTGATTTGCAATATTGCTTGTAGAGCCAATAACATTGACAAGCTTTCTCTTTTCTGTGGACTTTCTGAGGCTCTACAAACCAATCATGTAATCTACAAGTGATGACAGGTTTTTTTCTTGTTTTCAATGCTATGCCTTTCATTTCCCTTTCAGTGCTGGCCGGGACATTTAGTACATTGTTGAATACAAGTAGTGATAGCTGGCATCCTTATTTTGTTCCTGGTATAAAAGGAAACATTTTAGTGTTTTCCCAGTAAGAATAATCTTTGCTGTACATTCTTTAAAAAATAGATTGATTTATTTATTAGATTTTTTTTAATGGAAAGTCAGATATACAGAGAGAAGGAGAGACAGAGAGGAAGATCTTCCATCTGATAATTCACTCCCTAAGCAGCTGCAACGGCCAGAGCTGAGCCAATCCAAAGCCAGGAACCAGGATCCTCTTCCAGGTCTCCCACGTGGATGCAGGGTCTCAAGGCTTTGGACCGTCCTCCACTGCTTTCCCAGTCCACAGGCAAGGAGCTGGATGGGAAGTGGGGCTGCTGGGATTAGAACCATCCATATGGGATGCTGACATCACAGGCGGAGGCTTGGCCTAATATACCATGTTGCAGGTCCTGTGGATTTCCTTTTTATTTTATTTTTGATAACTTTTCCTGAAGTAGGAGTTTGGCCTAGTGGTTAAGATACTAGTTGTGGGTCCAGCATAGTAGCCCTAGTGGCTAAAGTCCTCGCCTTACATGTTCCAGGATCCCATGTGAGTGCCAGTTTATGTCCTGGCACCTCTGCTTTCCATCCAGCTCCCTTCTTGTGGCCTGGAAATGCAGTCGAGGATGGCCCAAAGCTTTGGGACCCTGCACCCACATGGGAGACCCGGAAGAAGCTCCTGGCTCATGGCTGCCAGATCAGTGCAGTTCTGGCCATTTCGGCCACTTGGGGAGTGAAGCAGATGATGGCAAATCTATCTGTCTGTCTCTCTTCCTCTCTGTATATCTGCCTTTCCAATAAAGATGAAATACATCTTTTAAAATTTAAAATTAATAAAATATTTTAATACAATTTTTAACATTAAATTTGCATACCAAAGAAGACACTCATCACTAATTTGCTAAGAATATTGTCATGTATATGTGTTGGATTTAATATTTTTAAAGCCCATTTTAATGAACTATAGCACACATAGGAATGAGTGCAACAAGCCATAAACTACAGTGAGTACTTACAAAGAAAATACACACAAAGAGAACAGCCACCACCCAAGCCCAACACGAGTGCCTTGCCTATTTCGCAAAATTACAGTGTCTCTAGCCAATTAAACATCATTCTCACCTCGCTGGAGGTAAGCCACAAGCTTTTTTTAAAAAAAGAGTTATTTATTTATTTATTGGAAAGGCAGACATACAGAGAGAAGGAAAGAAAGAAAAAGATCCTCCATCCACTGATTCATTCCCCAAGTGGCCACAATGGCCAAAGCTGAGCCAAAGCCAGGAACCAGAAACCCAGAGCCTCTTTCAGGTCTCCCACATAGTTGGGCTGTTTGCTACTGCCTCCCCAGGGCACAAGCAGGGAGCTGGATGGGAAACAAGGCCGCCAGGATTAGAACCAGCACCGCTATGGAATCCCGGTGCATGCAAGGTGAAGACTTCAACTACTAGGCTACCTCACCGGGCCCAGCCACAGACTTGTATGACAACCATAAACTTCCTTTCTTAATAGTTTCTCAGGATGTCCTTATTTTCCTTCATTATATATTTTCTCTTGTTTGCTTTATTTTTAAAGATTTAATCATTTATTTTTATTGGAAAGGCAGATTTACAGAGAGAAGGAGAGACAGATCTTCCATCTGCTGGTTCACTCCCCAAGTGGCTGCAACAGCAGAGCTGATCTGAAACCATAACCCTTTTCTGGGTCTCTCATGTGGGTGCAGGAGCTGAAACAGTTGAGCCATCCTGTGCTGCTTTCCCAGGCCACAAGCAGAGAGCTGGATGGGAAGTGGAGCATCTGGGACATGAACTGGTGCCCATATGGGATCGGGTGCTTGGAGGTGGAGGATTAGCCTGTTGAGCCACAGCATCAGCCCCCGCCCCCGCCTTTTTTTTTTTTTTAAGAAAGATCTATTATTTGAAAGGCAGAATAGGGGAGGGGCCAGAGCAGCTGGGACTTGAACAGGCACTCCAATGTGAAACGCAGGCATCTTAAGCAGTGACTTAAATTGCTATGCGTTCAGAAGTACCATGCAATGGCTTTAATTTGCATTTCTCTGATAACTAATGAAATTCAATATTTTTTACATGTTTGTTGGCGTTGTGGTTTTCTCTGCTGAAATGTTTACATCTGTATCTCAGGTTATATTATATTCTTTTTTTAAAAAAGATTTATTTGTTTTTTATTACAAAGTCAGATATACAGAGAGGAGGAGAGATAGAGAGGAAGATTTTTCCATCTGATGATTCACTCCCCAAGGGAGTGCAATGGCCAGTGCTGTGCCGATCTGGAGCTAGGAGCCAGGAGCTTTTTCCAGGTCTCCCACATGGGTGCAGGGTCCCAAGGCTTTGGTCCATCCTCGACTGCTTTCCCAGGCCACTAGCACGGAGCTGGATGGGAAGTGGGGCTGCTGGGATTAGAACTGGCGGCTTTATGGGATCCCGGAGCGTGCAAGGCAAGACTTTAACCACTAAGCTATCGTGCCGGTCCCTGTCACAAAATCTTTTAATCTACGTTTTCCACTTAGTCTTATAGGGTAGCGGCAATTGATTTTTGTATGTGGTTTCAGCTTTAAGATTTTCTTTTAGATAGCCAATTGTCACAGTATCATTAAAACATGCTTTTATCCCACTCCGAAGTGCATACTCTATCTAAACCATGTGCTGTATATGTGTATCTGAACTCTGAATTATAGTCCAAGGGTCAGTTCATCTATCTCCACACCTACACTATACATCCAAATTCTTAGGGCTTTGTTAGATGTCCTGGAATCTAATCCAACAAGTCTCCACCTTGTTTATGTTCACAGCCTGTTCCTGGTCTTTTGCAGGACTCAGTTTATCAGTTTCATGTAGCCTCGAAACCTTGTTTAGCTCTCTAAAAAGTGCTCACTCAGTGTCCAAGACGTGGCCCACGGGCGAGCTTGGGACAAAAGTCTGAGTTTCAAGCTGGATGGGCAGGGCTCCTGAGACCACCACCCGCTGCTGCCAGGGTGAGCAGTAGAAAGCTGGATCGGAAGCAGAAGTGCAGGAGCTGGGACTCCAGCTGGCACCCTGGGGCGGACAGCAGCTTACCACAATTCCTGTCCCCACTGCCCAGCTTTTTTTTTTTTTTTCCAAAGATTCATTTCATTTTATTTGGAAAGTTAGATATACATGGAGAAGAAAAGACAGAAAGCTCTTCCATTTGATTCACTGATTCACTCTCCAAGTAGTCACAACAACCAGAGCTACACTGATCCGAAGCCAGGAGCCAGGAGCTTCCTGCCAGATGGTGTCTACCACAAGGCGTTTGCCATTTTAAAATAAGATTTCTTTTATTTTTACTTGATAGCGGTACAGAGAGAATGGAGATACAAATAGATCTTCCACTGCTGGTTCACTTCCCAAATGGCTGCAGGAGTGGAAGGCAACCCAGGCTGGAGCCAGGGGCTTCTTCTAGGTCTCTGCTGTCGCTCCAGTGGCCACAGTCCTTGGACCTGCTTTCCCAGGCCATAAGCAAGGAACTGGATTGGAAGTGAAGCAGTCGGGACTCAAACCAGCCACTATATGCATGCCAGCACCGCAGATGGAAGCTTAAGAAACTACACGACGACTCCAGCCCCAAAGTTTCTACTTTTTTTTTTTTTCTTTCCATTGTCCCCCACCTCCCTGTGCTGCCATGCCAGCCACGCAGTGCAGCCAGGAGTCGCGGCTTAGCACTGACAGAACGGTCTGCCGCAGCCTGAGACCCCCCTGCCAGCCTCGACGGGTAGTGCTAGCACCCTTCCACCAATAAAGTTTTATTGAAACCAAGCGGCAAATGCGGTTCCCGTCACTCTTTTCCAGGCAACCAATGAAAAGAGCCCGGCGCACGGCGGGGGCGGGGCCTGCCGCCCCTGGCAACTGCGTCGCTAGGGCGGACGGATTCCGGCCATAGAGTGTGGAGGCCAGAGCGGCCCCGCGGGGAGGCGGCAGGAAAGGCTGGGAACAGCTGCCGGAGGTGACGGCACGACGGCCCCGCCCGGGACGCTGCAAGACGGAGCGTCCAGGTAGCGGCCCGCGCAGGCTGACCCCAGGGTACGGCGGCAGCCCGTGGTCCCTGGGCGGCCTCTTTAAGGGAGGAGGTGGAGCTCCGCGGCCGGCTCCGAGGGGTGAGGTCACGTGGCCGGGGGCACGTGCGGGACCCGCGTGGGCGCCGAGGGGTGTGTTGTCGTTGGGGGTTGCTGTGCCCCCGGACCTCCGCCCCTCGCCCAGCTGCATCCTGTGCCCGGGGGAGGGCATGGGCGTGGCCGGCCCAGAGGAGGCTGGCTTTTTAGGGTTCAAGTTCGCCCCGGCTCCTGCTGGTGGTGGCAGCTGGGATCCAGCCCCTCTCGGCAGCGCGAGGCGCCTTTAGTTTCACATCCTCTTTGCTTGCAGCTCCAGGCATCCTTGAGCCCAGGTTCCCGTGCCCCCTCCCGACCCCCGCAGCTCAGCCATGAGTGCCGAGGTGAAGGTGACGGGGCAGAACCAGGAACAGTTTTTGCTGCTCGCCAAGTCGGCTAAGGGCGCAGCGCTGGCCACACTCATCCACCAGGTGTTGGAGGCCCCCGGTGTCTACGTGTTTGGGGAACTGCTGGATATGCCTAATGTCAGAGAGGTGCGTGGCTGGCCTGGGTCGCCCCCACGGGGGGAAAGCTTGGGGGCCAACGTCTGGATGTGAGCATGGGCGAGCGGGGCTCGGTTCACCACCCTGCGGCCCTTCTGTTGTGCGGGAATGATTGGCAACTTGCACTAGTAAAATAAACAAGTGATTGGCAGATAAGGGAAAACCCACTACTTGCACTTCTAAGCAAATAGATAAGGCATTCCAGATAGGAAACGCCTCATTCGGGTCTCCTTGGGGTTAGGGTCTCCAGTTTCTCTTTCAAGGATGGAGATGGAGATTCCCAATTACTCCAGTCAGAAGACAGGAAAGTGTTAGGTGGGTGCAGTTGGGATAAACAGGCCACAGGAGCCGGCCCGTCCCCCTGCACAGCCTAGGCTGATCCACCTAAGAGAGGGAGAAGGTGTCCTTTCCGCTAAAGGCGTATTGCAGCCTGCTAGGACAGAGCAGGGAACTAAACAGAGTTTAAAGTCCAGATGAGTCAGCGTGGTTTGCCTTGCCAGCAGTACTCACCTGTGCTAGGTAGGTAGACTAATAACCAAATTTTTAAATTTTTTGTTTTGTTGTAATTTTTAAAAATTGTACTTGAAAGACAAGAGTTACAGAGAGGCAGGGAAAGAGAAGGAGACGGAGATTTTTATGTGCTGGTTCACTCCCCATAGGACTGCAGTGGCTGGAGCTGTGCTAGTCCCCAGCCAGGAGACTCTTCCAGATCTCCCCCATGAGTGACAGCAGCCCAAGGTCCATCCTCTTCTGCTTTCCCAGGCCACGAGCAGGGAGCTGGATAGGAAGCAGAGTAGCCAGGACACAAACTGGCACCCATAAGATGTCTGCACTGCAGGTAGATTAGCTTGCTGTGCCACCGTGCCAGCCCATTAGCTGGTTCATGAGGGTGTGTGATTGAATACATTGAATATGGTTTTCTGAGGCCATCATGGTATGCAAAGAATTTTTTTCCCTGCATTGAATCCAAAAAGTATCATCAGTTGAGGGGTCCCTGTCTAGTTGTCTGCTAATGTCCTGGGAACCCCAGGGAACCACCCCTCCTGGGCCGTGCAGTCCAGGGGAATGGATGAGCAGCTTCGTGACCCACATCAGCCATGGCATAGATACAGCAGTCCTGTGGCTTAGTGAGACATCCGAAGTTTGGCTGGGATGTTGTTGAAAACCAGCTTGATTTCGGAACCTGCTGAATGCTCAGTCGTAGAAGCAGAGGGCTGGGGAGGCTGCCTGGGGAAGGGGAGACACCTGCCATGGGGGGTGGAGAGCGGCGTCTGAGCCAGAGGCCAATCCTCAGGCCTGAGGCAGTACTGTGTGAATCAGGAGGTATGGGAGACACCTGAGGCCGCAAGGGCTGGGCTGCACGAGCCACTGCTGGGGATGTGGCTGTTGCCTCTTGGGCCTTGAGTTTTCCCACCTTGAATGTGGTGGGGGCGTGTATGGATTGGGAAGGTAGTTAAACAAAGGTCTACAGGTGGAAATGAGAGAGGCAGAGAACTCCCCTTGGGAAACGGGGGGGTGTGTGGGGTAACATCGGCCAGCAAAGATGGGCCAGAAAGTGCGCGTCCTCGCAGAGGCCGGGCAGCGAGGGCAGCCCCTCCCGTCAGCCTGCCCCTCGTGTCACCTTGCAGCTCGCAGACACCGACTTCGCCTCCACCTTCCGGCTGCTCACGGTGTTCGCCTACGGGACCTATGCCGACTATCTAGGTAACCGGGGCGGCCGGGGCCCTGCAGTGCTGGGAACGGGAGAAGGGCGATTTCTGGAGGGAACTTGACGTTCGCTGAGATGCCCTGGGTGGGTGCCTTGGGTACGCAGGGTCAGCGTCAAAACCTGAATTAGACTGGAAACCTCACCAAAATAAACAAAAAATGAAGAAGGCACAGGCTTCCCCCCCTGAACTGAGACTCGGCTGCCTCCTCTTTGTCCCCTTCCCCAGCTGAAGCTCGCAACCTGCCCCCACTCACGGAGGCACAGAAGAATAAGCTCCGACACCTCTCAGTGGTCAGCCTGGCTGCTAAGGTCAAGGTGAGTGGCACTCCCCAGGACGGCCCTTGGCTAGCTGTGGCCTTGTCCTGCCCCTCTAGGCCTGTGTCTGGGTGGCTCCCCACCTGTGTGTCCATTCATCTGAAACTTCTAAGGAAGCCTCTTTCAGATTTTGATCCAAGTGGCAGCCAGGGTGCCAGGGTATGTGTTGCTGAGCAGTAGTCCTTGTTGCCACAGCCTCGGAGCTGGAGCAGGCTTCTGATGCAGTGCCAGGCCTCTGTGGGGTGGTGTAAGACATGCATGAGACCCGGACAGAGTTCTGTATCGCTCTGCTTTCCGTCAGTGCGCACTGCTGCCCCACCCTGCGCCCACACAGCCTGCGCTTTGCCGCGGTTTTATTCACACGGAGCTCTCCGCTGTGCAGTGCCTCGAGAGGAGTGTCTGCAGAAGTCAGACTTGTCCTGTGGTGGGCGAGATGCCCTTGACCAGGAGCCGCATGATGTGCTTCCACTGCGGCCAGGGGAGTGACACCAGCAGGTGTCGCGCTGGCTTGCCCACTGTGCGGTGGGGGACAGGGTAGCAGGGGTGCGAGAGCCTTGCATCTGATCGTGGTGATGTTGTGGCTCAGAGATGGAAGTGCCTGGATTTAGTGTGCTCTAGAGCTAGCGTAGGGATGACGGGCAGGAGGAGGGAAGAGGCAGGATCCTCATGTACCCTGGGCCGCCCTCTCCGGGTCCCAGTGCATCCCATACGCAGTGCTGCTCGAAGCCCTGGCCCTGCGCAATGTGCGGCAGCTGGAAGACCTGGTGATTGAGGCCGTGTATGCTGATGTGCTGCGTGGCTCCCTGGACCAGCGCAACCAGCGCCTAGAGGTAGATTACAGCATTGGGCGGGACATCCAGCGCCAGGACCTCAGTGCCATCGCCCGGACCCTGCAGGAGTGGTGAGCCCTGGCTTTCTGCGCTGTGCCTTTCCTCCTCAACCCTGGAACGAGGCTAGTGCTGCAGGGCAGACGAGCAGGGGCTGGGATGGGCTGCAGCCCAAGAAGGTGAAGGAGAGAGCGCTCATTCCTCTGCTGGAATAAGAGGAATGGGAGGGAGTGGGGATGCCCCTCTGGAGGTCACCTGTCTGGCCTGGAGTCCATCCGTTGCTCTAACTGCCACTGTCCCCAAGCCGCGGGCCTGTGAGCTCCTCCTTGTGTCTGTCTGTAGCCATTCCTCTAGCAGCCTTTGCACCCCGCTCCCCCATCCCTGTGCTTGCCGCTGCCCGCCTCTGCCCAGCACTTGTTCTCCCTGTCCTATCTCACTGCTGTCAGTGGCTGCCAGGGGCGTTGGGGAAGGGCCCGATTAGGACAAGGGGCTGGGTGCCAGGAACCAGCAGCTCCTTAGGAGTCTGTCTGAGCCCTCTGTGTTGACATGGTCTCGTTTCCCCACACCCGCAGGTGTGTGGGCTGTGAGGTTGTGCTCTCAGGCATCGAGGAGCAAGTAAGCCGGGCAAACCAGCACAAGGAGCAGCAGCTGGGCCTGAAGCAGCAGATTGAGAGCGAGGTGAGTGGACCTGTCCACACGGCCCTGGCTGGGGCGCCAGCCTGCGGCAGGTGAGAGAGGCAGAGTTTGTTGCGTTCTAGAAGCTTCTTTGCTTCCCTTATTCCTTCCATCCTGGTAGGTTGCCAACCTTAAGAAAACCATTAAAGTTACCACGGCGGCAGCGGCCGCAGCCACCTCCCAAGACCCTGAGCAGCACCTGACGGAGCTGAGGGAGCCAGCTGCAGGCACCAACCAGCGCCAGCCCAGCAAGAAGGCCTCCAAGGGCAAAGGGTGAGCCAAGGGGCGCCCTACCCCACCGCAGGGGCCCTGCCGCTCTCACCTCCTCTCATCATTCATGTGGGGTTAGGGGATCGGGGGAGGGTGCACGGGGTAGGGAGTCCCCACATGCATTCTCTGTCTCTTCCACTCACCAGGCTCCGAGGGAGTGCCAAAATTTGGTCCAAGTCGAACTGAAGGGACTGTCATTTCTTGCCTGGGACTGTGGGGTCCCAACTGCCTGCCTGCCCTTAGGAGTTCTCAGAGAGCTTTCCTGTGCCCCTGGCCAGCTGATAATCTTCAGGTCATGACCTTTCACCCCCTCGACCCCCCAGCCCGAGCCCAAGCATAGATCATACCTTCTCTGGGGAGGAGGCAAGTACAGGTCACATGTTTATTGGTACTTTGGTTTTACATGACTTTTCTAATGTGTCACCTTGTCGCCTTTCCCGTTGTGCTGTGTTTAAGAGCACGCGTTCCTTCCTGTCCCTAGTAGGGGAGCAGCTGTGCTGGGGTTTGCTCTGCTTCCAGCATAGCCCGCAGGTGCTCCTTCTGTGCCCTGTCGCTGCATGCCTGCCATCACCTCCTCAATCTGCTTCCCTCCCCCTTTGTGTGGATCACATCTCAAGAGCCGGAGGGCCCTTCCCCGGATGCCCACCCTGAGTTCCGGGAGCCAGCCTGCCACACTCACACTACGGCCATCTCCTTGCCGCCCTCCTCTCCCCTGGGATCCTGGGAACGCTGCTGCATGTGACGCCCCGGGAGCCCGAGGAAGCGGCTGTTCTGAAGATGTTGACACAAGGTTCTGTTAGCCCTGAGCATCTTGGGAAGCCTGGTGGTGGTCCTGCAAGGCTTGGGGTCCCCTGTTGTGACTTTGGTGGGCGAAGGGAAAAGGATAGAGATTGTATTTAAAAAGGTCTATATGCACATAGCTATATATAACATGACACAGAAATAAATCTATGAGAAGTCTACATACATGGCCTAAAGTTTCTTTGCGTTTGGTATTTGGTGGAGGGAATGTAAATAAGACTCATACCCAGTCTACTCTAAGTGCTGGAAAAAAATGAAGAAAATCTTGGGGCGCTACTGTGGTATACTGAGTAGGCCAAGTCTCCACCTGCAGTGCCAACATCCCATCTGGGCTCTGGTTCAAGTCTCAACTGCTCCGCCTCCTGTCCAGCTCCCTGCTATGGCCTAGAAAAGTAGAGGAGGATGGCTTAAGTGCTAGGGCCCCACACACATGTGGGAGACCCAGAGGAAACTCCTGGCTCCTGGCTTCGGATCAGCTCAGCTCTGGCCTTTGCAGCCATGTGGCGAGTGATCAGCAGAGGGAGGATCTTTCCATTCTATAGCTCTTTCTTTCAGACAGAAACCTAAAAAATAGTGAGAGAACCAGCTACTATTTGCGAGTCCCGGCAGCCTGACACCAGGAGCCAGGAACTCCCTCCTGGTCTCTAAGGACCTGGCCTATCCTCTACCACTTTCCCAGGCACTGGATTGGTGGCAACTCAAACTGACACTCCAATAGGGGAAGTCAGTGTCGCAACGCCAGCCCCACAGCCTGAGATTCTGAAACTAGAACGGTCCTAAGTAAATGAGGTCTGGGGAAATGAATGACCCGTCCCCAGCAGGGTGGCAGAAGGGCTGGGCTGGGGCCCCAGCCTCTGGGTTCTCAGGAGCCTGCTGGCGGCCACTTGCTACCATGGAAAGCATGTCCCTGCCCATCTGGACAGGGCACAGAGGGTCAGGGCTGTTCTGGTCCTGCCACATACGGTGCAGAACCCAGGGAACTAATTCACACTTGTGTGCCTTCCGACTCCTTGGAGTTGTGGATCCACACATGGTTCCCCAGCCCAGTTTGAAGAGGTTAGTCACACTGGGAAAGTCCTCCCTTCCCAAGACCCAGAGAATCTCTTTCCCAACTGCAATGCACAACTGAGGATGTCTGTGACGTGGGCAAATGAGGCTCTCGCACGTCTTCTCCATGATTAAGTACACGGCCAGGAGGAGGAGGCTGATCCAGCCGGCCAGTCTTACAGGAGTGGGCGTCTTCAGAAACCCGAGCTCCTCCCAGCTCCACATGCTCAGGTTCCAGCTCACCCATCTTTTCCGTTCCTTCACAGGCTCAAGTTCTCATCAACCGGGGGAGGTGGGTCTGAAGAATGTTGCTCACCCCACAGCTCCCTCCCGCCTGCCCAATGGCCTGTGTGGGATGATCTGGCCTCTCTCCAGGCCCAGGGACATACTCTGCTAGGGGCCAGCGGCAATCCTCCCCTCAGGCACCTGCGACACGGGTTGGGCCCTCGGTGCGGGGAAGTGACTAGGCAGACAGGAAGCACAAACTGAACAGGGAGAAGGGCCCAAGCAGAGCAGAGTCCCAGTGGGTCTTTTTCCTATTCTCTTTTATTCCATAACCACCTAGTTACAAGTTGCACAAATCAAAAAATAAAGACAGAGGAGGATGGAGGGGCGAGTCTGTGATGTGTGAGGGCGAAAGGGGGAATGCAGGGAGGGTCGGGCAGCAGCCCATGCCTTCCATAGCCCCGAACGGAACTATGGCCCCTGCTACGGGGGCTCTGAGGAAGAGGTGGGCAAAGAGCCAGACTGGCTGAGGGCTGGGGGAGACCCCTAAACCTCGAACTCTACTTCAAAAACCCTCCGATGCACAGCAAAGGGGAGAAGTGTGGGAAGGGGAGGCGGTTCCAAGACGGAGCAGCAACCTGAAGAGTCAAGTTAGTGGATCCAGGACAGGTGGCGTGGGCATGGCCAGGGGCTCAGCGGTTGAGGGGGCCGTGAAAGGTTCTCCCTGAGACCCCCAGGGAGGGTGGGGCCAGCTTGCCTGTTAATTTAATATTAAACTGGGGGTGGGCATTGGAGAGGAAAAGTGGCCTTGGAGGATGGTGTCACAGCCTCTCGGCCTGTACCTGGATGGGGGAAAGACAAGTGCAGGTCAGAAGGAAGCAGCAGCACGGCAGGGAGGGGCTGAGCTGCACAGCTGCCTCTCCGCGTGCCAGCTCTGGCTGACGGCACAGGGCCATGGGGGCACCCCAGCCTGCGGGCAGCACAGGCTCACTCCCCATCCCTCTGGGAGGTCACTCCTCCCAGCACACCCCCAACCCACCCAACCTGCAATACTTACAAGAGAGGCTGGGGGCCTGGGCCCCTCACCAGTCATAGCGGCGGGACTGTCGGGAGGGGGAGTCCTCGGGTCCCTGGATGGCTAGGCGGGGAGGCCCCTCAGCCCGGCGGCCCCCACCTGCTGAGCCCTCATGCCGCCGAAACTCCAGAGGGCGCTGCTGCCGGAACCGGGATGTCTCCCGCCGCCACTCGTCATCAAACGCAGCGGCCTCACCTGAGGAGGACATGGCAATGGAAGCACCTGCCAAGCAGGCCCTCACCTTTGCAGCCCAGTGGGGCGCCTGACACACACACACACACACCTATGTATCCTCTTGTGTGTGTGTGTGTGTGTGTGCATGTATCTGTGGAGCACAAAGCAGTGGCTTCCATTAGCAACACTGTCAGAGTAGTCACTGGCAGGTCTGGAACACACCCATGGAAGAAGTGAGGAAGAGGATACTGAGTTGGGGCACAGCAGTATTTCATAAATATGATACAGTGAGGGTAGAAACATCTCGAACCACAGGGAACCCACTAGAAGGCTAGCTCAGTGACCGAGCCTGCCCCCCTTGGTGCCTGGGCCGGCCATGCAGCCAGCTCCCCCACAGCTGTGCTGGAGAACTGTCACCAGGGCGGGAGAGGGGTGCTCACTCTCATCCAGGTTGATGTAGTCCTGCCGCTCCTCCTGGTCGCCTGTGCGGTGGTTCCGGGAGCGCTGCAGGATGTGAGCCCTGTCCCGGATGTGATGGCCGATGGACATCTGCTCGAGTCCACTGTCAGAGTCCCGGACGGTCCTCCGCGTCTCCCGGATCTGGGGGGTTGGGGCAGGAAGGGGGGAAGAGTGGCCAGACCAGCCCAAGATAGACACGACAGCCGTAACCCCATCCCAAAGACAGCAGCCAGAGTCCCTCCCATGCACACACTCACCCCGCCTGGCGCTGAGCGCATCTCCGAGGTCTCTTGATAGACCTTGGGGGCACCGTCCCCCGTGTTGGAGTAGGAAATGACGGTGGAGGACGAAAAGGTCTGGCAATTGCCGCCAGCTGTCATGTGCTCCTGAGGGAAGGCCAAAGGGAGGCAGGAGGGGGGCGTGCAGGGGTTTGGCGCCCAGATCCCACACTGGAATGCCTAGGTTCGAGTCCCAGAGACACTTTCGTTTCCAGCTTCCTGCACGCTCCCCCTGCGACACAGCAGGTGATGGAGCTCTCCCTCTTTAGCCCCCCTTAACTTCGTCTGAGTCTGTCATAACCAGGCGAGCCCTAGGGGAGCCATAACGGCCTGAGGACACAGGCTCCCAGAGGACGCTGCGCTCAGCCACGCTCTCCAGGTCCAGCCCTCCGCCACCCACCTCCCCAGTGCCCCATCACCACGGATAACAAGGATAGCAAAGGATGCAGGGGCCAGAGTCTCACCATGTTCCCAATCATGTCATTCATCATCCCGAACATGTCCATGAAGCCGCCAGACTAGAGGCAAGACAAGACGGGACACAGGACATTCGAGTCAGCAGCCAGGGATGACTTCCAGGCGCCCCTTGCCACAAGGCCATCCTTCTCTCCTTCCTTCCCGCCCCTCCCCTTTCTCCACCTGAAGGACGAAAATGCTTGCCCTCCTCCTGGAGGCAGCTGACCTCCTTCTTGGGTCTCTCAGGCCGCACCAATCTATTTTCCTTCGCCCAACTGCTGCTTCAGCTCGCAGCTTTCAGAACCCAGCTAATGCTAATGGAATCTAATTGCTGAAGATGGAGGGGCAGGAAACTACTGGAACCTACTGCATACCCAATCTAGCTGCCCCCCCTCAAGAGACCCAACTCCACCAGACCACACTGTTCCCTGTGGCTGAGTACCCCTGGGGGCACCGGTGCCGACCAGCACCCGAAGGCTGAGCTGGGTGAGCTGGGTGTATGTGACCAGAAGATGCCGGGGTGAGATACAAGACTGGTCCACAGCATCAGATTTGGAAATGACATCCAAGGTGACAGAATGTACTCACCATTCCCAGCATTCCGAAGGGGGAGACAGCCCCAGCCTGCAGGAAACACAGCAGGAAGTGAAGTGAGACCACATCCACTATGGCTCCTGATTTCTCCACTGCCCTTGCCAAAGCCCTCTGCACACCCCTTCCCCCGACTTGCCCGCAGCACATTTGCTAACGCTGGCTGTGGTGCCAGGCAGTGTGGCGTGGGCATCTGCTGCAGCAGCCACACTGCCTTTGGCAAAGCCTATCTCTAAGCCCATGCCGGGGGTGCCTGGAGCTTGAGTCCTGGCTCTGCGTTACAGCCAGAGCGTCCTGGTTAGACACACCCTGGTAGACAGCAGGTGCCGGCTTCAATGGTCAGGTCTCCAGGTCTGGAGACTGCATCCCCAGCTCCCGCAGGCCCCCACGCCATGGCAGCTGAGCTGTGTTCCCCCTGCTCACCTGCACCCTGCGGCTGGCAGGCCTGCTCCCTGGCACGTTGCCATCTGTGATGCTGAGAAAAGGGCTGTATCCGAAGCCCCCGGGCAACATCCGGCTCATGTGCTGGCGGTGGATGGCGAAGGGGTCCCTGGCGGGAGGTGGGGGTGGGGGTGTGAGTACAGGCTAAACTGTTAACACCCCTCTCCCCAAACCATCAGGGGAGAGGGGCTAGGGGAGCTAATTGCCCAAGCGAGCGAGGCAAGCCCAGGTGCCCCGGCCGGCTGCGCACGCTCCATCTGCCGGAGTGGGGGAGAGGCATTACTCACATCAGGAACATGGGATCCTCGGGCTCCACGTCCCTCATGAAGCGGAACATCGTGATCCGGGCTCCAAGGGGCTCCACGCTAGCAGGAGACAGAAGCTCGGTGACTCGGCCGCAGCGCACCCTTCCCTCCCTGGGCAGCACGCTTCTGGAAGGGACTCTCAGAGCACCTGCCTTCCAGACGGCTGTCCCTGACCCCCAACTCTCCGGCACTGCACACAACACGTCCCACCGAGCGCCTTCTGCCTCCGCTCTTCCCCAGGCTGGGTGCACCCTGCGTCCCCCGGCACGGTTACGGATGAGAATCTAATCCCGACCACCTCGGCCCACCGACTGCGGCGGCCCGGCCTGGCCCGAGCTGACCTCCTCTCGTCCCCCACACCCGCCACGGGCCCGGTCGGCCGTCCCCCACCTCCTCCTGCCTCCCAGCCGGCCGGCCAGCAGCAGAGCTAGGCCGGACCCTCTCCCCTCCCCGCACCGCAGCCCCGCAGCCTGCAGTCCGCGGGCGCGCTCCCGCCCGGCCCGGAATCCAGCCTTACCGGTCCCCGACTCGGCCTCAGCGGCCCATCCGGCCGGTGGCGCGTGTCGGCGCGGCGGGCTCAGGGCCGCGGCCCGGGACGCGGAGATGGGGACGGCTTGGCGCTTCCTCGGCCTGCCGCACAGCCTCTTCCCACGGCCGCCACCGCCGAACCGCCCCCCGCCCTCGGCCCGCCGAGCCCGCACCTCGGCCAGGCCCGGGCGGAAGTGACGTCACGGCGCGCCCGCCCACCCGGGGCCGTGCCGAGCGTGGGGGGCGGGCGGCGCCGCGCCCCGGGGGCGAGCGCGGGGGAACGCGGCCGCGGGGGCGCCCGGGGACGGGAGGCCTGGTTCCTAACCGGGATTTGTGGTCCTCTGTGGACGGAAAGAGGCGTCCAAGCAGGGGTCGGGCGCCCTCGTGCGTTCCCTTGAGAGGCCCGAGGTGGACAAGGCACGCTCCCCCAGGGGCAAGAAGGGGCGGGCGCTCTGTGGGCCACTTAGGAGGGACACATCCCTGCGAGGAGCTTGAAGAAGATCGTCTACGGAGGCGTCGGGCCTAGCGGCAGGAAGGGCAGCGAGGCTGTGGCGGGAGGCGCTCGGCCTGCTCTCCCTCCGAGCAGGGCGAGGTCCCCCGGAGGGACGCGAGGAGGAGGGACCGCTCCTCCGCCGGGGTCAGCTTCGCGCTCGGCCCGACGGGGGCCGAGACGGCAGTGCAGGGGGCTGGCCGCCAGGTGGCGCGCCTGGGCCGGGCTGGAGCTGGCAGTCTCCTGGCGGCTCGAGGACCCCTCTGCTCCCCCTGGGGGACCAGTGGGACTGGGGAGGTCTGCCGCTCTAGTGCTTTTTAGCCTTTGCGCTCATATTTTGCTCTAGCTCCTGTGTCCTTAAGGGCTCCCGGGCCTGCGTGGGAGGGGTTTTTTCTCTCTAATAAAATAGGTAGGTCAAGGGTTTAACAGCTTAGGAGAAGACAGGGGTGGAGCGTTGCATTTAACGGGCTCCCTAGCAAGCAGAGCTCCTAACCAGACCCCCAGAGACCTGACTCCAGGCTAGACCGGATACCGATCTTTTGACATACTCAGAGTCTTGCATAAAATTTGGCTGTGCCAGGGAGAAGGCCCTCCCCCATGGGTGTCAGAGGATTTGGACCTTTTAGGATGGACTTTAGAGCGGACACCCAAACTCCAACTCTCCCTAGTTCTTTACTCTGGCTTTTAGCCACAGTAATGCTGTGTGGAGCCTGATCCAGAGAGAATGACTTGTTCCCATTAACTCCCTACTGGAGGAGGAGGAGGAAGAGGACAGGGTCCCCAGTGACCCGGGGAAAAGGGGGCTGGGCTGGCAGCAAGACTTTTGGAGTCCCCTGAACTCCACCACTACCGAAGAGGGAAAAGCAGTAGTAAGGGTGGGGACAGAGACAGATAATTCAGATATAAGCCAGCTGACAAGGGGCTGGCATGGTGGCTTAACAAGCTAATCCTACACCTTCAAGTGCTGGCATCTCATATGTGTGTTGGTTCACATCCCGGTGGCTCCACTTCCCATCCAGCTCCCTGCTGCTGTCCTAGAAAGGCAGCAAAAGATTACCAAAGGCCTTGGGACTTTGTACCCAGGTAGAAGAACTAGAAGAAATCCCTAGCCCCTGGCTTCTGACAAGCCCAGCTTTGGCTGTTGTGGCTGTTGGGAAGTGAAACAGCATATAGAAACCATCTCACTCTCCTCTGTAAAATTTGCCTTTCAGGGCCCAGCATGATAGCGTAGTGGTTGAAGTCCTTGCCTTGCACGCACCGGGATCCCATATGGTCACTGGTTCTAATCCCAGCGGCCCTGCTTCCCATCCAACTCCCTGCTTGTGGCCTGGGAAAGCAGTGGAAGATGGCCCAAAGCTTTGGGAGTCTGCATCCATGTGAGAGATCTGGAAGAGCTCCTGGCTCCTGGCTTTGGATTGGCTCAGCTCTGGCTGATGCAGCCACTTGGGGAGTGAACCAGCAGATGGAAGATCTTTGGCTTCTTTTCTCCCCTGGGGGGGGTTGTGGTCAGGTCTGGACATGGCTGCAGTGTTCCCTTGGCATGGGTATAGACCGGGTCTGGAGTGTGCCAGACTGAGCTAGACTCCAGAACTCACTGGTGGTCATGAGAACCAAGGTGGGCATAGAACAAGCTGGGTAGGTCTCTGCCCTTGCTGAGCCATGCGTGAGTTGAGTCTGGACATAGACTAGGTGTGGTTAGGCTGTTGCACCCAACAGTATGAACCAGAATGAGTGAGGGGCAGTCAGGAAAGGCCACTGTTACTGCTAGGACAGGAGGTGGACTAAGTAGGACTGGCCCATGGACCCATTGGTGTGCACGGATCTGGCACTGGGAGAGGTTCTGATAGAGGAACTTGGGGACCTCTTGTGTTGGGACACAGTCCCCTGTCAGGCTGGGTCAGAGCAACCCCTGGCACAGGCAAGATCTGTGGCCGGGAACAGGCCGCAGGCCTAGTTAGGAGCTAAGGGGTGCTCTAATTGGGTTGTGATTCCCACTGGTGAACATAAGAACTGGAATGGGTGTGGTGATCTGGGCCGGACATGACCACAGTGTCCCTTGGCAGGGGTGTGGACTGGGTCTGGAGTGTGCCAGACTGGGCTAGACTCCAGCACCCACTGGTGCTCATAAGAGCCAGGGAGAGTGTAGAATGGGCTGGGCTATGTCTCAGTACCAGCTGAACCACATAGGAACTGAGGCTGAATGTGGACCAGGTGTGACTGGACTGTAGCACCCAACAGTAAAAACCAGAATGGGTGTGGGCCGGTTGGGCAATGCCACAGTTTCCGCCAGGACAGGACGTAGACTAAGTCAGTCTGGGTCAAGGACTCACCAGTGGGCACGAGGTTTGCCACTAGAAGGTGACCTGAGAGAGGAGCCTGGGGAACTACTCTGTCACAATACAGTCCCTGCATGTGAGTACAAGAACCAAGGCAAGAAGCAGCTCACACGAGACCAGGGAATGGTACCTACTGGCATACGTGTGGGTCAGGCGGGCCAGGCTGGGCAAGTTCATAACACCACTGAAAGATCCAAGAACCAGGACAGGGTGCGAGGCAAGTTGGGTCAGGCTGCAATAACAGCCAGTTCACATTAGGGCTGGGACTGGGGACTGGCTGGGCTGAGCTAGGCTATAGCACCCACCAACATGAGGAGCAACTAGGGGCAGACCGGGCCGGGCTAGGCTATATCTCTTCCCATTGACAAATGCTGAGATGAGACAGGCCATGACAAACTGGGCCTCAGCATGCACCAGCACATGTGAGACAGGTGGGTGAGGCGGGGAAGCTGTGCAAGACCAGTAAGTGGGCTGCGGGGGCCTCTCTTGCTAAGCCTCTGCTCCCACTGGTAAGCATGAGAACTGGGACTGTGGGCAGATCAGGCTGCGCATGACAACAACACCTGCTGGCCTTCATACAAACTGGGTTTGAAGAGTCAGGCTAGGTTAACTGACTCTACACTGGTACATGCAGGAGCCAATGTAAGTGCGAGCTGGTTGGGCTTTGCCACAGTATCAGCTGGCAAGTGCTGGGACTGGAGGTAAGTCCTGTCAAACCAGACTGCAGAACCATCTGGATAGTGCAAGTCTGGGAGGTACTGGGAGTGGGCCCAGTAGGGAAACTGTGAGCACCTCTCTGAGGGGCTGCAACTCCCACTGGTGAGCGTGAGAACCAGGGCTGGGGGCGGGCATAACTAGACAGGCAGTGGCAACACTGGCACAAGTGTACGCTGTATAGTGGAGTTGGTTGGGTTGAGTAAGGCTTCAATGTGCATTAGTGTGTGTAAGAGCTGAATGGGATATGGGCCAGTCTGGGCCAGTCTGCTGCACAAACTGGCAAACACAGGAATCAGGGCTGGGGGCAGACCTAGCGAGAGTTACTGGGGGTTGTTCCAGCTAGGCTCCAGTTACTGCTGATATATGTGAGGGCTGAGTATGTACCGGGCAGGGCTGATCTTGGCTGCAACATCCATTGGTTTACATAAGTGACAGGGCTGTTTATAAAACTTACCCAGCAATTGCAACTACCAGTGTGTACATAGGCAGATGTGGATGACAGACACAGCCAGACCCTGTACTGGCAAACACAAGAGTCAGGACTGGGATCTCCTCTGACGAGATGACTATGGGAATCCTCCCAATTAAACTGCTAGACTCAGAACTCTAATCATGGGGAAAATTGTAGGATCTGTGGTCTGACTGTGGAGTGCGTGTGTCAGAACTGAGCCTCTTCAGTGGCGAAGATGGAGCAATGGACAGCATGCCCAAATACACATGGAGGTGTGGCAGTCCATTGTGGCCTGCAGGGGACATCTGGTACTACAGCAGAGGAATGAGAGCAGAACAAATTGGTCAACTACCCCAGCCTCGCAAGTTTTGACATCAGTATCTGGGTGAATGGACACTCCAAAGTGGTCTATGTCAGCTAATGGACCTTGGAAGGTTTTCCTCATCCTTGGATCGACAAGATAGATGGCATTTCAGAAGTATCAAAACTATTTGAGCAGAATTCTCGGAGCATGCTGTACACTGGGGACCCTGGAATGACATCAGATGGCCATTCCCCTTCCCTAAGTACTGGGGCGGTTGAGAGGCTGGGTGTGGCTTCTCCCCGAATGTTCCCCCTTTCCCCAGATACAGAAAGAAGAAAAAGAAATTTGGAAACAGTGGTCCCACCCACTTTCCCCTAATCCTTGACCCTTCCCACCCTAGTCAACTATGTAAACATCATCAAAAATAATTTTAATTAAATGTTTTTTTAAAAGAATACATTATAAAAAATAAAATAGGGCCTGGTGCTATGGTTCAATGGTTAAATTCTCACCTTGTAAGCACCTGAGTTACCATATGGACACCAGTTTGTGTCCTGGTTGCTCCACTTTCCATCCAGCTCCCTGCTGTGGCCTGGGGAAGCAGTGGAGGATGGCCCAAAGCCTTCAGGTCCTGCATCCAGGGAGACCCGGAAGAAGTTCTTGGCTTCTGGCTTTGGATCAGCTCAAATCTGGCCATTGTGGCCTTTTGAAGGAGTAAACCAGCAGATGGAAGATCTTTCTGTCTCCTCTCTGTATATCTGCCTTTCCAATAAAAAAAAAAATTAAAAAAAATTAAAATCTAGCTGCTCGGGTTGCGCTAGTGACAAATTCAAATGTTCAATAGCCTCACAGGACAGTGGCTACTATTCTGGAAAGTTCAAGGATACTTCCAAAAGTACTTTTACAGAAAAACAGAATGAATAGATAAGCTGTTTTCTTCACAATACGCACTCCTTCACAATGTGCTAACGGAAACCTCTGTATATAAAGACCATTTCCATCGTCGTGGAAAGTTTTATTGGACAGAGCTGGAAAGCAACCATGTGTCTTCTGGACTTTTAAGATTTATTTATTTGAAAGGCAGGCATATAATCAGAGAGAGAGAGAGAGAAAATCTTCCATCTGCTGGTTCACTTCCTAAATGACTGGGCCAGGTTGAATGAGGAAAATAGAAGCTCCATTCGGATTCCCCACATAGATGCCATTGGCCCAGGCCACCTTTGGCGTCATTCCTAGGTCCATCAGCTGGAAGCTGGATCAGATGCCAGCTTCCCAAGTCGGGCATAACCTGCAGCGCCACAATACCAGTTCTCTTGGGGACTTCTTAAGGGCCCATAAAGGCTTCTTTTGAAGAATGCATGTTGGGGACAGAAGAAGGTTGGGAAGTAACAAACCACTCTAGGCATTAAAGCCAAAGAGGCCGTGAAGGCAGAGTGCCAAGACTCCAAAGGAGAGCCACGATGTGCAACTTCTTGCTGGAGAGAGCTCACGGAGAAGCAGAGAAGCCGACTGTGGACCGTCACTGCAGCATCGCAGGTTAAGCCACTATTTGGGATACTGGACTGGTTCAAGTCCTGGCTGCTCCACTCCTGATCCAGCTGCCTGCTAGGCCCCAGGAAAGCAGCACAGCGTGACCCGAGTACTTGGGCCTCTGCCACTCACGTGGGAAGCCCAGATCAGTTCCAGTCTCTTGGTATTGGTTTGGCATAGCCCTAATTATCAGGGCAATTTGGGGACTGAAGGAGCAGATGGACACTCTCTCTCATCTCTCACTCTGAATTGCCTTTCAAATACATTAAAAACAAAACGAAACAAAAACTTTCAGTTGTGATTTTCAAACCATATCAGATGGTGACCACCAGGACATCAGCAGTTAATGAGAAAAAGGCAACAGGCTATGTGTTCCCAGCCTACTTAAAGGAATCAGGTTGAGCGGATTTGGAAAACTTGAGTCCTAAATGGTATATCAGGCTATTGAGAGCATCTTGTTTGGGGCGGAGCATTGTGCTAGCATAGGAGATGTCAGTAAGGATGGAAGGCCAAGGCCAAGGTCAAACAGAGGGCTATTTGGTGCTGAGGACAGCATGTAGAAGTAGAGTCCACAGAGTGTGAAGAGATTTGGGAAGCAACGAAGTCCTGCGGAGACCACGGCTGTGGGCTGTCGGCTTGCCTGGCGGAAAGACAGCCCGAGATCCACATCCCTTATCAGGCTGGACTTTGACTCGGTAAGCTCGCTGCATCGATTCCTGGAGTGCAAGGACCTGGTAGTAACAGGAGCTTCAAAAAGCTGAAATGCAAGACTCCAAGCTGGACGTGCAGGGCAGAGAGAAGCCTGCTGGTTTTCAGTGAACTTGAGACATGAGCAGAGTTGAGGATGGATGAGATTGGTGAAGCTGACTGTGCTCACACTCAGTGTTCATACTTTAGTGGTATTATGACGAATAGGGATCCAAGTTAGGCTGGCTTCGCTCTCTCTCTGGGAGTTCCAGCTCCACTGACTCCACTAAGATTTGAGGGGAAGGGGAACAGAAAGGCAGTCCCTGGGAGTGGAATGGAGCTAAGACGCCCAATGAAGAACGGAGATAGCCAGGTACTCAGGGTTCTGTCCTCCGACGCCTTGGCTGAGGACTAGCCCTTCCCTAGCACTCAGCCTGTCGCTGGACAGAGGGAAGCGCTGACCAGGAGGGACCTGAAGCTAGTAGGGTCCAGCGCCTTCCAAGCACAGCAGCGTGGTTAATTTCCAGTCTGTTGGGGCCCCAACTCAGAGTTTCCAGGGGGCTCAGCCTGCCTTGTTCTCACCTGCTCTCCTTTTTTCCCACCTCCAGAAAGACGTGTAAGAAACACAGGCAAGCAAGCAAGCGGTAGGCTCTCAATCTGACTGTGGACTTCTGAATTCTAGGGACAGGCGAGCCTCCACAAAAGCCTCAAGAAACAGGTCTTAAGGAAGCATCAAGCATTTCCTTCCCTGGACCCTGGGGGGACACTGACCCCAGGAGTGTGATGGTCGGTCTGCAGTCACATGTCCGCCCCCAAGTCTCAGGTCCAGCTTCTTGGCGAGGCCAAGACTGTCAGGCACAGGTCTGCTGTCCAACCAGAGCCGGAAGACACGAAGCCAGTCCATCCAGGCTCCAGCATCTGAAGTCTTGTCCCTGGAGTCCCCGAGGACCTGGGTGTCCACGCTCTCAGAAACGGCACGCTCTCCCTTGGGCCTTGGGGCAGGATTCTCATTCTCTGCCTCTCCATCTCCCTGGAATTTTCCACTGCAGCTGCCTCGCTCCTAGACACCCCTCCCCGGGAAAAATTCCCGGCTCCCTCCTCCTTCCCTTCCCTAATCACACCTCGATCCCACCCCCAGCCCAGAGGCCCAGCCCACAGTCCGGCCCACCCCACACAAACTCCTGGAGAAACCAGGCACCTAGTCCCCTCAATAGACCGGGAGAAGGAGGGTCCCCCTCTGTCTTCGGGGGGCGTGGAGAAAGGACCCTGGAGGGGATGGTCCCTTGTGGGGCTGGAGTGGGGGGAGTGGCACTCCTCACATCCCCATATAAGGCAGGGCGAGCAGCGAGGCTCCTCGATTGGCTGATTCAAATGAGCATTCCACCTGGCAACAGGGTTTCTATTGGCTCTTAGGAAAAATAGGAGGAAGGTGGATGGAGGTTGTTGGTGGCGGTGATTGGAGGGGGGAGGGGAGTGGAGGTGACCTGAGTGGGGGGCGGTTACCAGGGCAACAGGGTAAGAGCCCAGCAGGGTGTCCGAGACTGCGGGAGGGGCTGGGCGGTGGAGGGAGAGGCCAGAGGGAAAAGGAGGGCTGGAGGGAGCAAGACTGGGAGGTGAGGGGGTGACCAAGGGTGGGGGGAGATAAATGGAGCTGGAGAGAAGCACAGAGATGGAGACGTGAGAGATCCTCGCAGAAGACATGAGCCAATGACTCAGAGAGGCAAGACTGAGAGATGGGGATGGAAAAAGCTCCGAGGAAAGATGGACTGAGTCGGGCCAGGAAAAAGCTGGGTGGGGCCCGAGATCTCGAAGCGGGTCAGAGAGATTGAGAGGTGTGGACACTCAGGGACTCAAAGATGATGTTGTTCAGCGTTCGAACATTAAGCAATGATGAGTGATTAGCGTATTTTTTTTAAGAAAATGAGCAGAAGTAAGATGAATACGTGTACGCACACCAGATATGTCTTTTACGCTCACGCACCTTCCGGATCGCTACTTAGCAGACGTCCTGGTCCCTGACCCCGAGTTCCCAGGCTGTTCCAACAGATAGGAGAGCAAGGTTCTGGGGGACCTGGACCCCAGGAAACGTGCAAAGGAAGCACCTAAAATGCAGAAAGGTTGGGACAAGCTGGCAGAAAAGAGCGAAGCAGAGAGGGAAGATTTAAAAAAAAAAAAAAATGAGGACATCAGAGTTGTGAGAACCAGCGAGGGACAGAGCGCCAGGTGAAGAGTCGGGAAGGAGCGGAGAACTGGACGGGCGGAACGGGGTCCCCGCGAGCACGGGAGAGAAGTCAGGATGGCAGATGTGCCAGGCAATTAAACAAACGACTGAGACAGAGGGGTCGGGTGGGAAAACAGAAGGATCGGGCAAATAAACAGGCGAGGTGGGCGAGAAGGGGAGGTGGACGTCAGGTGCGACAGGGCACGGGAGGCTGCGAGAGCCGCTGCCTCCCTGCAGCTCCCAGGAGCCCGAGAGCCGGGTCGGACTTGGCAGGAGCCAGCTCTGCTGCGCTGCCCTTCCTGCCCTCGCACCCCTTTCCCCCCTTGCCACCCGGGGCCTGTAGAGGGAAGACGAGAGCCAGCGTGGTGTGGAAATAGTCTCGCAGCCCTCCTCCTGGGCAGCTTTTGCCTTCTCCAATACCTGTGCTGCCTCGCCATCCGCTCCCCCTACACACACACACGCACACACGCACACACACCCCTTGGGACGACAATGTCAGGGCTTTTTCGGGGTCAGTAGGATTCTGGCCACCTCTCGAGTCCGCCCCCAGAAGACAGACTCCGGCACTCCGGCAGACAGCAGGTCGGGACTGGGGAGAGGCGCCTCCCCGCAGGAACCCCACCCCTTCCCACCTCCGCGCCCCACTCCTCTCCCCGCGGCCGTCAGTCTCTCCATTTCCCCTCTCCTCCACCACCAACTCCCCGGTCTCGGCCCTCCCTCCCGCCTCTCGCTCTCCCTCCCCTCGCTTTCATCCTCCTATCCCCACCTCTCCAACCTCCTCTTTCATCCTCCTCCCCTCTCCTCTCCTCCCCGCTCCCGCCTGCCCCACCCCTGGGAAGCCCCTCCCGTCGGGCAGCGCCGCCTTATAAGCGGGTTCCCTGGCCGGGGGCGGCAGCGGCTGGTCGGCGGCAGCTCTGCTGGTCTGCGGGGGCGGCCGAAGCGGCAGGACCCAGCGAGCGATCGCGGCCGGAGCGCGCCGGCCACCGCCCGCACCGCCCTCCGGACGGCCGCAGCCCTGCGGGTCTCCGCTCCAGACCCACCTCCGCCCCACCCCGCGCGCCTCTGCCGCCTCTTCCAGAGAGCCAGCTCGCCGAGCGGCCGCCGCTGCCGCTGCCGCCGCCGCTACCGCGCCAGATTCCGGCCGCGGCCACCCTCCGCCGTCCAGGGCTCCTCCGTCTCGGCCCCGGGACCTCGGCTTCCCGCCAGCCCCGGCCCCGGCACCATGTCGGAGAAGAGCGTGGAGGCAGCGGCCGAGTTGAGCGCCAAGGTACTGGCGGGGGCGGCTGCGGCCCGGACCCACCTCACCGCACCCCGGCCGCCCTCTCCCGACGGCCGCGCGCGGCCCTCGCACGCCCGGGTGTCCCCGCGGACCCCACGGCGCCCCCTCGGCCCCCCGCCCGCCGGGCCTGGCGCCGCTCACCCCGCCGCGCGCGCCCTCTAGCGGCCGCCGCGCTCCGGGCCTCGCCAAGCCGGGCCCGCGCCCGCGCCCGCGTCCCCACCCTCGGCTGCCCACCCGCGCGGCCGCCGCGTCCAGCCCGTGCTGCACGCCGTCGCAGCCCTCCGGGGCTCGCTCGGCCGAGGCTCCTCGCGCGCGTTCCAGGCCTCCGCTTGCAGCTTGCCCTCACGTCACCCGTGCTGGGCCGTTCGGGGAGAGCCCTGCGTGTCCGCGGGACGCTCCCGGGAGGCGGCTGCGCCCAGCCCCTCCCCTCGTAGCCCCGGACGGCTGCAGCCTCGGCGTTCTGCTCCGCTCGCATCTGCCCGTCGGCACCCCTTCTTCCCCCGCCGCTCGCGTCCAGCTTTCTTTTCTCCTCCTCCCACCGCCCACTCCCATTAATTCCTCAAAATCAGAAGGGGGACGGGAATCGCCCAGGAAAAGGAGGAGGCTCGGCCTTGCGGGACTTGCGCCTGCAGCTGCCCTTGCCCTCCTCGGCTCTGCTCTCCCCCCTGTGCCCTTGCCTTGCCAGCAGCCGCCTTCTCATTTCCCTCTGGAGCCTGCCGGAGTGTCGCTTAGGGAAATGAACGAAATGAACGCGGCCAGGCTTTGGGGGCTGGGAGCCCGCTTTTGCAGGGGTTTGCCAGGGGTCCCTCACAAGCCTGTAAGGGAAAGGGGCACCTGTGGGGTTTCAGGGCCCTGGGGGCTGGACTGTGAGACCCCTTCCCCCCAAGATGTGTTGGTGTGGCCCCTCCTGGGAGGGAGGCAGCTGGCAACGCGGTGGCGGCACGTGACGTCGCGAGTAGGTGTCTTTGTATGTCTGAAATCAAGCGGGCGTGCGGGGCTTCTCGTGCCAGGTACATGCGTTCGGGTGGAGACGGAGCCATGTCACGGCTTTGTGGGAGTGGGTTGCCCAACCACGCTTTGGCCCGATGTCCCAGCGGCAGCCAAGTGTCCGCCAATGGCTGAGCACCCCTCTGTGTGTGTGTGCGCGTGGGAGCCGCTTGGCAGGGACTGACCGTTAGGGTCCAGGTCACAGGCCCGCCTGGAAGACCGGTCATGGCAGGACGGTGACCGGAGAACAGGACCCGCCCCTTGTACTTTGCTCCCTGGCATCCTCTCCCCCTCCCACCAGCAGCCCGCATAGGAATCTTGGGGCAAAAAAAAAAAAAAAAAAAGGAACTTGGGGGCAGGGCCCTGCACACCTGCTGTTAGGCTTCCAGGAGGAGGCCCATGGCCCCTTGGTTGTCCTGACCTAGACTGTAGGTGGGAGCTTGCCAGGCTGTGGGAAATGCCACCCCAAGTTTGTGGCAAACATGGAGACAGCGAAGGGGGTGCAGGAGGAAGGCAGTCTGAGTGCAGCCCGCCTCCCTCCCAGTGCTCTGCACATGGCCACCCACTGTGCACCAGGCCCTGCTCCTAGTCCCAGGTCCTGTTCCAGGAGGGACACACCCTCCTGGGCTGACGCGGTGCTCATCCACTCGGGAGGCAGGGACACAGTGGATCGAATCACGCAAGGACACCTACAGTGTCAGCCCATGCCTGGGGTGGAGTCCAGAGGGGACTCTCACGTGGGTGTCCCCTGCCAGTCCTATCAGAGTGGGACATCGAGGCTCTGCCCATTGGGATCTGGAGAGAAGGACAGGCACTCGCCCCCTCCCTACCACAGGCCTTGCTGCTCTCTTCCCACCTCCCGTGTTACGTTTCCACTGGCCAGGGCTGCTGCTCCTCCCCCTTGGTCCCTGCACAGACCTGGGAGGAGGAGCCAGCTGTGTTTGGACGGTGCAGGATGGAGATGGGGGACCCTGCTCTTGTGGTGTCTGGCCAAGTAGGAGCAGGAGGCTAGGGGAGACGGGGAGGGCTGCCCGGGAGACAGGACTCAGGAAAAGGAGGTAGACAAAAGGCAGAGCTGGGCGGGCCCTGGCGGGAGGGGGTGGGGCCTGGAGCCAGGGCAGGCAGATGGAGGGACTGAGGAGGGCCAGGCGAGGTTCCGGCTGCCTCCAGGCTGTGGGAACCAGCTGCTCCTGCTCCCTGCTCCCCTTTCTTGGCCACCTGCCCAACCACCTCAAGTCTCCGTCCCTTTGTGATCCCGACAGGAGGGACTTGGGACCTCTAAGTGGCTGCCTTCTTCACGTCCTTCCCCTGGCATGGGGGAAGAACCGCGGCTGGGGGAAGGTGAGGAGCCAAGGGCCGGGGGCTGCCATGGTGCTGAGTGACCGCCTCCCTCCTTTGCCAGGACTTAAAGGAGAAAAAGGAGAAGGTGGAGGAGAAGGCCAGCCGGAAAGAGCGGAAGAAAGAGGTGGTGGAGGTGTGTAGAGGTCGTGGGCAAGAGGCCACGCATGTCCTCCCTGTGGGCATCACTTCCTGCCAGTGGGTCCTCCCGGGGGGGCTGGCCCTGCCTGCTCCACCGGGACACTCCTCCCAGCTCCTGTCACCTGCTGGTGGGTGACCTGACCTCTCACTTCTGCATCCCCCCACCCCTCCCCTGCCAGGAAGAGGAGAACGGAGCTGAGGAAGAGGAGGAAGAAGCAGCTGAGGATGGAGAAGAAGAGGATGAAGGGGAAGAAGAAGGTGGGGAGGGGAAGGGGTGGTTGGGCTGGGAGTCAGGGCTCAGAGGACCAGCAAGTATGATAGGCCAGGGTGCCAGGGTGGGTGTGCCCAACTGGAGCAGGGCTGAGGGCCACCACGGCAGGGGTCCCCGCCGCAGCTTCCTGCCCTTCCCCAATGACCCATTTCTGGCTCCTCAGATGAGGAAGAAGAAGAGGAGGATGACGAAGGGCCCGCGCTGAAGAGAGCTGCCGAAGAGGAGGTTTGGGCCGGGCCGCGGGGCCTGAGGGGCTGTCAGGGAAGCAGCTGGGGCTGGCCGCAGAGCCTGTGACGGCTCGGGTGGGGGCTGGAGCCTGAGCCTGGGGAGGTCTCTCCCACATCACAGCTGCCCCTGTTCTCTCTCCTGCCCACAGGATGAAGCGGATCCCAAGCGGCAGAAGACAGAAAATGGGGCGTCGGCATGAGCCCCACCTGCCAGTGGCTGGGGCAGGAGACCCTTGGCGGGGAGCTGGAGAGGGCTGGGGACAGCAAGTGCAGCAACCACTCTTTGCCGGGCTCCCTGCCCTGGGCGCCATGCCAGAGCTACCCCCCTCTCCCTTCTCCCCGGCTTTCTCATTTCCCCTTCTCCATCACTGTCCCCTTCCACCTTCACTCTGCCATGGTTCTCCATCCATCTCAGCTCCCAGCTGGTCCCCAGTGCGCCTTGCTTGCCCCTCCCTTCTCCTCCTCCTCCCCTTCCTCTTCCTCTTCTCTCTCCCAGCCCTCTGGTGGCCTCCTCTTCCTTACCACTGCACACGCACGCACACACACACACACACACACCACACACCCCAGCCTCATGTCCCACCACATCCATCCCTCTCCTGCCTGACCCCTGGCTCTTCCCTCAAAGCCCCTTCTCTCAGACAGCGCCAGGCCGGGGTGGGCCGGGGTTTGGGGCCAAGCCCCACAGCTGCCCCCCTCCCCTCCCCTTTTTGTATAATTTAATAAAGAAACGGTCGCGCTTCTGTTTTTAACCTGTCTCCTGCTTTACCAGGTTCTGGTCAGTGCAGGTTAGGGCAAAGGTTGGGGAGACAGGAGAGAGGCAGGGGACTGACCTCACTGGCTACTGGGATGCTCCTGTGGACAGCAGAGCCCTGAGCAGCAGCTTGGCACAGTGGACAGATCTCCACTCCGGCCTTGAGATGCAGCTTCCTGCAGTGGTCACTTTGGGAGGCAGCAGGTGGTGGTGATGGTTGACGTACTTGTATCTCTCCCACCCCTGCTGAAGGTCTGGGTTTCTGCCTTCAGCCTGTCCCAGCCCCTGTTATTGAGGGCATCTGGGGAGTGAACCAGCTCACGCACTCTGCTTTAAATAGTTTAAAAAAAAAAAAAAAACACTGCTACCCATGACTCAAGAAGACAAGATCAGCCCTGGAGTTGGGGGAGACCAACTTCGTCGTATAGGCAGTCAGGAGTCCTGTTTTAATTTCTTGGAGCTGCTGCTCCCCAGCCGTACACACTTCCCTGCTAACCCACAGAGAAGCCTGACTGCTGAGCCCAGTGGAAAGCTACCAGCTCTATTGTGCTGAACCAGGCAAATAGAAACAGCCCCAGAAACAGGAAGTCCCGCCTCTGGGGTGGGAGAGGGCTGCCAAGCCTGCCAAGCCTGGGTGTGAACCCCCTGGGATCTGCTGTGTAAGAGCTGCCTCTGACTGGCATGCAGGTTGAGCAGGGCTCCTGACTCCCAGGCCTGCTGAGCGTTCTGTCACCTGCCCTCCAACTGGCCCAGTTTGGCTCTCCGGGCTTGGCTGGGGAACAAGTGCTGTCAGTAAAAGGCTTCCTTCCCTGGTTCTCTATGCACATAATCCCAGCACAGAGGTGCTGGGTGTGTGCAACAGGTGGGCAGACAATCTCCCCAGCAGGTAAGTGAAGTGAGGGTCAGAACTAGACAGCACTGGGCTTCAGCCTTCTTCGTATTCCCCACTGGACCTGACAGGTATTGAGTAATGCCTCACTTTATTCTCTATACAACGAGCAGGGAGATGTTGAGATTTCACAAGTTCACATCAAGTGTCCCAAGACAATACCTAACACAAGATGAGGGTTCAGCACACTGCAGTGATTCTCACCAGCCCATGGTCACACTTCTTCCCAGACCTATCGTTTTTCAAAAGATCTCAAACAGAAAAAGTGATAAAGAGACAGAGATCTTCCATTCACTGGGTCATACCTCAAATGCCCACAAGAGCAGGGCAGGGCCAGACCAAAGCCAGCAGTCAGGAATTCTATCCAGGTCTCCCACGTGGGCAGTGAGAATCCAGGTGCTTGGAGCATCACACACTATGTCCCAGATGGTTTAGCAGGTGGCTGGATCAGAAGCACAGGCTTGAATGAGGCACTCTTACACAAGATGTGGGCATCCCAAGCAGTGGCTTAACTCCTGCTGTGGCATTCACCGAGACCTACATTAAAGAAAAATTACTGATTTGTGAGAGCTCTCTCATGATACTGGCTCGCTCCGTCAATGCCTGCAGCTACAGCCAAGAGTCTAGAACTCCACCCAGGTCTCCCACATGGATGGGAGGGACTCAGTTTACTTCTTTTCTAAAGATTTATTTATTTTATTAAAAAGACAGACTTACAGAGAGCAGATAAAGATCTTTCATCTGCTGGATCACTCCCCAGATGGCTATCTGGGGAGTGGGAAGAGCTGAGTGGGAAGTGGAGCAGCCAGGACGCGAACCAGCTGCCATGCGTGATCCTGGAATTTGCAGGTGAAGGCTTAGCCCGTTAAGGCTAATCATGCCAGGCCCAGGGACCCAATGTCATGGGTTACAGTTAAACCGGAATCACAGCAGAGCTGGGTCTTGAACCCAGGCACCCCCTTGCATGGGATGCAGGCACCCTAAACATCATGAGCAGTGAAGCCACTTTAGGGATGGGTGGGGAGGTTAAGCAAACAAAGGAGAGGAATACCCAGAATGGAGCTTGTCAAACCACACAGCAAGTGTGACTGCTGGGGCTGGAGGAAGGGCAGTTGGAGGGCAGTGTGCTCCCGCGGGGGCAATGGGAGCCGCGGGCAGACTCGGGGAAGGAGAGGGGACAGTGGGGAGACCCGGGGCTGAGGAAGTAAACAGGGGAGTGAGGCCACAGGGGTGGAGGGTGATGCTGCTGGGAATCAACCCCCTCAGACTTTCCACTGCGAAGCGAAACCGTGAGCCCTGGGGTGTGGGGGGCGGGCAGCAGCATCGGGGAGGGGAAGTGGGGAAGGTGAAGGGAAGACAGAAGGACCGGGCCAGGACCCGGGGAGCAGCAGAGCTGCCCGGCTGCACTCACAGCCTCCAAGGAACTTCTGCGCTCTGCACTCCCCAGCTGGCCTCCAGGGACAACACCCACTCCCTCCTCCCAAGGCTGTAATCCATCTTCCTTCCCCCAGCTCCAGCTCCAGCCTGTGGTCGTTGGTCCTTCACTGCTCTCTCTCCTAGTCCCTCCCTGGTCCCAAGCCCCCCACCCTTTCCTCTAGCGTCCCTTCCTCCACGTCCCTCCTTGCAGAACCTCTGTTGTACCAAGCCCCCCTCTCTCCCGGCTCCAGAGGCTGGCTCCTTGTGGCCAGGGTCTCAGGGGAGATGAGGGAGGTTCCCTTCCTGGGTTTGCTGCTTCTGCACCTGCTGCTGTGGTCAGCTCCAGGTAAGACCAGGACAGCGGGAGGGCTGACCTCCAAGCCTACTGGCTGGGGTCTGCAGGGGCCACCCAGAACCAGCATGGACATCCCGTGCCCTGTGGCAGATTCTTCTGACACCTTTCTTGGGATGTTCCTTCCACCTGCAAAGCCTCGCTTAGGGTCCCCCTGGGCTGGGAAAGGACAGAGCCCCACAGCCTGGCATCTCGCACCCCTAGGTAGGACTTGGGGCTCCTCCTTTGCTCCTCTGCTCCCTGCCTACTCCCTTCTCTTCTGGTCCCCAGTGGTGGCTCCAGGGCCCGAGTGGGTCCCAGTGGTGTGGGCCCAGGAGGGCGCTCCTGCTCAGCTCCCCTGCAGTCCCGCAGTGCCCCCGCAGGATCTGAGTCTTCTGCGAAGAGGAAAGGTCGTCTGGCAGCATCAACCGGACAGGTAGGAACCCCAAAGGTGGGCACCAAAGCCTCCCAGACTTGGGTGCAGCAACCCCTCACCCAAGCCGCTGTTTCAACTTTTCCTGCCATCACAAACCTCTCCTGCCCTTCCTCGGCCTTTACACCTTGTCCACTGTCTTGCGTACACGCCTCTCCCATCTGGAAGCCATGGGGGCCCCGGGGGAGGAGGGGGTCAGGCACCCTTGCTCGGCAGAGCGCTCTCCTAGGGTGGGCACACTCGTCCTCAAAAGTGTGACAGCTAGCCCCTCTGCAAAGCCTCAATCCCACTCTGTCTCTTCCCCGCAGCGTCCCGCCCGCGGGGCCCCAGCGCTACACCGTGCTCAGAGTGGAGCATGGAGGCCTGCGCAGTGGGAGGCTGCCCCTGCAGCCCCGCGTGCAGCTGGACGAGCGTGGCCTGCAGCGCGGGGACTTCTCACTGTGGCTGCGCCCGGCTCAGCGCGCCGACGCCGGCAAGTACAGCGCCGTCGTGAGCCTCGGAGGCCGCCACTTCAACTGCCGCCTCCGGCTGCGCGTGGGCCAGGCCTCTAGTAGGTGGGGCCGGGATGAGGGGGAGAGGGACAGGGAAGGAGGGCTCCAAGAACCCCCCTGCGCTCCCCCCACCCAGCCCGCCCCGGATCGGGTTGGGGAGGGCAGGAAGCGCCCCGGCTGAGGCTACGCCCTAAGTCCTGCCTAGCGCTTCCCGGAGGATGGAGGAAGGGGGTGGGCCACATGATGGCGGGAGTAAGAGGGCACCCCTGGGGAAGCACGCGTAAGGGCTGTCGTTTGGAGAGGCTGTGTCACCCCGTGGGCTCCCCGCACCCGCAGCGGGATGCCCCATAGAACGGGGAGGCGAGCATCTGGGGGAGGGAGGAGGGTGTGAGGGACTGAAATGATTCATTTCAAACAACAACAGCCCAAGGGGGTGGGCTCCTCAGGCAAGGAGGGGAGGAAGTCCCGGGCCTGCTTAGGGGACAGCCCCCCCCCCCCCCACGTACGTTAGCAATTCCAGATCTAGGCGGGAGGGGGGCAATATGCTGGAGGAGGGGGAGGTCTGTGTTTGCAGAGCCTTCCCACGTGGTGGGCAGCGGTGCTGGGAAGTGGGGGGAGGGACCGAGCAAGTCTCGTGTGTCCCTGGCAGTGACCGCCAGTCCCCCGCGGGCTCTCAGGATCTCCGACTGGGTGGTTTTGAACTGCTCCTTCAGCCGCCCAGACCGCCCAGCTTCTGTGCACTGGTTCCGGGGCCAGGGCCGAATCCCTGTCCCCAAGTCCCCCCAGCACTACTTCGCGGAAAGCTTCCTCTTCCTGCCCGAGGTCAGCCGCCTGGATTCTGGACCCTGGGGCTGCGTCCTCACCTACGCAGATGGTTTCAATGTCTCCATCACATACAACCTCACTGTGTTGGGTAACTGACACCCCAGTTTGCCCTGACCACAACCCCTTCCTGCCTCCCCCTTTCCTGCCCCATGAACGTCCTAGGGCCAGGTTTTTGGCAACTTGTCTTGTTGCTCTGGGCCCCACTGTCTGACCCTTTCAGCTGCCACCTGTTTCTTCTGGCTTTTCCTGGGCTGTTCAGCTTCCCTTGCCGGCCCACCTGGCATTCCTGAGCATCCTCTGTCATCCACCTGATGTCTGCCCCTAAGTGCTGTGTAGCCAGTCTATCTACTCCACCCTTTGCTGCACAAACCCCCTGCCCATCTCCCCGCTCCCAACCATGGGCTTTAGCTCCAGGGGTTGCATTTTCTCTCCAGGTTTGGAACCTCCAGCCCCCTTGACCATCTATGCTGAAGCAAATTCCAGGGTGGAACTGCCCTGTCACTTGCCTCCTGGTGGGGGGACCTTGCCTTTCCTCACGGCCAAGTGGACCCCTCCTGGGGGACGTCCTGACCTCCAAGTGGCCGGAGACAATGGCAACTTTGCTCTTGAACTGGAAGCTGTGAGCCAGACTCAGGCTGGGACCTACATCTGCCAGATCCACCTGCAGGGACAGCTGCTCAGTGCCACTGTCACCCTGGCGGTCATCACAGGTCAGCCTCAGGTGGGGAAGGAATGGCTTTCATCCCAGCAGAGCCAGGACAGGGCTGGGACTGTGCAGCTGCGTCCCGGGATCCTACTCTGCCTCTGTTCTGATCCCTGTTAGAAGCCAAAACAGAAAACCTCCTCTGACCCACACCGCCCGACTGACTGGATGTTCCACACATATCTAAGGGACTCCCCTGATCCAACCTGAGGAGGTCTGGGGTGTTAGCAGGAGGGATGCAGGAGCTGAAATAATTCCAAAGAGGTGGAATATGTTTTCTCATATCATCATCCCCTTTGGGGTCAGGGCTTGGGTTAAAATCACAAGAAGTGGCCTGGATTTGGAAGGAGTTAATAAAACGTACTGAAGGTCAGCATATGTCTTAAGCAAGAGTTTTCCAAGAAAGTAAAAGAAAAAAAAAAATCTATCTATATATATATAAAAAAGTATGTGTTTCCTGCCTGGGAGTTATTAGCTGTTTCAGATTAGCCAGATCTGCCATGTTTACCCCTGGCCACTAACTAGTGACTCCACCTCGTAGGTGCTTACTGCTGTGTTGGTTGGGTGACGAAACAAGCTGAGGGCTGATCCCAGGTCGTCCTTCCATTTTCTGGGTATCTGTGTAGATGCCCACTCCTCAGCCTCATGCGGAGTGCCATCTTTTCCCACGCCAACCTCTAGCTGTCCTTCCCGCATGAAGCTTACACCCAGTCCATACCCGCCTTTGTCCAGCATCTTCTAGAAGACTGACTTATGTCGGGCAGCTCCAGAGCAGCTCCATGGAAGAGTTAGCGTGAGCTCTGTGAATGTGAGCAGAAACTTTCACAAAGTCAGGCTCAGAGTCTGGAGTCAGCCGTCTGGGTTGCCCAGTCTTCACTGTCCTGGACACCTGCTTGGTCACAGGGAGCCCTCCGCATTTGCACTGCACAGTTTTGGGAATGCTCTGTCTTCTCTTGGGGGGGGGGGCAGTATAGCGTTCTATAAACATCCAGAAGGGAGAATGATTCAAGGGGCAGCACCAGGCACAGCCTCCGATGGGAGTTAAGGAATTATGAAAACTGCAAGGTGTATATTAATGCAGGGCCAACCCATCTGACTTACACTGAGCGTGCTCAATACAGAAGATAGGCTTGATACAGAAGGCCTGGTGTGGTGGTATAGCGTGCGATGCCAGCATTCCGTACCAGAGTACTGGGTTTAGGCCCTGGCTGCTCCACTTATGTTACAGCTCCTTGCTAATGCGCCTGGGAAGGCAGCAGAGGGACCCCTGCCCCTGACGTGGGAGACCCAAGTGGAGTTCCAGACTTCTGGGTTGGGCCATCTGGGGAGTGCAACAGGAATTAAGAGATGTTTTTCTCTGTATGTCACTCTGCCTTCCAAATAAATACTTTGAAAAAAAAAAAGATCTAAAATAAGATTTTTGAAAAGCTTTATTTATTTAATTTGAAAGGCAGATTTACAGAGAGAGAGAGTGAGAGATCTTCCATTTGCTGGTTCATTCCCGGAATGGCTGCAGTGACCAGAGCTGAGCTGATCCGAAGCCAGGAGGCAAGAGCACCTTCCAGGCCTCCCACCTGGGTGCAGGGCTCCAAGAGTGTGAACCATCCTCTGCTGCCTCCAGGCGTGTGTGTCAGCAGGAAGCTAGGATCTGAGGCAGAGTCAGACTTGAACTCAGGACGTGGGCATCCCAAGGGGTAGCTTAACAATAGGGCCAATGCCTGCCTTTGGAGTATTGTCTGGGTAAGATTGATTTAGCCATGAGCCTCACTCAGTCAGAACCTCAGGGTTCTAGGATTTGGGATTGAACCTGGGAAATGGGTCAGAATCCTAACAGCTTTTGTCCCTTTGATTTGTTGTTGTTGTTGTTGTTTGTTTGTTTCAGTAACTCCCACGTTGGCCGCTGGCTCCCTGGGGAAGTTACTCTGTGAAGTGACTCCAGCAACTGGACACGAGCGATTCATGTGGCGCTCCCTGCATAGCCCGGCCCAGTGGCGCATACCTGGCCCTTGGCTGGAGGTGCCGGAGGCCAGGCTGCTGGAGCCTTGGCAGTGCCAGCTGTACCAGGAGGAGAAGCTGCTCGGAGCGGCAGTGTACACTGCAGAGCCCTCAAGGCCAGGTCTGAACCCCATCGCAGAACTCATCTCTTCCCCTTCCAGACCATTGCCCTGGCCCCCTTCCTGGCTCTTGTTTGTTTTGTTTGGCAGTCAGGGACCTTGAGTTTTTGTCTAGGCTTAACCTACTTCTTCCCCTAATGAGCTGATTGACCCTGGACAAACCCCTCCAACCCTCTGAACCACAGGCTCCAGCACGAGGAGGTGGGACAAAGTGTTCTTTCCAACCCTTGACCTTGTACCTAACTGTGCCCTTCCTCTGCAGGTGCCCAGCACGCTGGGAGAACCCCAGGTGTCCTCCGAAACCCGCTGTCTCTCTCTGTCATGCTGGGAGCCCTCTCGCTGCTCCTGTTACTAACTGTGGCCTGTGGCATTCTGTGGAGGAGACGGGTGAGCCCACCCCCTTCGCTTGGCCTGGCCTCCCCTCAGTCCTCAGAGGGCAGTCTAGAGCCCCTACCTGTGTGTGTGTGTGTGTGTGTGTGTGTGTGTGTGTGTGTGTGTGTGATCAAGGTGGGCCTGAATTTGCTTGTGCTTGAAAGAAAGGAAAGAAGGCTGGGAAGCAGGTGGAGAAGGCAAGGGGGCCGGGGAAAAGCTTGAGCCATCTGGTTCCCTCCAGTCCTCACTCCTCCTTTCCTTCCCCCAGTGGCGACCAAGACGATTTTCTGCCTTAGAGCATGGGGCTCCCCCTCCTCATGCTCAAAGCAAGATAGAGGAGCTAGAGCCGGAAGAACTGCAGCCCGAGCCGGAACCAGAACCGGAGCCAGAGCTGGGACTGGAGCCGGGCCCGAGTCCATGAGAAAGCTCTGAGTGCCGGATGGTCCAAGCAGCAGGATCTTAGCAGCTCCAACCAAATAAACCCCTGTCAGCAGCAAGCTGACTCTGGCTCTTTCTTGTCCCTGCTGGGCCTCTGGGGACTCCCAGCCCAGCCACCTAACCTACATTCAGTCCCTGGTTCGCTCCCTCCTCTTCCCCCTTGCTGGCTTCAGCCTCTGGCTGGGTCTCACCCTCACTCTCTCCTGAGAAATCATTTCTTTGAGGCTCCAAAAAGCCCTCCCCTCTCCCCTCCCTGGCCCTCCCCTTTGTCCTCCCACCTGCAGTGTGCTGGCTGCCCTGGTTTCCTTTATATTTCTGTCCCTCTGGCCCACCCCAGCCCACGCTCAGCTACACGTTGGCACTGGGGCTTGGCCTCCAGGCCGTGGTAGGCAGACCCACGCACGTGCATGCACGCGCGCCCATGTGCATAGTGGCAAAGACCAAGTCCCCTAACCGTTCTGGAAGGCCTGCTCCTTCCTTCCTCCCCTGCCCCACCCCCACCATCCTCAGCACCCAGTGCTTTTCCTGGTCCCAGGCGTGAGAGCACACTGCCATCCAGTGGTCACTCCTTGTCACATCCCAGCCCAGTCACTGGGCCTACTGCGGGAGGCAAAAGCTCACAGCTGCAGCGGCTGAGGCTGAGTCCAGATGGGCTCCTGGCAGGCACTGTCTTTGTGGCGTGCATGCAGGCAGTGTGCGGTTGTCACATGTCCTGAGATCCCTGCCGGAGAGGGGGCTGAACAATGCATGCTTCCGGGAGATGCAGCCCTGTTTCCCCATTCCCCCGCCCAGGTTATAATCCAAGGGTGACAAAGTGGAAGGTTACAAACAAAGACTGCACGTGGGAGAAAAAATCAGCCGGTAAGACAGCTGGCCGTGACCGCAGCTCTGGGAGTCAGGAACCCGGCTTCTGGTTGCAGCTCTGTGGATGCCAGCCTCCTCGAGGCTGGGGAGGTTAAATGGGGCAATGATGGCCGCCCACCAGAATGGGTTGTTGTAAACGCTGGGCAACAAAGAGGCTTTGAAAGCAGAAATGTTTCTGCCTGTGGCATAGGATTTGTCTCATTATAACTCACTGGGGAGGAGAAAGTAGGCTCCATCCAAATAAAGCCCCTGTCATTGAAGACCCACACCCAGCTGTGACCCCTTGCTACCCGATCCTCGTAGGTGTCACTCCAACGACCCTTTTCAGCAGAGGGCATCCTCTAGCCTGTCTAGGAACCAAGTCCTAACCCTGCTGTTGGAGGGGCAAGGAGTAGAAGGACAGGGCTTTAACACTGAACCAGAGACACCCTGCAAAGGGGAACAAACTAACAACCTGTCCCTGGGGACAGAGAATGACAAGGGACGCCCTTTGCTCAGTGCAGAGCCTCGGGGAGACAGGGGCACCCCCTGAAGGTTGAATCATGACCTATTTTAGGTAACTGAGACTGAGCCCCAGGGTGGTGGTGACTTGCTTTGTCAGGCAGAGGCAGTGGCACAGGAAAGAGGAAAGTACAGGCTATGCATGGCCTTGGGATGCTCTTCCTTGTCCTGGGCTATCAGTCTTCAGGGCCCCTAGGAAGTCTCCCTAGCACCCTTCCCACCCTCGGCCCTGGGCCAGAGACAGGTGCCCCAGGACCCAGCCCTGGCCCTCCACAGCCTGGGTGGAAGCCCCCATGCCTTCACAGGTCAGGGGTTTCCTGGAAAGTCCCGTGGGTGGCAATTTTTCCTTTCTGCTAGCTAACATCCTATGCCCTTTGGACTGATGAATAGAGTCATCGAAGATTCTCTTGGGGGGGACTTCCCCAGGCTCTTTCATGAAGAGGGATGCAGGGAGGGGGCTGACACAAAAGCAAGCACCACCTGGCTCCCCCACGCCCTGGAGAAGAGAGGCACAAAGGGTGGGAGGAGGAGGGAGTGTGAAAGAAGCCTGGGGGAGGAGTGGCCTGCTCCCACACCCCTCCTGAGGGTTGGGGGAGCTCAGTGGAAGAGCCAGCAGGAGAGCCTGCAGGCCTGTCTGTGTCCTGGGAAGGCTTGCAGAGAGCTGGGTTCGTTCATGGGCATGGCCAAGTCTGTCTGAACGCCTGTGTGCCAGGATGGGCTCTTAGGGGAGAAAGGGACCTCAGGGCATCTCAGCGGTTGGACACAGCGTCCCTGGGCCCCAACAGGAAGGAAGGAGGGTGTGTCCATCTGCTGCTTGTGGGATCTGCTGCTTGTGGGATCCTGGGTTGGAGTCCCGATTCTGTTTTTTGATTTTTTTTTTAGAGATTTATTTATTTTTATTAAAAAGGCAGATATACCGATATACGGACAGGAGGAGAGACAAACAGGAAGGTCCATCCAATGATTTACTCTCCAAGCAGGCGCAACAACAGGAACTGAGCCAACCCGAAGCCAGGAACCAGGAGCTTCTTCTGGGTCTCCCACGCAGATGCAGGGACCCAAAGCTTTGGGCTGTCCTCCCCTGCTTTCCCAGGCCACAAGCAGGGAGCTGGATGGGAAGTGGAGGGGCCGCAAGAACACGATCTGGCATCCATATGGGATCTTGGCAACGTTCAAGGCAAGGACTTTAGCCGCTAGGCTGCCATGCTGGGCCCTGGAGTCCCAACTCTGTTTCTGATTCCAGCTTCCTGCTAATGCACACCCTGGGAGGCAGCAGATGATGGTTCAGGTGCCCCTGCCCGCCACCCCCACCCCAGTGCCGGGGTCAGCCTCCTGGTCTCAGCCTGTCTGGGTCCTAGCAGTTGTGTACATTTAGGAAGTGTGCCTGTGAGTAGGAGAGCTCTGCCTTCCCAATTACAATCAATTCATTCACGAAAAATATTAACAGTCAAACTTGAGGGAGCTTCAAGAAGTTCATGGAAAATACATAGTGTGAATAAAGTGTGTACAGATCTCCTTATTGTGGGAGCACCAACATCCACTTATCTTCTCATTCTGCTTTTCGTGTTGAAGTGTCCTTGAGCAGCCTAGCTGACAACCTCTAATTTAAGGTCTCTCAGAAGGTTGCTGCCAGGAAGTAGGCCAGGGCTGCAGACATGGCTCGCCTGAGGCTGGGAGATCAGCTTCTGGCAAGGCTGGCTTGGTTCCTCCTCCGCCACCCCCACCCCTAGGCTTCCCAGGACCCCTCCCACAGGGCAACTCCAGAAGCATGGAGTGGACAAGACCAAGCTGCCAGGTCCTTACTACCTAATTTATTTCATATCAATATATAGATATATATTTAACATATAATGTTTTAAAATGTTTCATTTTTGAAAAGCAGATTTACAGAGAGGAGAGACAGAAAGAGCCTTCTGTCTGCTGGTTTACTCCCCAAGTGGCCACAATGGCCAGAGTTGAGCTGATCTGAAGTCAGGAGCCAGGAGCTTCTCCTGGATCTTCCGCATGCGTGCAGGGGCCAGAGACTTTAGCCATCTTCTGCTGCTTTTCCAGGCCATGAGCTGGGAGCTAGATGGAAAGTGGCACAGCAAGACGCGAACTGGTGTGCATACGGATGCCGATGCTTTGAGGAGGATTAACCTGTGAGCCACCACGCCGGTCCCATATGAGATAATACATCTAAATATTACATAGAAAGAGGGAAAAAACATTTGCATCCTCTATTTCATGTTCCAAATATTCACACCAGCCAGGGCTGGCCCAGGCTGAAGCCAAGAGTCGAACTCAATCCACTGTCTCCCATGTGGGTAGCAAGACCACATCATTCCGTGGTCACCCAGGGTGCCCACTAGCAGGAAGCCGGGATCAGGAGTTGTGCCAGGACGCTACCTAGGCCTCTTATGCAGGAGATGGGTATGCTAAGCAGCGTCTTAACCACAGCATCAAATGCCTGCTCCCGATAACTTGACCCTGAAAGCCACATGCCAGCGTTTCTGCCTTATTCTCTGAGTCACACAGGCTAACAAGGAACGGTGTATGTGTGAGGCGGTGAACAGCACAGGGGGCCTAGCTGAGGTGGTGGGAATCACCAGGGAGGGCTCTCTGAGTGTCCCCACCCTCCACCCTCCTGAGGACTGGACAGCTGCACTCCCCTCCATCTACTATAGAAGTTTCTTGAGTTCAAAGAGGTCCCTTCGCAGTCAAGGGTGTCAGACATTGAGGCATTGAGAACTGTTTACATGTGCCAGGGCTGCTTGCTTCCCTGACCTGGTCTTCTCCACCTCACCGGGAGGGGCAGGTCCAGAAAGCTCCCTGCCCCTCCCCCCACCAGTGAGGTCCAGGCCTGAACCCCCTCCCCCACCACACACACATTCTGGAAGGGAGAAGGGCAGAGAACTCAGGCTTCATGCCCAAGAGCCTCAGGGTGGAGACACCCACACCCCTCCTTTGAAGAGAGCGGGTTGGGGTGGGGACAGGGTCCAGCTTCCCTGCACTCTGTGGCTGATGGTTTCCTGCAGGTGGCAGCTGGCTGAACAGAGGCTGTGCTCTGAACATGCCTCCCAAACTTCCCATGCAACAGGAGAAATCCAGGGTTTTCTCCTGGACAGTTGTAGGAAGTGTCATGGGGCCGGGGGTCTAGGTGGGCATCGTGGAGGTGAGGTCGGTCTCTCTCAACCTCTTGCCATGACCCCTTCCCTGCTCTCTCTGTCTCTGCCCTGCCTCCACCCACCTCTACATAGGGGTGGCAGATGAACTGCAGGTGGTTCTGGTAAGGAGGGCACCACAGGGCTGCACCTGGGCCTTTCAACGCCCGCTCTGGCAGTACCCTGCTCTCCAGCACTGTCAGTTGCCCGTCGAGGCTGGGGTCCCTGAGCATCCCCCCACCCCGCCTCCTTGGCCACCTTCCCCCCCCTAGACTGGAGACTTGTAACACAGACACACAGACTCTCTCTCTCTCTCACACACACACACACCCCAATACCAGCTCTGGGTCAGGAACCACAAGACTACTGGAAATCCCCGGGTTCCGTTCCAGCTGTCATGTGATGGTGTAGAGAACGCAACTCCAGTTTCTTTTCCTCTCCTCCTTTCTTCGGAAGAGGTTTATTTATTTGAAAGGTAGAGTGTCGGGCCCGGCGCGGTGGCGCAGGTGGTTGGGGGTCCTCGCCTTGCACG